TCCCTATCGCAATTGCAAAAGAGAGGAGAAGGAATCAATCACCTTTTATTTCGTTTTCTTTGAAGTGAAGGCGTCAATGGAGACACCTATTAGAAAAGTTTGAGATATACATCCACCCTTCCCATCTCTCTTCCAAACCAAAAAAAATATATGGTAGGAAATTGGTATTTAATTAGTCAATGACTTGTAGTTTTCCATTATGCACAGCTGACCTGGCAAGCTACATCATGAAAGGAACAAGAGAGGTTTGTGAAAAGCACATGCATCATGCATGGTCCATCGACATGCATGGGAAGATAAAAAAACTGATCCATTCCATTGAATATCTGTTTTACAATTTATAATGGACAGCCCGTTTGAACTTTCGCAAAGCTTTTGCTCTCCTTTTTAATGACGAAAAAGCCACACTTTTTCTTTCCTTTTTTGTGTGTGGGCATGCATATGCACATATATAACTTTTAAGATGCATCAATGAGCCTTGTATTGGGCTGCACAAATTGTCACGTTTGTGTCGGTTTTTAATCTGAAGGCAAAGAATTGTGTCAATCTCATGTAGTAGCAAAAGAAAATTCATACACGGCAGTCTTTGAATTGATAAATATACGTTGAATAACTAATGCCCAAAAACTTAAGATCTCATGCCCTCAATTTAAAATAAAGTTAATGTCTATATGTGTATATATATACAGTCCTCTTCCATTGATAACTACAAAAATAAAATAAAATCAATCTGAACCCTGTATTTTTCAAGTCTTTATACATAGATCATTTTTGTAAAAAATCTGAAAAATTGAAAATCATTAAGACATCTAATTGTAAGCAACAAAATAGACGAACATGGTACTTCAAGAAAATACTAAAATAACAATAATCTAATTAAGTGGTCAAGTGATTTCGGAAAGTAATTTTTTGGATATATGATCTTTGAGGGAAATATATAAAATGGTTAGAATTATTGAAAAACAATATGTGGTGGACTCTAAAGGGATGTCCCTCAATTGAAGCTCATTATGTATATGTATATATTAATGTTAATTATACTTTTATCATGAAATAGGTCCCAACTTTCATCGTTTACATATTAAACAAAGTGGATACGTACTATTTTGATCTCAATTATGTGTGGATTTCAGATATTTTGTAGTAACATAATAATTATTTGATGTTATCAATATCGTGAAAACATTCATTGCAGCATGCCCAATAGATTGATTATTTTACCTGCAAATCCTGTCCCGAAACTCAGATTTGCACCAATATACCAGAAGATGGACCCTAACTAAATTTAATAGCACCTGTGTTTTCAAGGTAGCAATTGTCACCAAGTTGAGGGACAGAAGCTACATGTGGACAAAAGCAAAAGCACCAGTAGGGTCGTTCGTTCATGTCATGATCACAATTTAAAATCGTCTCATGGTTCACAAGAGTTTTGTTTAAGCTTAGCCTGTATTTTGGTAGTTGAAATCTTCACGATCTAATTAGTTTTTGACCTAAACATAATCCAAACTCGAAATCAACGTCGTCTTAATCATAAACGATAATATTAGCATAAAAATATAGACAGATGATGAGTCTAATGCATGCGGTGAGTTTTTAAATTTGGAAGTTGCTAATTTGACTAAGCCTATCTATTTTCAATTTCTTGCCTAATAATTAAAATCTTAATCTCAATTTGATCTCAAATTGAGAATGTGATTGGTCATTGCCGTCTCTAAACTGGGTGGAAATCCATCCAAAGGGCCTCACACAATGCCTAGTTGAAAAAAGAAATGCATTCCAAGTCAATGCAGGTGAAGTGGACGGTGGAGTCTGCATAGAAAACTTGCCGGGCTTTTGGTTTGTATTTATTTCTTAGCTCAGCCTAATTGTCTTTTGCTTATGTTAAACGGAATTTTAAACCTGAAATAATACTACTTTATATAGTTTTTTTTTCCCCACGTACTACATGTTTCAAAAGCATGTAATTGTACGTAAATAAAAGGGATCAATTTTGTCAAAGCCACATGCGTGCACGTTAAGCGTACAAATGCTTTTCCGATTGGGCTTTAGCTGGCTCGCTCTAAAGATGACAATTTTTTCAACAGAAAATTAGGAAATATTGCTGCATGGTTATTTGTGACATTTTATCAAACACTTTTAGTCACACTCCTTGAGCAAAAAAGGTCAACAAAGCTAAGGGAAAAAAACCTAAAATTAACATACCCCAATTCACCTACATATTTTAGTAATATAGTTTCTACATTTAGTTTTAGTTTTTATACAAACAATAATTTACTTTAATATAATCTAAATTATAGGTAGGGGGATTCAAACTCGAGTGCTGAGCGAGTAGCACATCTGCTCTAGTCAATTTGATTAATCTCATATATGTAGTTTTCGTTTGAATAGTCAAGTTCTATTGCATCATTTTATTTTATAGGTTAAAATTATAACTTGGAACTATAAATTAACAAATGTTCACATGACGAAAAATTGGAAGCTTAAGTTAGTTTAATAGAAAATCCGTGCACACTTTATTTTGCTAATTTATCGACACAAACGTGGTACGTTTTATTAGTTGAGATAAATAATAGCTTTTGGGAGGATTATTACTTGTTTATTTTAATTCTATGAACCCTTGGACAAGCCTCAGATACTTGTCGAATTCAAAAGACAAAGAAAGACTTTGGGATCTATTCAAAGATAACCATAAAGTAAGCAACATCGTTTTTATAAAGTAACTACATTTTAATTTCATACTTTACCCTTTAAATCCACTTATATAAGCTTCATAAAGCTTATGCGCATTATGTAAACACCTTTCAAGTTTTGCTTTGGGACTCTGATCCTTTGTTATCCAAAAAAATAGAACTTATACATTAAGCAAAACCCCTTATTTTATTATCTTACGATTAAGTAAAAACCTTTTAGAACTGACTTTTCTCAACAAGTGTGATAGTTGTGTGATTAATATGTTTTGCAAAGGGCACGTGCATTTGGAGACCGATGACTCAAATAAGTTCACAAACAAGAGGCGAGCACATTGTTTCTAGTTGAAATTCTGATTTATTATTTGCGGCGTTCTAATCTATATTATAAAACTAACCTATTTCATAATAATCTAAACTCATTTTACATTCTATTTGGTGCATGAACAATCCAATAATTGATGAATTTTGCTTCACAATGATAGGAAAACCCCACGTGAAAGGATCAAAAGCCATTACTTTTAATTTCACAAAAATGGTTTTCTTCTTTTGAGTTTGGACCACCATGACCGATCATCTATCACTTAAAAAAGGGGACACGAAATTGAAAATATCAGACAATTATTTAAGCATATCCTCCTTAGTCTCCACTCAAATGTTCATGAGATCATTGGGAACGTGTTCATGGAAATGAGGACAAGAAAGAGTGTGAATCGTGAAAAACAATACAAAAGTAAATCGTATGAAATGACTTATTACAAGTGAATGAAGACAAAAATAAGAAGAATAACATATTCTTTGGAAGGTGGAAGACCCTATCCTACTTCACATGGTGCGCGCACACATTTTCCATCGATCAATTCAAAGACTACTCATTTGATTTTGGTGGAGATCAAGACGACTTATATTCTATCTTAATTAATTCACTTGTCCTCTTGTAGTCGAATGCTTTGTGTCCCCTTGTTACCTTCCTTGTCTTCATGCATTCTAACTAAGTACCATTTGTTGTCGAATGTCACACACTCTCTCTCTCTCTCTCTCTGAAATGAATTAGCAAATAAAATCACACAAATAATACGTTTTAAGTGTTTTTTTATGACTTAAAATAAGATTACAAATTAAATTCTTAGGGACCCTTTGGATGAGATTGGATAATATGAGGAAAAAAGATCAAGCCACGTGCCTCACTTTTAATCCTACGTGTAAAACCACAACTCATTTAACCGTAGTAACCCCAGTAAAAACAATGTATAAAGAAAAAGAGAGCAGTAATTGAACGTGGTGAAGTCTAGGAAACCTCACAACGTGTCCAGATCAGAATGGGTCAGAACACAAAAATCTCCAATCAAGAAAAAAGTAGTTTGACTTTTGTGAATTTAAAGCACCGGTCGTCGACCATTAAGATTGTCCTTTGGTAGCCCAAAACGCAATCAAACACTCCACTAAACGACAAACCCATCGTATTTGGTACCACTTTTTTCTCTTCCGACAACAACACCCAAAAACTCGACAGGTGGACTGTAATAACCTCCGTGTCTGTAATTAGAAGCTTGAACAACAAGTCATGGCCAGCTCAGGTTAATCCCCTGCTTGCCACTAATTAATCTCGATTAAACATCTAATTTTTTAATTGATCACTTTTCTCAGTTTCTCTCTCTCCTGAAAAGTCAGTAGGAAAAGCAGAGGAAAGTCTTTGGCTTCAGACTCTCTCTCTCTCTCTCCGTCTCTCACACAAGTCACAAGCTTATTCTATTTCTTCTCCTTATTCACAGAATCTTAATCTCACTCTGTTCTTGGGAGGCTTTATAAAACCCTGCCTTTTCTGTTCTGAGTTCTATTTAGACGAAAGCTAATCGGGTTGTTTTGAGAGTAGTGAAGTAGCTAAGAAATAGGTACAAGTTAGCTGAGTTTTTTTGATTTTGTAAGTTTTAGATCAAATTTTGACTGTTGGATCAGAGTATCTTTCTGGGTGGTTGTAATTTTTGGGGTTTTTTCTATTAATCTCTGGGTTGAGTGAGAAGCTTTTATTTTACTCTCTTGGGTTTAATCATTGTGTTTCTGGGGTAATGTATACTTTGGTCAGAGATCCATCAGACAGAGCTGGTAGGTGGGCATAGAGAAAAAAAAAGGGGGGGAGACCTTGACTGGTAGATGAGAGAAAGAGATGAAACTGAACCCTAGAAAATGAAAACTTCGTACCTACAAGGCTTCTTTGGAGTTCTAAGATAAAATCCCAATAGTAGATTTTTTGCTTTTTGTCCTGTAGATTGAGTTCAAAAAAAGGAAAACCCAAGAGAGAAATTCTTAGTTCTGATGCCGACCGACCTAGATAATTCCTCTACAGCTTCAGGTGAAGCTAGCGTTTCTTCCTCTGGCAACCAAACTGCTCCTCCCAAACCCACCACCAAGAAAAAACGTAACTTGCCAGGAATGCCAGGTAGCTCAAAAAGAAAATTCCCCAAATTTGTTTTTTACACTGATGTTCATAATCTTTGTCTGATTTGGTGAAATTTGACTTTTGGGTTTTGTTACAGATCCAGATGCAGAGGTGATTGCTCTGTCTCCCAAGACCCTATTGGCCACAAACCGTTTCGTTTGTGAAATTTGCAACAAAGGGTTTCAGAGGGATCAGAATCTGCAGCTTCATAGGCGTGGTCATAATCTGCCATGGAAGCTGAGGCAGAGGTCGAGTAAAGAGGTGAAGAAGAGAGTCTATGTCTGCCCAGAGCCCTCTTGTGTGCACCATGACCCATCAAGAGCTTTGGGTGATCTCACTGGGATAAAGAAACACTTTTGCAGAAAGCACGGCGAGAAGAAGTGGAAATGCGATAAGTGTTCCAAGAAATATGCGGTTCAGTCGGATTGGAAAGCCCATTCCAAGATTTGTGGTACCAGAGAGTACAAATGCGATTGTGGGACTTTGTTTTCAAGGTTCATAAAAGCTTTGTTTTTTATCTGAATTTTTTTTATGTTTTTGAGCTTAACTTGTTGGGTTTTAAGTTGGTAAAGTTGCTGTGTTTTTGGTCTTTGAAGGAGGGATAGCTTCATAACACATAGGGCCTTCTGTGATGCTTTGGCTGAGGAGAGCGCCAGAGGCCACACCCAAACTCCAACCCAGACTCAAACGGAAGTGAATTTGAATTCAGAATCAGACCCAAAAGCTCAAAGTGCTAATTCACCTCCACAGCCAACACCACAGCCACCGGTTCCTTCCCAAGCTACAACTTCATCAGTCCCATCTCAGTCAGCTGGTTTATTATCTTCACCTATGCCTAGTACACAAAATCCAGGTAAATATGTCCCAAATTGGAAAATTGTCAATCTTTTCAGTTGGGTTTTGTCGGATGTGTTTTTAGTCTGAATAAACAACAAAACTTAGTTATCTTTGTTTTGTTTGTGTGTGTGTCTCTCTCTCATGCCATGGATCTTGGAGTGTAGTAGTTTTTGTCTGTTATGAAATTTGTTTTCAGCTGGGTATGTATCACAGAATGGTAACTGAACAGAGAATTTTGGAATTTAATTAACAAATGAATAAAAATAAGCTTCTTAGAGGTTAATATTAAAGTTTTAGTTTTCAGACTGCGTAATCTCAATAAAGAGACTAGTGATTCAAAAGCTAAAAGGGAAGAGTAAGTGGGTTAAGAGAAAGGAAACCATTATTGATCCTCCTTTTCCTTCAAAAGTCCTTCATAAAGAAAGGCCTAACTTTCTATTCCTGTATGTTCTGTGTGTTTAAGTGTGACCCCTTTAATTTTTTTTTCTTTTCTCCTTTGGTTGTAGTGACAGAATTGCCTGAAAATCCCACACAAACTATGGAAGAAGCACCAGCTGTGACTGGTCCGAAGGGGAACTGTAGCAGCAGCAGCAGCAACAGCTCAAGCAGCAATGGTAGTACAAGCAGTAGTGTTTTTGCAAGTTTATTTGCTTCCTCGACAGCATCAGCAAGCTTGCAACCTCTTCAAACTCCTGCATTTACTGACTTAGTTCGAGCCATGGGGAATCCAGATAGTACAACTGACTTAGCACCATCTTCTTCAGTAGAACCTATCTCTCTTGGCCTCTCAACCAGCCATGGATCCTCACTTTTTGGGCCTGCAGGACAGGAGCGTAGGCAGTATGCGCCTCCACCACAACCAGCTATGTCAGCTACAGCACTGCTTCAGAAAGCTGCTCAAATGGGAGCAGCAGCAACTAATGCATCGTTGCTTCGTGGGTTTGGCATTATGTCTTCCTCGTCATCTTCTGCACAACAAGAGAGTTTGCAATGGAGTCAGCGGCAAGCAGAACCAGATAGTGCCTCAGTTGCTGCAGGGCTTGGACTTGCTCTTCCTTGTGATGGAGGTTCAGGATGGAAGGAACTAATGATGGGAAGTCCTTCCATGTTCGGGCCTAAGCAAACCACACTCGATCTTTTGGGATTAGGAATGGCCGCTGGTAATAGCCCCAGTGGAGGCTTGTCAGCCCTAATTACATCTATCGGTGGCGGCCTCGATGTAGCCGCTGCAGCTGCATCCTTTGGAGGCGGAGAATATAGTGGTAAAGACTTGGCAAGGGGCTCATGAAATGGAATATTGAAGAAGACATTTTGTTCCATTTGACTTAGAGGAAGGGGTGTACAAGGTGCAGGCTCATCTGGAGTATGGAAAATAGATGTTGCAGAGTGAAGTAAGACATACATAAAAATAAAATAAAAGATTAGCCCTCATGGCATAGAGGTAAGCATCAGAACACAGGCAGTTGGGTCTTTTTTATTGTTCTGCTGCCTTGGTGACTAGGGCGAAAACGACTTTGTCTGGCTGGTGTAGACTTTTGTGAAAGCTAAAACCAGAGAACCTTTCTTCTGTTTGTTTAACTTGGGGATTTCAGCATACGTGAAGTGTAAGCTAGAAAAATGGGAGGAAACGTGTATGTTAGTTTGTGTTAGCTTAAGGTGATTTGGTGAATGAATATGTATACCTACTGCATGCATTCTTTAATTTTGTCAAGTTTCTCAAGCCAAGCCTAGTGATAAAGGCTCAGTGGATGAGTTTTACCAATTGGGTTTGCAAAACTAGGCCTAAGTTTTTCTTTGTTGCAATTTGTAATGGCCAGGTAGCGGTGGATGGATGTAGTTTGGGGCTGATCTTGTAAATTACTGTTTGAGTAGGCTGTAGTTTTAGGGCTCCTGGACTTGGTCAAACCCGCCAATTTCCATCACTCTGTATGTACAATTAAATCAAGATTAAATTATTATCTTCTAGTTATTTAAGTTCTTGAGGCTGAGATATGGGGTCTTTTCTTTGGTTTGAAGTTAGCAATTGAGAAAGGCATCAGTAGTCTCACTATTGAGATGGACTCAGCTATGCAGTCAATCTTTGTCAGAATTCTTCTATGCTTGCTCTGCATCCCTTAGCTGCTTTGGTTAGGAGCTGTTGTGACCTTATGCAGCAGTTTCCCAGTTGTGCCCTTCAGCATGTTTTTCGTGAGAAGAATGTTGTTGCTGACTGATCGGCTAATTGGAGTTATCAAGTGGATCTTGGGCTGTGTGCGTGTTTGAGCAGGCCCCTAGTTGGTTAAGTGCTTATCTTATTGATGCTCTGCTTGGAATTGTTCATTCTAGATTGGTCTGTTTAGACCAGTGTGTGTAGTCTGTTTCTAGGGGCTTTACCCCCCTACTTAATCAACAAAAAAAAAAAAAAAAAAAAAAAATAAAATTTGGCATGTTGGTGTTCTGTTGGTAAAGGGCACCTAAATATAAAAGATGCAATGGATTTAATAACTTGAGAAATTAAATCAAAGTTGATGTTTCAACAGAAAGACATCCTCCTCCTGCATTTCTTCCAAGCCCAAGTCTTCAACCGAAGTGCAAATTCTTGGAGACAAGTGAAAGACTATTCATCATTTGAAGCTTCATCTGTTACCAAATGAAAGAACATTAATTTTTTTAATCTTCTGTTATAAAAAATACATATGTTACGAAATGAAAAAAACAAAAAAAACAAAACTCAGGCTTCAAAAATATAATGAGCTAATTAGCTAGCTATATCACTCTAGCTTTGGTACTCTGGGTACAAGTGCAGTGCGAATCTGCATGTCAAAATTAAAGTTTACTTATCATCTTTAGCATGAACTGGTTAATAATCAAGATTAAAATTGAAATTAATTTTTATAACCTCTATCTATTTTTTTCTGCTACGCATGGCCAACTCAATGCCACACAAGGCCACAGACAGTCGGGCTTAATCACCACAAATATGTAATAACCAAGTACAACACCCATAATGCAACTTACAAACCCAAATTCTCTCGAAGAGAAACCACAACCACACATCAAACTCAACAAAGTTGATGCACTGATTGTACTAAAACAAAAACTGAAACCTAACAACAGCCACTCCAAGCCCATGACTATGGCTTGAAAGAAGGAGGACCCAAAAGAAGACCCATAAAGCCGCTGCCGTCAGTGTTGTGGATGCCGCCGCTACCGCCGCTGTCACATCCAAAACTAGTACCTATAGTAAGAACACACAAAAAGCAACCCAACAAACCCAATATCCAAACAAATCTGGTTAGATATGCGAAGATCTAGGTGGTTCTGGGTACATAATTAAACTCGCTACCCCCTAAACTCCACCTTCTCCACAATTCTGTCAAGCTTTCCCCACAAGGAGAGAAGCAAGCTAAGAGAAGGAGAGATTGAGAAAGGAAGAGAGAGGAGGATGACTATCAAACATTTTTATTTTAAGTATTGAAAATAAAATTTCCGGATAGAGAAAAATCCCCGTGTTATGGTTTTGCAAGGTTTGAGAAAAATGTGAGAATTAAAAGTTGCATCAAGCTCAAAGCCATGATCTCAGCCATCAGAAAATTAATTGAGTGTTACAGTCACACTGTCATATACTATTACTAGTTCATGTATTAAAATATAGGTAGACACCATGATTGATATCTTATAGACCTAGAATTTAGTATTTATAAATAAATATTTGAATTATAATTTTATTAGATTGATAACACCGTATGACAATATGTGTGATTGTTACACTGAAATTTACCCTTGCCACCACAATCTAGGAGTTTCAAATAATTATGCAAAGTTATATAACTTAAAAACCAACGTAAAAAATAATTGGTATACAATAATTAGGTACTACATATTAGGGATCATCATTAGACCGAACCAAGAGGGTTTAACTATTGAATCGGACTAAATTTTAACTCATCGGATCTCGAGCTATCCACTTTAGCCCGCCTGCCAAATCATGATTACTATTTAATTTCAAATTTATGAAGGGATTTTTATGACAATAATGTCCATAAGGTTTGAGAAATTATTAGGTTTAGTAATTTTTTTCATGTTACATGACATGCATGTGAGACCCACAAATTCAATAGTATAATAAAGCATAAATTTTTTTAAGAAATACTTTTAAGAATTTAAGATTTAAAAAAGAAAGAAGAAAAAGACTAAAAATGCAAGAGAAAGAAAAACCGGTTGCTTTTTTTAAACTTATGTGTGAAACGCGCAGTTTAAGTATCAACAATTTTCCCTCCAATTTTTGTTTGGGAGTGTTTTGGAACCAAGCACTCTGGCTCGTACAGTGAAACGGCACCGTCGGTGTTGTTAAATCTCTGCAAAAACTACAATATAAGCTTTCGGTCCGTCTCATAATCTATAGCTCTCTCTCTCTCTCTCTCTCTCTCTCTCTCTCTCTATTTAGCTCAGGATTTATGGAGTTAGTTCTGTTAGACCAAGTCAGATGTTATCTGCAGATTCATATAATGACTTTTTATCACAAAAAGTCCATAATATTTGCGAAACTATCAGATTGTATCATTAAAGTTTTTTTGTATCACTCATGGTACCTAACGTTAATATAGGTGCCCTTAAATAATCTCTTTGTCAAAAAAATTGTTAAATCCAGAGATATAATGGTCAAATCAATTCAAAATTATAATATATATTTTATTTCCTTCCCTTCTCTCTTTCTTTTCTTCTTCTTCTTGCACTCCTCAATTATAAGCAAATGGTATGTGTCTGTGGATTTTTCACACGCTCTATTGAGCAAGGTAAGAAACTATTTGACAAAAATCCTTTACGAGTGGCACATTGGGGCAAAGTGTCGTGACATATGATGGATTAAGTCTCAACCAGTTTCGACATTCTACTGCGATTTGGTAAAAAAACATTACGTAGGGGAGAAGCTTCCCTTTAGTGCCAAAAATTGATACATGCGTGTCTGTGAGCAAATGGCAATTTTTTTCTTGAAAACATTCAACTTCCAAATAATTCCAGAAAGTTCCACACATTCATTTTCTTTTTTCATAATCTATCATGCAAACAACCCCGCTTTTCTTCTTCCTCGCTTCTTCTACAACCTCATTGGCTACATATACTGCATCTATATCAATCACCCATTTCTTTTAGTTGTCATTCCCTCTCACATCTCGCCCCCTAAAATTGCAAACAAAAAAAAATATATGTAAATTACATATCCAATAATGTACCTATGAAAAATATAATATAAATATATACATATAAAATATAGGTATATTTACCAAAAAAAAACAAACAAAGTTAGTTACTTTGTAATTGCGTATATTTTTCATAATTATAAATAGGTACACAATAATTTATATAAAATATAGGTACCTTATTTATCCACAGGTAAATTATTTTACAATATACCTGTAAATGTGTATAGGTACATTATTTGGAATAGATAATTATGTACACTTTTCATACTAGGTAAATTATGTTTTTCATAAAACAAACAAGTAATAGGTACATTATTTTTCAACATAATTAGTATGTACAGTTTTATTCATAAACAATTGTAAAGTGGATTATTAGTCATGTATAATTCATAAAAAGAAAATAACATAAACATTTTATTAAACAAACCGATTACCTAAATTTGAATTTATGGTTAAATTTTTTAAAAAATGTTTCAAAATTAATTTCTACATCCATTACAACCATTTGGAGATCTTTCCAAATTCAACATATATCATTATATACAATCCAATTAAAAAATGTTTCCATATTGATTCATACATTAATATACAAAATGCAATAATGGCTTAGTTGGGGGTATTTTTGGAATCTAAAAAGTACAATAAATCAGATTTTATGCTTAATTAGGTAACTTGCTGAGTTGGATCCTAGTCATGGGTTTTTACTTATACAAATTGGGTATTATTTATAGGAACAAAAAGTGAAGGGTTTTAGATACTGCAAATTGAATTCGAAGGGTGTAAGCCAAATTTACTATAATAAAAAATTCAACAATACAACTTAAAAGAGGAGGGAGGTGGTTCTTACCAAGTAAATTGTTGGCCACGGATTCCTTTCCGTTTGATAACACGGAGAATTGATGTGTAGTAAAATCCTTTCGTCTTAGACTTGTCACTGGGTGTTGAATTGAAACGAAAAAAGAAGAAGAAAGAAAGAGAGAAGGGAAGGAAATAATATATATATATATATCAATCCCGATCTCTTGGACTACATGGGTCCAAGAGATTTGTGGTCATTTACCGTTGGATATAAATTCAACGATTCACTCACTTTTGCACTCATTTAAGAAACTTTTTTGAACCGTTACTCATTTTAAGAAACTTTTTTGAACCGTTAAATTAACATCCAACGGTGGGTAACCACAATCTTTTGGACTCCTGTGGTTCAAGAGATCGGGGATGATATATATATTTTATAATTTTGGATTTATTTGACAATTATATCCCTGGATTTAACAGTTTTATTTATTTATTTATTTTTACAGAGGGGCTATTTAAGAGTACCCATATTAACGTTAGGGACCAAGGATTAAAATATCGGCCGTGCAGATAATATCGGGCCTCCAATTTACGGATATTTCGAGGGATATATCGTTATCGTTTTGGGTATCGGGAAAAAATCAACAAAAATGACAGATATAGGCATTGAAACACATAATTTTGGTGTAAAACTTTCATAGATGTTATGTACATTGTCAATGAATGTATTGAACAAATAAAACTCAAAATTTACTAATAATAAGATATATATATATATATATATGATGAAATATAAGTGGTATGTAATACGCGTTAATGAAAAGTTTGAAAATAAAAAGTTGATTAGAATGAATAAACCATGCGTAAATCCATAGTTTATTTGAACATTGGATTACAATTTAGATGAGTGTCCAACTACATAAATGAAGAGCTCCTATGAGGTTCAAACAATGTGGAACAACCATCTAGATTCATACAATAATCATACCAAGTCATGTAACCCGAGTAGTTTGTAAGCCATGTTTGAACATAGTGCACATATGTCTCTCTTGAGCTCCCTACTGTCCTCCCATATATGGGATAGTTAGGATTAACCCAACTAGTAGGTCCATAATCTGTTTCATCATCTTGAGCTCCATATTTAGTTCCACTATAATCAGACATGACATAACCATAGCCATCGTAAGATTCATTTGAGTTAGTACTAGGTCTAGATTCTTTTGATGCATACTCTAAAACATGCATACTCCAAAACATCTTTTGAATTGAATATTGCCAAAAGCCTTCACACATATATCTAATCACTGCACTTATACCTCCAAAAAATATTTTCAATTTCAATTTGCTTCAAAACTTTTGAATTTTTTTGGGTTTTGTTATGGGTATCGGGAAATATCGGGAATATCAGCAAAATATCGGGGATATCGCACCTATCGGGGATATATCGTCGATATCGGGGAAGATATGACCTTACCCCCCAATATCGGTATCGACAGTTCAAAATATCGATATATTGGCCGATATATCGGTGTATCGGCCGATATTTCAATCCTTGTTAGGGACCATGAGTGATACAAAAAAACTTTAAGACTGCAATATGATAGTTTCGTAAACGTTAGGGACGTTTTGTGATAAAAAGCCTTCATATAATTGTAGTTCAAATTCAAAGCTTAGTGTTTTAGATTACATGTGACTCTTGTTGTAAATTTTGTTTAGAGTTTTGCTTCAAATTGTATCCTGCATTCTAGGTTCAGTTTTGTATTTTGAATATGTAATCCTATACAAACATCAATATAAATATCGGATCACACCACCATATGTAGGATTCGACATGGAGACAATTTATTGTACAGTCACCCAAGTCATAATTCAAGATCCAAAGCTTTTTCAAAACAAGCAGTCTAGATTGCTCACAGACTATGATGAGGTTAAAGCCCTTGGTAGTGGAGCCTTTGGTGTTTTTGTCTCCTGCAAGAGTAAGATAGATGGGACAACTTATGCTGTGAAGAAAATTGCAGTTGGAGATGAATAGGAATTCAAGTTTGATTGGGTTAGAAGGTAAGTACTATTTGGCATTTGCATTTTTAATTCTTACTGTGTTTAGACTATAATGATGCTTATTTTATGTATAGGGAGGTGCTGATGTCATAGTTGCAGCATCAACATATTGTACGGTACCATACGGTATGACTTGAACCATTTTTGGTTGGTATAAACAATGTTGTGGATGGTGATGATGGAGGGAGTTCATCGGTCAACAATGTTGATCACCCTCATCTATACATTCAAATGGAGTTGTGTTGGAGCATTTTTACAAACGTTATGGATGGTCTTACATATATGCATGCCTAAGGAATTATGCATGGAGATTTCTCTCTTGCTAAAATTTTTAGGTGTGGTGATGTGTGGAAGATAGGAGACTTCGGACTAGGTATATTCATCCTCTCTTAAAGTCCATAGATCTTTAGTGTTGTGGCATGGTTATGAACAATGACTTAAATTGACTAACAAATGTTTGGTTTTTATTTTCTTCTTTGCAGCCCGAAATGTGAATGATGAAAATGATGATAAAGTGATTCAAGGCATAGACATAAAAGGTACATATAAAGCACCAAATGAAAATGTGGATTGTGCTGTAGATATCTATAGTGCATGTATTCTGCTGTTTGTGATGATGTTGAAAACGAAACCCATCACCGACATGGAAATGGTAGTGTCAAACAAAGTATAGCAAATATTCAATTATGCTCATATTTGCTCATGTTTTATTCTTCTCCAATACGGAGATATTTATACAAGTACAAAGATGTGTTAACCCTAAATAAAATAGGAAATATATCTAAATTACAATAGGAAATAAATCTCTATTACAATAGGACTAAATAATAGTTGGTAAGTAACTAAAATTCTAACTAAATAAGGAACCAAAATCCTAACTAAGTAAGGACTCGCCAACACTACCCCTAAAGTTGGGGCAAAGATATTTCGTACGCCCAACTTGACAAGCAAGTCATAGAACACCATACTCGATATTGACCAATCAAACAACTGTAGAGAAGGCCTTGTCATAAACCATAAGTGAAACAACTAACAAACCCTAACAAATAGGGCACATAAAGGCAGAACACAGAAACCCTGTGAGCACAGCAGTAGGTAAGGCAGAACACAAACCCTGTGAACATGGCAGTAGGTAAGGCAGAACAGAGAAACCCTGCAAGCACGACAGTAGATAAGGCAGAACACAGAAACCTTGTGAGCACGATAGTAGGTAAGGCAGAACACAGAAACCTTGTGAGACAGTAGTAGATAAGGCAAAACACAAAAACCCTATGAGTACAACAGTAGATAAAGTAGAACAAAAAGCAAGTGAAGAAATAAAGGCATCAACATTGGGCATGCCAAATAAATCTTTTTCACTCTCCCTCCCCTCTGAAGAGGAGGGGAGGAGAGCACTTAAATTGCAAGGAGAACGAAAGCACAGGTCCCTAGATCAGAACCTGGCTCTGATACCATGTCAAACAAAGTATCTCAAATATTCAATTATGCTCATATTTGCTCATCTTTTATTCTTCTCCAATATGAAGGTATTTATACAAGTATAAAATTGTGTTAACTCTAAATAAAATAGGAAATATATCTAAATTACAATAGGAAATAAATCTATATTACAATAAGACTAAATAATAGTTAGTAAGTAACTAAAATTCTAACTAAATAAGGAACCAAAATCCTAACTAAGTAAGGACTTGCCAACAGGTAGTAGCAATTGCAGCTTTGAAGAATTGTGGGGAGCTGTCGAAGGAGTTGAATAATTATCCACAGTGGAAGTTAGTACCGCGGCTCATGCAGAGGAGACCGGACTTGAGGCCTATTCTATGAGTTGTTATGGACGAATTTCATACCGAAATTGGCTTGAAATTAAAAAATCATACCAAGAGCTTGAACAATTATAATATGCTAGTACTTAGATGTTTTTATCATTTATAGAATGACCCGCATCACTGTGTACTGTGGAGCATAATTTGTACCATTTTAGATTTTGGACTGTTTGATAAAGTTTTACTGAAAGCTTGCAATTTTGATTTGACTGTTGTATAAATCCCAAAGAAAAACCTGTTTTTGGGTTTTTATTCTTTTATAGAGATCCTTTATAAGCTTAAACACCATTTTTTTATTATAAAATTTTTACCTTCCTCTAGCTTCCTTGAGAATAAAGAATTAAAGACACCAAAAATGTTAAGTTGGTGATACTTAGCAAGTTTAGAGATACTTAGATATCACTCTATGAATGTGAGTTGGCATGAGTAGTGCAGCAAAGCTTTGATGACTCAGCATTCTTCAGTCCCTACTTACACTCTTACTAGGATTTGAAGGTCCCAACTGAGAGAGAGAGAGAGAGAGAGAGAGAGAGAGAGAGAGATTATAAATGTAGACAGTAGGCAGGTACTAGAAGAGTGCACTGCACTTAAAAAACTAGGAAGAGGAGAAAAGGGAAGTGCAGACCATTCAACAGAAGTATTACTTATTTATAGAAATAGCTTCTGTGAACCATAATTTCCTTGCTCCTTGTTATCAACTATCATCAGCTGAATGGCTCAAACCAAGGTCACTCAGAGGGCAGCTACAATATCAGCAAGAGCAGCATCAATAGCAATAGCATGGGAACTCTTCATTAACATCCTTATGATAATTGAAGTTGCCAATGCAGAGAGGCCTCTAAAAGATGAGAAGCCAACAAAATTTATTGAGCAAGACATACATGCATTTTTTGTGAAAGTGGTCAATTTTCTATGGCAGGCTGGAGGGTCTTCTTATCAGCCTGTTTGGCCAGTGAGTTTGATCTCTCTTAAACACTACACATCTCCAGCAAGAACACAGAGAGAGATAGAGAGCATACATCTAATTTCCTATTAGATTTGATGATTCTTCCTTTCATGTTTACTGTTTTGGTATTTTGTCATATATATATATATACTGGTTGTTCAATAGTTGGCTCAATAGTTGGATTCTTTGGTGCAGCATTGGGTAGTGTGGGAGGTGGAGGTATTTTTGTACCAATGCTTGCCTTGATCATTGGTTTTGTTCCCAAGTCTTCCACTGCCATTTCCAAGTGTTAGTAATCACTTTTCCTTTTAATCTTTTCTTTTAACTTGTTAATTTAATCTTAATGTATTCAATTTAGACAGAACTGAAGAACTGTATGCCATCCTATTGGTCATGCAGGTATGATAATGGGTGCTGCAGGTAATTTAATTTAATTAATTAATTTATAAAAATTGCATAGACCTTCTTCCAACACCCTATTAAACACGATCAAAAAAATCTGCCTCTTGCTAATGAGGTCATACCATAGTAGAAAAGTATGTTTGGTCTAAGATTAGTGGTCCTCAAGTTCGAAGCCTCATCATTAGTGTGTGTGAGTAAATTCCACCGCCTTCCTATCTTTGACGAAAAAAAAAATCTGCCTCCTCAATCCTTTCATATTTGTTTTTAGCAAATAATGTTCAAATTCATTCACATATAACATATTTTATGAATGTTGTAAACAAATTTGGATCCTTTTATCATGTATGGCAGTCTAAGGGCCCAAGAATGTTCGGAACGATTGGCAATTCATTTTGATTGGGGTGCGCCAAAGCCCAAACTGCAGTGCAATACCTGATCCACATATCAGATATTAAACTTGTGAAGCTATTTTCTGTGTTTTCTTACAAGTTTTTTCATGATTCTAAACCATTGAAGAGAGTGTTTTAACTTCATCCTTGATCCATGCCGGATTTCAAAATCATGGACCAAAAAAAAAAAGGTAGACATTGTGTTTCGGTAGAAAGTTTGTTGGGCAACTTGGCACTGTGAAAGGATGTGTTGTTGGATCCTTGTGTTACTGAAAGGACCACTCCAAAAGTAAAGGAAACAATAAAAATCATAACAAAAAACAACCAAAAAAAAAAAAAAAAAAAAAAAAAAAAAAGGAAATGTTAGAGACCAACTCTCTAATAGAGTATGGGGCCCGGTGTATTGGCGGGCTCCACCTCTATTAGAGGAGAGTGTGAGGAAAAGAATAAAAAAAGAGTGGTGATTTCCCCACTCCAATTTTATCCACTTACACTCCATTTTATAACTAAAAAAGGAGTGTAAGTTGATAAAACTAGAATGGGAAATCATTACCCTAAAAAAAAGGAGAGGAGAGAGATGAGAGTGTATGTAATATTTTTTTTAACAAAAATTAGGGCTGGACAAAAGAGAAGAAAGGAGAGAGAAAAGTGTGGGTAATATTTATTTACAAATTTATAAATAAACCCAATCCTAAACATGTATTTATAAAAAAACCCAAGCACTATTTAAACATAGAAACACACCCAAAATCAACAATTGTATATTTTTTGGGTGGGTTTATAAATGGGTTTTGAGTGTGTGTAATGATGGGTTTTAGGCGTGTTTATAAAGTGTTTTGGGTGTTGGGTTTTTTTATAATTTCAGCCCCCATTTTGGGTGTTTTAGTGAAACTCCCATATTTATTTTACATAAAGTTCGGCCGGGCATGAGCCCAGCCTGCCACAGGCTGGAACCGCCCCTGGTTGGAAAGAAGCATCATGATGTCTTCCTGCACACTCACATGTGTCATTTATCTTGCATATAAATAGACATCCTTACTACTTGCAAAGACACACCCAACTGGGAGAAGAAAGAGGGTCAGGCAGAGAGGAAGGAAGAAAGAGAGAGTGAGAGGAGAGAGATTCTCCAAGAGAGAAAAATTAGTGAGCCACATATATTGCAAATACTGAAGTTGTAGCCCTATTATTTTACATAGTGGAAAACCCTATTATTTTACGTAGTGGAAAAGTTACTGATGCTGCTCTCCGAGGACGTAGGCATGATCGAACCTCGTTAAATATTGTATCTCATTTATTTTACGTGCAACACAATATTCTCGCATATACAGTTCATTATATAACATTTTCGAGCCTTTAGTTGTTCCAATAAAGCCTCACAAAATGATACCATAAAGAACTTTATCAAATTCATGGTATCATGATACCATGAATTTGCAAATTTACAGTATTCGAGGATGATCTTATTTAGGAAGGATGTGAATTGCCAAGTCATATTTCTTCCCTTCGTTTGCTTTTTCATTGCAATCTTGTTTCAAACATAATCAAGCAGCCAATTTTACGTAATTGTAGAGGAATGAAAGGTTAAAGTAAGGAACTCAAGTGACATGAAATAAGTGACGCGACAGTAATATGATTTACGGAAAAAATGTTTTTTTATGTTCAGAAAATCTGATTTTATATATATATATATATATATATATATATATATATATGAATCAAACTTCTTAACTAAACATATTTTTGTTCACATATCTTGTTCTTTCAAGATTTTGTTGCAAATTTAATTGACATTGTTTTCAAATTCCTCCATCCGATCGCAATTCCCATTCAAGGTCCAACCAATAAATTTTTTAAATATTAATATATTCTCAACCAACAAACAACCAAATCATGATCCAAATCATATGCGGCTATAAGCAAAATCCACAAATCATAGTATGAGCAATCCAAATTAACCCCGTGATGGAGCCAGCTTTACATGCTTTGCAACACGACTTTTGATCTGATCCTAGGAAATTGGAATATTGGACTCGGGGAAGCATCCTGTAGCTCCATTGCTGCACATAATTTCATTTCACTAGGAAGAGTAAACCCTCTTTGGCTACGAACTATATAGTCTTTGCCGACAAAGCCCATTTGTATTTGGCTATTATTTAGTTCATCACATTGACATGGTGCTTCCGCACTTAAAATCTTTGCTCCCTTGGAACTGTCCACTGGTCTGTTTAATAGGGAAAATATGAACAAATTAAGATCAAGGGTGAAGAGCATTGGAGTGAAACTGAAATATTGAGTTTGAGTTGATATAGTGTAATGCTGTGTTAACTGTATCTCCACGAGTTGATATAGTGTAATGCTGTGTCAACATGTCTCATACCGAAGATGTTTATTAAATCTAAAAATTTATATTAGGTTTTGGGTTGAGTTGCAGAAACGCTCTTTGTACTGAGAATGATAAGCAACGCACGAATTGGAAAGTGCTAAAATATATGGACAATAACAAGTTTAAAAGAGACAAGGAAACAATCCACTTACAGTTGAGTAGACCCGGCATTCCTCTCACCCAAACTTATCAAGCAAGCACGTAGTGTAAAAGAAGGAAAGTGAGAACCAGGTGGAGCTATTTTGAAAATTGCTTGATGGACGAATTTCAACATTTTGCTTTCGAAGTTGTAGCTTAAGATCCCTTCTGAAGTGCCAAAGAAAAATTCATGAGAAGATGGACTTATTGCATGTGGTTTCAACACTGGAGTACCAATATCACACGGAAAGCGCCATTCCAATCCCTTGCCAAAAAGAGTATATCTGAGATTCCATTTATCACCAGATTCGCATCGATCATCGTAAGACCAAAAGCGAAAAACATTTGAACTATCACGCTTTATATAACAGACAAGTTCCATTGACACCCCAAGACATGCCATTGTTAAATCGTGGTTGTCGTCGTCTTCAGGGACATGAGGGAGTTCAAAGGCTCGAGCTTTGATAGTATTCAGGTCAATACACAAAAGTTTCCCTGAACAAGCTAGGCTGTATATAGCCCCACGCAAGTACACAAAATGACTGCAAACCTTGGAACTTTTGAACCCCTCAATAAACATGGGGTCGAGTTGCAACCCATGTCGAATCCATTCTCCAGATTGCGACGAAAATATGTCAATGTGCACCAGGGTTGGGGTTAGGGTTGAGTTTGAGGTCAAGGTCGAATGGCAACATGATTGTTGTTGAGAATAATCAATTCGGACAACTAGGTAGTGATTGGATTCAATAGGGTCAAAAGCCAAGGCAGCACAAAAATGGTCATGTTCATGTGAAAATGCTTTAGGTATGGAGACATGTTGTCTGGTGATGGGGTTGGAGACACAGAACTGATAAGTGTGTGGGTTGAACAACAGAATTAAGCCATTACAACAGTCGAGGTTACGATCAGAGGTGTCGCGCGTCTGATTTGCATAGAAGCCCAATAATCTCATACGGGAAACTAATTTAGTTGGTTTGTGCAAGTAGATATAATTAAGATCTAGATAGCTGTAACTGAGTTTAACACAAATATCATCAGGTGCGTGCAGAGTGCGGAAGAAAAGACCCAAAACAGGAGACTGCGACCAAAATCTCCGCAACCAAACATGAGAGATTATTTGATGCCATGACTTGGCCACCATCTTGCATTTCACCAGATCCTTCTGTGATAATCTAAACAAAATATTGCACAACAAATCATCACATAAAGATAAATTCCCCATACCCGAATCCTGATCCGCAACGGCAGCGGACGAGGACACCACTGACACGTTACAGAGACGATCAGTAGTCATTCTTGTATATTTAACAAGAAGAAGGGAAATATTTGTGAAACTCAATTTTTATCTTTAGGTTCAGCCACAAGAGAAACCTCAATAAGTTGATTGATATGCGGATTTGACTGGCTGAGTACCAAATCTTTCTCCTATGCGGATTTGACTTTATTTCTTTTTACCTATTTTGATATGTAGAGAAAACTTCTATTATATTCATATTTTCTGTTTTTGGTAGGAAACTCCTATATAATAAGAAAAAAAAATTACTATACTTATTTTAAAGTCCATTTCATATGGGTTTTTATTTTATTTTATAATTTAAACTCCTATATTGAATATAATAATGAATATCCTTTATTTTTTCTTTATTTTTTGCTGTGGAGCAAAAATAGTAGCTGATGTCTTTTATTTTGTTGCTTATTTTGGCTTTCCTCTTCCCACGTGCTCTCTCTCTGGCGTTTTTGTGAACCGTATGCGCCTCAATCCTCATAAAGCATATCGCCATAACCCAAAGAGACATATTTGGGGATAAAAGAAGCTCCGAAGATTGAATAGGTGAAGATAATATCTTCGGAGCTTCGTTTAGCTAATGCTATCTCTTGGGTCAGATTGAGCTCCAGCATTGATTGCCCATCTCTTCTTCTTCAACTCCAAAACGGTGCGTTTCCTGTTTATCCATTCAACTGCTTTTACATTTCATAGCAACAATGCTTTCATGCTTCAAGTCCAATTTTTTAGATTCATTTTCATATGGGTACGTTGTGTTATGGTTTGGGGAAAAGGGAGGGGGGTGGAGGGGTGTTTAACAATATTTGCAGGTAACATAAACTTTTTGAGATGATTAGGTATTGAAGCTTGAAGATAATATAATTTCCTAATTTCGATAAAAATCAAAATTTGGGGGATATACAAGCAATATTGTTGTGCATGTAGCAAAAAGCTCACATCTTTGTGATGAAATTCAAAATTTTGTTCACATTTCAGGTTAAAGAGGCATACATATCGCCCTGGAAGTTGAACAGACTCAGCAGCAGTAGGTTTTAGGTTAAGCTGTTAATAGATGTGCTGAGAGTGATGAGCTTTTATCTTCTATATCATATTTCAGCTTGGGTTTTCCTTGAGACTGTAGTTGAATCAAGGGTTTTTTACATAAGGGGATAAAAATGCAGTCCGGGATACTCCCCAAGGTGAACACTAGTATATGTTCTAGTATTTGGAGAGTACTAAGTGGGAGCGGGCTACGGAATTCGAAAACTTTACTACCTTGTCAGGGAAAATTTTTGTCTCGGAATTCAGGGTTGTCTTGTTCGTTACCATATTCAACCCTTTTGATACCCGACACTGCTAGATATAATTTTAGTCCTTTGCATAAGGGAAAATCTATGGCTGCTTCAAGTTCGACACCTGTTTTTGGGGACGTTTATGTTGATGACTTAATTTCAAGTTGCGGGAACTCATTAGACTTCACAAAACCTACGGCTGTTTATTTTAATGATAGATGCCAGAGCAGTTTCCTGAAAGCTAGCGTGAGTTTCAGAAAAAAAGAATCGTACAACAGTCATCTGATTTCTGTGCATGTTGGACCTTGGTTGAGGAATTTCCATAACTCATCTTCCATGTGCTGTGCTGCTGGTGCTGCTCATAATGTATCATTTGATGGCAACTCTAGTGATGAACAGCTTGCAAATTCTACCATTTTGTCCGACCCGTATGTGCTGTTTACTTTGCCTCTTTTGTTGTTTGCTGGTCATTTTCATTATCTTAGGGTCTCCATTGCGTTTTCATTTACTCAGCACTCATAAATTAAGTCTTTTTCGTTTGGAATGGAATTAAGGGTTATCTTCTGTGCACGTGGATGCTAAAATGTTAATTTATTTATATAAAACAGTATGAACTTGGTATCTAGTGTAGAACAAATGGGATTGATTAGTGTTTACAGCTTATAGCACTCTCTAATACCAATATAGGCATTGGTCTCCACAGTGCTTATATATATTGCTTGGTTTCATTTTCAGACCAATTTTGGGACAAAAAGCTCCGAAACTACTTTCAGGATCATGTTATCTGCCACATCCTGATAAGGAGGAGACAGGAGGAGAGGATGCCCATTTTATTTGTGAAGATGCACAAGCAATTGGTGTAGCAGATGGTGTGGGTGGATGGGCAGATGTTGGCGTCAATGCAGGACACTTTTCTCGCGAACTTATGTCACATTCTGTAAGGGCAATTCAAGAGGAGCCTGAGGGTTGCTTTGACCCAGCCAGGGTGTTAGAGAAGGCCCACTCATGCACCAAAGCAAAGGGTTCTTCAACAGCTTGCATCATTGGCCTTACGGAAAAGGTTTGTTGTTTTCATTTTGACTAACCATTGGTGCTGTAATTTACTGTTTGGGATACCTTATCATTTTGACCTTGTAAGGAAAGATGTGATCTGGTTTGTGGAGGCAATCATGTGTGGCTGCATTATACTGCTGTAATAAATTGACAGAAATGATCTTAGTGTCTAGTATCTATCCATTATTATATGCAAACCAGGGTTGGAATTATTTCAAGAAAGGACCCAAGTACTTCCTGTAAATGGACTCTTCCATATGCATAGTAATTGCTGACTTTTGCATTTAGTATGTTGAGTTGCAAGACTTACTTATATATAAGTGGAAGTCTGTTAAATGCATCGAATAATCTTGAAATAAGTGATTAATAGAGATTAAAAAATAGGCTGCAGATGCCCTGCCCTTGTGAGTCAAACCTGGATAGGATGCATGATCGAAGTTTCTAGTACATAAATTAGAACAACTTTTCCTGGTCTGTAAGATCACTTGAGTTTGATTGTTGTGTGCAATTTGGATGCTTGTTTTCTTGAGCGTAGAAAGTCAGGAAAGGTTTATATATAGTAAGTATGAGTGTGTTTTCTCATCAGTTTTCTTCTTCTAATAGGGACTACAAGCTATCAATCTTGGGGACAGTGGATTTGTAGTTGTCAGAGATGGAAGCACCATCTTCCAATCCCCTGTGCAGCAGCATGGCTTCAATTTTACGTATCAGCTGGAAAGTGGCAGTGGGGCTGATCTACCTAGCTCCGGTCAGGTCAGTAAATTATTGAGCATTATACTAGTTGTCACTCGCATATCATCAAAGTAATACATAGATTCCCCCAAATGAACTTGTTTTGACTCTATATATTCTAAAAACACTGCTTCAAATGGCTGTAGTGGAGAACTGGCCGTAAGATCTGATATTATGTTTTCATTTTCTTAAATACACAATTTTGAAATCTTGAGAGCTTAGGGTTTCTTATCCAAATCACACTGCTTCCAATAGATGTGTGTCACTTTCCCTGTCATTGTATGTACATTGAGGGGAGAAAACTTTAATAAAATTCCCTGACCAACTAGCGTCTAATTGGGATTCGATGTGGACCAGGTCTTTTTGATTCCTGTTGTCCCTGGAGATGTCATTATAGCTGGAACCGATGGGTTGTTTGACAACTTGTATAACAACGAGGTTACTGCTGTTGTTGTTCATGCGGTAAGGGCTGGCTTGGAACCACAGGTAACTGCTCAGAAGATAGCAGCTCTGGCACGGCAGCGAGCACTAGATAAGAACAGGCAGACACCATTTTCTACAGCTGCTCAAGAAGCCGGGTTCCGTTATTATGGAGGCAAGCTTGATGACATTACGGTTGTTGTGTCCTATATAACTGGCTCCAGTAATGTGTGAGTGAGTGAGTCTCTCAAATCCGGGTGTAGACAAACCATCTCTTTCCTTTTTGTAAGGTTGCTGGCGGAGCTTAGAAGCTCATCACTCTGTTTTGCCATGAAACCCAGAGGGAGCTGTATTTACATTGGTTTTTTTTCTAGTGCTATCTGAGATATTATTTTCATCATCAGTGTCAAACAATACGTGCAATTTCTTCTCTTCTAGTTCTCGACTTGAATCTGAAAAGTTTGAGCTGTATTTCACTTAAAAACGCCACCCTTCCAAAAGTGTGATTCAATCAACTTTAAAACAGGTTGCATTTTCACTTCGTTAAGGAGAGTACTTGAAATACATAGAATTGTGTTTCCTCAGCCTTTAATTCTGTTTTTCCTTGAAAAGGATTGAAATAAGATTCAATATTTTATCTTTCAGTTGCAGATGTCTGTTCTGTAGGCTCAAATATTTCTTATCAACAAATAAATAATTTTCATCCTTTTTTTCCCTCTAATTTGCAGCAAAATTTGTTTTGGACTTGGGTCATAGAAGTTTATTAAATTAAAAGAAAACACGCAGCATAACATATATTATTTTTATTAACAAAACGTGCAGCAATCCAAACTCATTAGACAGAACAGCCGAGCCAACTGGAGAAGATAGATCGATTAAACCCTCAAGACCCTCAAATATCTCTTTCCCTCTTCAACATCAATGCCTCTGCCACCTCCCTCTCGTTCCTCTGGCTGTCTTCCTGCTGACTCTTCTGGTCTTTCTTTGCCTTCCCTTTCTTCCTGTTGTCTCCTAGCCTCTTCTTGCTCCGTCTCTGCTTCCTGCTCTCTTCTTTCCCATTCCTTTTGTTGCTGCCTCTCCCTCTCTGTTTCTTCCTCTTGTCTTCTTTCTTCTTCTCTTTGCCTCCCCTCCTCTTCCCTCGCTGACTCTTCTGGTCTTTCTTTGCCTTCCCTTTCTTCCTGTTGTCTCCTAGCCTCTTCTTGCTCCGTCTGTGCTTCCTGCTCTCTTCTTTCCCATTCCTTTTGTTGCTGCCTCTCCCTCTCTGTTTCTTCCTCTTGTCTTCTTTCTTCTTCGCTTTGCCTCCCCTCCCCTTCCCTCTTTTTTGCTTCTTCTTCTTCTCTCTGTTTTGCTGCTTGTTCTTCTTCTCTCTGTCTTTCTGCTTCTTGTTCTTTTTCTCTCTGTCTTGCTGCTGCTGCTTCTTCCTCTCTCTTCTTTGCTGCTTCTTCTTCCTCTCTCTTTCTTGCTGCTGCCTCTTCTTCCTCTCTCTTCCTTGCTGCCTCTTCTTCTTCTCTCTTCCTCTGTTCTTTCTCCTCTGCTCTCTTTCCAGCCTCCTCTTCCTCCCACTTCTTAGCTTCCTGTTCCTCCCTCTCCTTCTCAATTTCTTCCAACATCACTCTCTCCTCTTCTTCAGCACAAGAAGTACAATCTATAATCACTGAGTCAGCCTGTGCAGCCAAAAGTTGATCAACCGTTGTGTTGCTGACATTAAACGACGCCGCCAAGACCTGTTTGTCCAAACTCTGCAGAACAGAGTATTTTCCAGCCAAAAACTGTGGATAGTTTCTCCTCGTTGTTGTGCTGAACCCCATGAACACAAGGGAGTCATTGTTAAACGTCATCTGAGCCATTGGATGGAACCTCGGCACAGCAAATACATCTCCTTCATGAACCCTAAGCCTCATGCTTTTGCACTCTGATTTCTTTGCTGCAGTGCTAGAACAAACCACCCTAACCATCCCTTGCCCATGTAGTACTATTGCAATCTCAGTTGCCCTTGGATTCCAATGAGGCCCCATCATTGACCCCTTCAATAACAGAGCGAGTTTTAGAATTAGGCATCAAATTAATTAGACTCTAATTAACATAAGATCAAGCTAAATACCACAGAACCAGACCTTTGTCAAATTCACCATGAAAAGACCAATGTTTGATCCCTTCAACAATTGGGAGTTTTTCTTGTTCACAGTTAAGCTCCAACCATTGCAGTTCTTGAAATCTGGGTCCTCATCAAAAATATTATAGGTCTTTGTTTTCTTCTTGTTCTTGTTGAATGCACTGCCATCTTTGCCTGTCAGGAAGGTTTTCAAAAACCGAGCCTCCAAATCCCAGAAAGTTTCCTTCTTTGTTGGCACTGCGTGTACAATGCCTGATTGGTCTGTTCCATTTATTATTGATTCTATCACTTCATCAGAGACCTAATCAACCACATTGTCTAGTAGTCAGAAAACCAACAAAAACCAAAATCTTCGCAATTATTTCTGACAGATAGCAGGATGATTACAATTTACAGCAAAGTTGTCGATTTTTGCCCAGAGTTGTTCATACCTTAAAAGCTGATCGAAGCACTTTCGGATCAAAGGCTCGGACCAGGTCCCTAACACTAGAGTATGCTCCTATTGCTGGGTCCTGCACAGGTTTTGGTATCAGAAAAAAGAAAATTCGGACACAAGTGAATGAAAATGTCCATTGAATCAGGAAAAGAAAAAGAAGCAGAGAAATAGGTGGTCTTACGTATAAGTCATCATCAGTGTTAGTTGCAAAGATTGCATAGATTCTAAGCTTCTGGCGCTCAGCCTGCAAGTCACTCTGTACAAAGAAAACAGAGCCTGGCCTAAGCCTAAAGAGATCACCTCTCTTTATAGCCACCCTTTTAATGTCATCCTCATCACCCCAACTCAACCTCCCACTGCCTAAACCCACCAAAACAAAGATTACAAAAAAACCCAAATCAATAATAAACAAATAAAAAGTATAATTAGAGCACCTGTATGAACATAGAGGACCATGTCTGCATGGAGAAGCACTGGAAGGAAGAGAGAGTTGGGTTCCAAGGTGATGAACTGAATATGGTAGGGCCCTCTGTGCCCATCACTGATATCAATGGATGAGATCTCTCCGTACTCTGTCACAACCAATGCCCTCCGTTGATCTCTCTTCACCAGAGACCCGGCAGCAGCAGCAGAAGCACCTGAGCCATATTGTTCCTCATTGCTCAATATTGCCTTTGCAGCAGGCAAAGACAGACCAATGAAAAGCAAGATGAAGAAGGTAAACGGAAATGGTTGTTGGTTTGAAGATTTGTTCAACATTGTAAGAAAAGTGAACGGATTGCAATGAAGTGGGGAGGTTGAGGATCTATATAGAAGAAAGGTGATGATATGCGGATCAGATAAACAACATAGCTCATGCGTTTCAATCCAAAAAAAAAAGTTAGAGCCAGGTGGCTTTGTTCATGGACACGTGGATGGTGATTCAGGCACGTGGCAGGTGGTCAGGGTACGTGTCTACCCGTGGAGGGAGACCATGCAGTTGAGAAGTTTTCGCGGGAATCAAACGGGTTTTTGTTAGAAAATCTGAGTTGGGCTCGGACATTTTGGGCTCATGACGTCTTCAAACGCTGTATTGTATTGTTTTATTTGTGTCCTTGTTTTTTTTTGTTGGGTGGGTTTGTTTTTTTTTTTTTTTTTTTTTTTTTTTTTTTTTTTTACTTTGAATTTATTTGTGTTGAATTTTTATTTATTTATTTATTTAAATATACAGGGGGAATTAAAAGTGAATTAAACAAATGTAATTTATTTTATTCAAATAAAATCATATTGGAATGGTGCTCTTCAAAAGAGAAGAAGCAGCACAATTTTTAGGGTCTTTCTCAATTTTATTTATTTTATTTTATCCCCACTCACTAATGGTATTTTATTTATTTATTTTTAGAAGATCTGGCTAGGCCATAGCTTTTGGCTACTACAAAATAAAAAAATGTACGGATATTAATATGGTTTAGTTATATACAACTAATTGTAGACAAAAACTACTCAATCAGTTTTGGATTTGATACTCAAAATATTAACCTTCTTGGATTTAAACCTTATTTATTTATTTATTTATTTTGGTTGGCAAATTGGCATTGAAAGGGGCCTAAGGCAAAGGGCATAGCTTCCCGTTAATGTCTTGGTTGTATCATCAATCCAACTACATATCTGAGAGTTGGTCATGCCATCATCAATTCAAGTTGCAGAAGAGTACCAAACAACTTTCACCATACACCACATACTATTTGGAGGAATCACAGAGAGAGAGAGAGAGAGAGAGAGAGAGAGAGAGAGAGAGAGAGAGAGAGAGAGAGAGAGCATGTATAAAATGTGGAGGAATCAAAGAAGAGAAAAAGAAAATGAAGATTGGTGGTCATACATATATAAAAACTAAAATGAATCAAGGGGTATTTTTCAAAGCAAAATCAACATATCCAGTGGGGATCCCAATCCCATATCACAAAAGGAGGAGGGCTTGCTGGCTCTAAGTGTAAGGTGAATGCTTGCATGAGAGATAGATAGAAGATCCTCAGGCCACTATGGTGCCTAAAAAATCTGCCTACCACAGCTGCATGCGCCAGTGCTCTCTCTCTCTCTCTCTCTCCCCATCACCCTTTGCCTTTTATTTTCTTTTGGAGAGTGGGTGAATGGACTAGTGAGACCATCTTTATATGAATGATTTAAATCAGAATCTCAACCCCCCCTCAATTCCCATCACCTCCTCTCTCTTTCTCTCTGTCTCTCTCTTTTGTGTGCTTCAAGCTTCCTTCTCCCACCGTGTTACTTAATTATAAGAAACCTTAATTCTTAAGTAAGTACTTTTCTACATCCATTGATAAGTATTGGCTACAGAAAACTCCATTTTCATACTGCTTTGCAATATTAAACTATCTTTAGGTCACAGGAAAAATTCTTTTCGCCCACTTTTAAAAGCATTAAGTAAATCCTGAATACATATAAACAACTCGTGAATCCTCGCGTATATGCACGAACGGAGTTTAGGGTAGTGAGAAATTTAATCCCAACATCTATAACAATATTGATAGTTTATTAATAGAAGAATTTTGACTATAAGGAGTTAAGAGATCATGTTAAACAAACCTTGGATCTTCCATATCCTGCCCATAATGGAATCATTTGCTGATGTTTTCCTTTGTATTATTAGGAAAATATGCTTATCATTATTGTCGAAAGTCTCTGTAGATATACAATTGAATTATTTTGTAACTCTTCATCGACGCCGTCAGTTGCATTATTTTATTATATTCTAAAAGAATGGACGAGGATGCCTTAATAGTTAATGGTATATAAAATCATCAAAGCTCAAATCAATCTGCAACATCTATACTTGTCAATTTACAAAAAGAAATGTCCATTTAAAAAAAAAGAGGTTAATTAATACAAACTACAATGACATTAGGATTTGTCGTATTCTTTCTGTTTTTTCTACTGCAACGTATTCTGTCCTTTACCATCTATTTATCTTTTCTTTTTAGTTTTGTCATCTTCTCGGTTCTGAAATTAAAAGAAAGGAAAAGAAATAAAAAAAATTAAAGCTTTTTTATTTTTATTTTTTATAACTGGATTTAAAATGAGAAACTTATATTTGACCATACAATTTAAGGTTTTTAATGGAATGTTAAAAGAAACTATACAAAAAGAGACTACGTTTGATACTTGTTAAAAATTATAAAGAAAACTCTATATACACAAGTGGCTTAGACGGTGAATTTAATTTGCAAACTAGTGGTCTTAGATTCGAACCTTATGACACTTCATTGGTAATGTGTGTGTGAGAAATCCACTTCTCCTTCCCAACTTCGAGATAATTTTTTTTCTAATCATGCAACAGAATGCAATAAAAAATGAAATTCAAATCCCTCATTTTAAATTCAGAGATCAAAATGCAATTAATTTTTTTCTTGAATGTAGTTGCATAGGATCCTATATCATCCTTTCATAGTGTTTACATTATTAAACGACAGAAAAAGAGCACAGAAAAACTAAAAGAATTGGCAATTTAACACAAACCCTTTCTTTTCCTCTCCTTCTTTTTGGCTTTGGAATTAAACACATGATAATCAGCTTGATTAGGACTTAAGTGCTTCAGCTCATTATAAAATTAGTACTAAAATACTTTTGTTTATAGGTCTCTCGCAAAAAGACTCGACCCATCTTTCTGTGGTGGGCAAAAACTTTTCCAATAGTAAAGTTCCTCCCACCCATCGCACCCATTACCAAAACAAAAGGTGCAGAAAATATGCATCGCTAGATCTTGTGTGTTAACTTGCTCTTTGGTACGTAAATGGACGGAAGGATTTGCATCAATCAATCGGTGATTGCAATCTCTCTCCCTCTCTCTCTCACCATATTGGAAATTCTTGTAAGGAACATATTCTCTCTTTCTGGTCGCCGCCAATGGCAATTGGCCAAAGCAATCCTACGTGGGCCTGGTTTCTACGCTGCTGTGGTGCATGCCCATGCAAAACCATGCATGTCCGACAAAAAGCAACCCTAGTGGCTCCTACTTGTGGGTCCTGTGGGTCCCTCGCCTGTGCCCAATCAATCTACGCTGGAGTGTTTGCATGTAGGGTCCATCCCTTTGGCCTTTGGGTCCCTCCTCAACGTCAACAAGTGTGAACGTTGCTTCATTCTTCTAGACTACGTCGACAGTTCGTTCTTTGATTAATTAAGTAAATTAAGAAGAGTACAAATTAATGCTAGTTTAGGGTATTAAACCTAACATAAAGAGAGAGTTAATTATACTCTAATTAGGTTTTAATTGGTACTTTGCCAACTTCCGATGTGGGAGAGTGAGCCAGTATCTGCGGCCCTCTCAAAGATTTAATGATGGTTCTTTTTCTAAGCTTTTCTCAAAGTGGGATAAGTAAAGGTAAGGGGGATTGGTTTTAGTAAGAGCTTTTGTGGGTCCTCTCCTCGGAAGAGTTTGGGGGAAACACAACTTTGGAGCTTTAACGCCACCTATAGTTTGACTTATTTGTCGTTTTACGTTGAAGACTTGAAACGAATTGAGAAGTCTTCCTATATGCAAAGGCTTTGGAATTTTGTACAGATGATGTGAAGGCATTGCGAGTGACCGTTTTTCACCTTTACCCATTTTAACAGATTCAAGACGAAAAAGGAAAAGGATGCATGACATTAACCAAAACACAATTAGGACTGAAATGGAGCAATATTAGGCATGGTCAGTATGAGCGCGTGTGACTTCCAACTGTCCACTCCACGTGGTGTTCCTATATGTGATTTTCTTATTCTAAAAGTTATCACTAATAATAAACTTATAACAAAATAAATAAATTCAGAGTTTGAATCTGCTCATTATATTGTTAATCACATTTATTTCATAAGTGGAGTCCACTCACACATTAAGATAGATACCTCAAATTAAAATAAATATAAAAATATAAAATTTTGGTGAGGAATATGATGAGGAAAATATAGTGCATGGAAACCTAAACTTTCCCCGTTGAAGCCAATCGTTGATTGGTGCATGTAAGTAGCTAGCCAACCGCTCACTTCACTGGTTTGAGTGATTAAAGTTTTGCCTATGCGATCCTTCTGAAAATCAAGCAACACTAGATGGGTTGAGTTCAGTGCTTTGCATGGGCTGAGTGAGAGTTAACAAAAAGCGAATTAGGCAGCGAATCAAACAAAGACACAGAAACTCAAAAAGCAAATGGCCATGGAAGACTTGAGCAAGAAGCCTCAAAGAGATTAAAAGCCTCCTCTGACCCTCGTCATCCATGTCTGTCATGTATGACATATTAATGCAAGCAAGCACCAACCACCATGCACACACGCAAAGATAAAAAGCCAGCAATCATCACATCCAAAAGCCCCCTCACCTCTTCTTCAACCTCATCTCCCTCTTTCGTTTCCAGCACCCAAAAACATAGCAGCAGCTCACAGAGAAAACAGAGCTTTCTTGCTAAGCCATGAGAGTACCCGTTTCCTCTCCACAAACCAACCCAAAACTCGAATCTTGCAACAACACAAACACCAACCAAACCAACCGAGGCCTCAATTTTCCTGCCAATCTCAATATCCAAAACTTGTGCTACGAACCCACGTCGGTTCTTGACCTGCGCCACAGCCCCAGCCCGGTGGCCGAGCAAAAACCCGCAAAAATTTCAGCGGTTTCAGACGTCCTGTCTCACTCAAATCACCATGACCCTCTTGAGTGGGACGAGCAGGCCCTGCACAATCTGGACTGGGACTCGATCATGAGAGACTTGGGCCTGCACGACGACTCTGTTCCCAACTTGAAGACTTCAATTCCGCAATTGAACTCCACCGACTCACAAATTTCTCATCTTTCCGACTACCCACATCCCCAGCCGTTCGACCCGACCCAGCTGGTCCACTCCGATTTCAACATCAATCTCTCCGAAGTATACTCCACCCAGAATTTCACTAACGCCACCCACAATTTTTACGACCATCAGCCGGGAAATTGGAACGTCGGGTTTGATTTCATAGAGGAATTAATCCGCGCTGCGGACTGTTTCGACTCGGACGAGTTGCAGCTCGCCCAGGGGATCCTGGACCGCCTGAACCAACGGCTACGATCTTCCTCCCCGTCGAAACCCGTCGGGAAGCCGCTCCAGCGTGCGGCGGTTTATTTCAGGGACGCCCTCCAGTCCATCCTCAACGGCTCAGATTCAGCGGCTGACAATCAGCTCTCGTCCTGGTCCGAAATCGTCCAGACCATCCGCGCCTACAAGGTCTTTTGTGGAATTTCACCAGTCCCGATGTTCTCCCACTTCACGACCAACCAAGCCCTCCTGGAAGCCCTCAGCGGCTCCGCCTTCATCCACGTCGTCGACTTCGACATCGGCTTCGGCGGCCAGTACGCTTCCCTGATGAAAGAGCTCGCCGAGAAAGCTGACGTGGCTGGCCGAACCAGCCCAGTCCCACAGGTGCTCCGCATCACCGCTGTCGTGCCCGAGGAGTACGCAGGCGAAACCCGGCTGGTCAAGGAGAACCTCTCCCAGTTCGCTCAGGACCTCAAGATCAGGTTCCAGGTAGAGTTCGTCTCCGTCCGTACGTTCGAGATGATGTCCTTTAAGGCCGTCAAGTTCATGGACGGAGAGAAAACGGCGGTTCTGCTCTCGCCGTACATCCTGCGCCGCCTCTGCTCTCAGAACAACATTTCCGCTTTTCTCGGCGACATGCGGCGGTTGTCGCCAAGCGTCGTGGTGTTTGTCGACTCCGACGGGATGGGGGACTCCGCAACGACGTCTTTCAGGAGGAACTTTGTCTCCAGCCTCGAGTTTTTCTCTGTTATGCTGGAGTCGCTCGACGCGTCCACGGCGGCTTCCAGCGAAGTGGTGAAGAAGATTGAGACGTTTTTGCTGCGGCCGAAGATTCAGGCGGCGGTGGAGGCGGCGGGGAGGAGGGTCCCACCGTGGCGGGAAGCGTTTCGTGGGGCGGGGATGAGGGCTGTGGAGCTGAGCCAGTTTGCGGACTTTCAGGCCCAGTGCTTGCTGGGGAAGGTCCAAGTCAGGGGGTTCCACGTGGCGAAACGGCAGGCCGAGTTGGTGCTTTGCTGGCACGATAGAGCCCTGGTTGCCACGTCGGCATGGAGGTGTAATTAGGGCAGCTAATTATCGTTTTGCAGCTAGCTAGCTGGCTAGAACTAGCTAATAATTAAGTAGTTATTTTACTTAATTATAGTCTATACTCTTACTCTTTAACTATTGGGGGTTTGGGGTGTAATTATGTTTTAAGTGTTAAGTTAATGATCCCGACCAATTTGTTTTGTTGGATTTGGGACTAGTTTTCTCTTTCTTTGGTGTATGCGTGGTTCTCGTTTGGTTTTGTCCTTGTAACTCTTTTTTCGGCTTGTTTTTTAACAAACATAACAGGGAAGCTAAGCAATTATTGGCAGCATCCCAACGCTCAATTATGAATCAATGAATCATATTTCATTCCACATCACTTATTTCTTACAATTCTTCTTCATTGATTCAATTATAAGATTGAATATTGTAGCCTGAGTTTGTAACTAAAATAGAGCGTTTAAATTATTAACAATATACTGCTAGTTAAACCAAGTGAGCAAGATGATCTTAATTTGGTCGCAATTACATGTTGGTGAGATTGTATCAAGCACACTCCAACCCCTCAGATTAGTAGGGCAGACCCGATAACAAAGCATGCAAGTGGTTTGTAACGCAAATGATTTAAGAGTATTTATCATTGCACTTGAGATCCTAAGTTCGATTTCTCATTTTTCAATATTAATTGGTCATTTTTACATTACTAATTGCTTTAGTTCATATATAGGTGGCTAAACCCTCTTCCCACGATTAATAATCTCAACATGTGAATTCGATTGAATTAAAAAACAATTACTGTTGCTTTAGTTCATATAATTACAGTTGATTAGGAGTAAAATTCACATAATAGAGTTTTTTTTTTTAAGGATATTTACAATAATCTATGGAGAGAGGAATTCGAACTTGGATGTAAAAGGGCACTCGCATACCCACGTTTTGCGGAATGGGTTTTACATTTAACGAAAAATCATTTTAAGTGATATTAATTTTTAATTTAAAATGATATTTTAATTACTTTTACCTTTTTGGTCCTTAATTTAAATTCTCAAGTTTTTTTCCATTTATCTCGTGTCTACTAACTTAGATTAATAAATCACAAGTATAAAAACGCCATATATCGAAAACAAAATTAACGGTTAGGCGGTTTCCCTGCGCTCTTTGCTCTGCTCGGAGATGGCACTTCTCGGATCCAACATAGCCAGCGAGGTCAAGTTTCACCTTCCTCCTTCGATTTTGCTTTCCCTTGCTCTTTGCTCAATGACATTTTTCTCTTTTGGCTTTCTCTCGTTTCAATTTCGCATCAACAGTTGTAACAGGCTGATCCCAAAATTCGAATTCCTGTTTGATTTAGGGATTCATAATAACTGATAATATGAAATTAAATTGTTTATTCAATAATATTTCTGATGATTCACTTTAAATTGATTATTTGTTTTTAGAATTTCAATTTTTGCTGATCCGGTGCAAGATAATGAATTAGAGGAAGTAAACCAATGATTTTAATACCATTTCCAGTGAGAAATTAAGAAACTTTGATTGTCAAATGCAGGTAGGTTTACGATTGCTCCTTTGCCCTCTCGGTTCAAACATTGTTCTTCGAACAGCATGGTAAGCCATGACTACTGTTTCTTTCTTCTGTATAAGCTTCAAAAATGGTTATTTTGTGATTAGACGTTGAATTTTTCTCTGGTATAGTTGTTCTGTGGGGATTGGTATACCAGTATACTGTACATGCAAGGCAATTGAGAGGAAAGATCGTAATGCACAAGAAAAGTGGCTTTTATATTGGGCAGGTTAGAAATTATTATTATTATTAGTATTATTTACCTTTTGAACTTGGAGTTGGTTCACCTTTCATCTCAACTGTATATAACACAGGCTTATGATTTTCGGACATTATCATGCAACTAATTTAGTTCTTTCAATTGTCCACTTCAAATGGTTGCAGCTTATGGATCTTTCAGCCTTGTGGAAATATTTTCAGACAAGCTTATTTCTTGGTAAGACTCTGGATCCTATTTCTCAAAATCATTACATTTGTCATGAAGTTAGATACTCTATTTTAGGTTAGATGGGTCAAGTTTTCCCCCTTGAAAATCCGATAAATTGTTTTATTTGTGTCGTTTAACATGTACTACTTTTTTACATGTGCATATTCATCTTCGTATATTTGCCCAGAATCCCATACGGTTTTGTGTAGTTTCAGGATTACTCTTGACCTCTTTCGAGTTTGTACATTACAGATGGTTTAGTTAAACCCCTGATGAATTGCATGTGTCAACCACAATGTTTTGATGAATTGAATAGCAAAATATTCAGCTTTCCTATATAATTAAAAGAAATCCACATTTTGAAGAATAATAAAATCAGATATCCTACACTCTTTCATATTTTTTAAATTTATCTATTCACATACTTGTTATAATCATGACATGAACCATTTCTCCAACAAGACTATGGTGCAGTAGCATTCAGGATATAATGTGTTTTTAACTATAGTTACAAATGAGATTATATTGGCATAGGGAAAGAATAAATTGTATCTTAACAACGTTATAAGAAAAGATATCACTACTAATTTAAGCATGCATTTCCCTGAGATTGATAGACAACCTCATCTTTATTGTCGTTGTAACCAGGTGCCCAATGTACTATCATTTGAAGTTTGCCTTTCTTGTTTGGCTCCAACTTCCATCTGTCGATGTAAGTTCAATGCTATTCTTCTCTTTGGAGTGTTTGTGTCAGTACATAATGAAAATGACAAAGGCAGTCACAAAGTTGAGTTGGTTCTAATTATCTATTTTCTCTCACCCTCTCTTGCATTAACTTCCAGTATGTCATTTCAATTATCCTTGTATATTCAAACTCATTTGTAATTCGGGAAACATCCTGGGAATGTTTGGATAAATTGAGTAATTTCACCATTTTTTCATCTTTCTGTTTTGAATGATATTTTTTCTTTGCCAGATTGGGATGAGATTTGACCCATGACCTATTCTAATCTTAACCCTTTTCCCCACCTACCTCATCACTTGAACTCTTCTCCTGGGTTTATTAACAAAACCATATTACATAGTTACTGTGCATATATATATGTATATATATATATATATATATAATTATAAAGTGAAGCTCATTGCAGATAATATTAAAGCATATTTCTTTTGAATTAGGTTGAAATTTCTTTTTGAAAGGCATTTTGGAAGGGACAGCATTCTGGTGCAATGAGATTATGAGGAGTAAAATGTAGTTTAGACTAGTTGATTTAGCTTTAGAGTTTATATCTTTTAGTTGTGATGTCAAGTGATAAGCAGCTAGTCTCTGCTGTCAGCCAGTAAAGATAGCATCATGATTGTCATCCAATTCTGTTGAACATCACTTGTTAATGAGGATGATAACAGGCACTTGGAAGAAAATAAATGCATATTCATTTGGGTGTTTTTTTTCTGTGGTTGCATTTTTAGCTGTGTTCATAATGCTTTGTAGCATTTCATAGCACACTCTGTTTATATGCATAACTTTATGAGATACAGACACATGGGGAAAATTGTGTTGTAATTAACTACCTGCTTTCTTCTATAAAAATTAGTAAATAACTGCCTGATTCTACCAGGGAGCAAAGCAGTTGTACACGAATCATCTACGTCCATTCTTTTTGAAGCATCAAACTAGGGTTGATCGAGTTCTGGGACTCACATATGGTGAATTGGTATGCCTTCTGTCTCTTGAGCAATATGAGTTTATGTGAATATTACTTTGGTAAGCAGTACCCTTGAAATTTGTTGGTCATGGTCAAAATCAACTGTCTCTGCAAGTGCTTGTTTCTGTTGTTACATTGTAGGTAAAATACTACAGTGTACATTCATAGAGCTGTCTGGTTTCTATATTGCAGCACAAACTCATTAGTGCACACCAAGCGGAGATTGAGTATGCTAGGGCTGTGGTGATGAAAATTTTGGGTTCAGGTGAGAATGACATTGGTACCCCCACCACACACTCAAAGTCAAACACCTACAGTTTCTCCCCTACAAAGGGATCGTATATAATGTGATGGATATCATTAGTTTAACAGGCTAGTAGTTAGAGCTTGTTTGTTATATTTGCTGGTCCAGTCTTTCTGACTACAGTTCATTGCCCTCCCTCCTATTTAACAGACCCGAGGCCTAATTCTGACATACCACGACAGAATGCAATAGAAGGCCAGGCAAGAATAGCCCCAGTTTCGGAGTCTGATCATGAGGATTAGTGATATTATTAAAAAGAGAATGATTAGTGTTTTTTCCTGTTGGTAATATGTGTAGTTTTGAAATCCTTCTGTTCCTGGTGCAAAAGGAGAAAAGAAAGAAAAGTACCGTCCCTTTCATAACGTAATTGTGTATTTCTTATTTGTGCTGTAATTAGTGAAGATGTGAGGTAGTATGCAATGAAGAAAATCATTTTTGGGTAGCTTTACTCTTGGCATGTTATCTCACAATTTGGTAAATATGATGTCAACTTTAACTGTACTTTGGCAGATGGAAATATTGCTCGTGTTTATCTTTACCACATTCGGTTTCACGTTTTGTCCTTTGCTTTTCCTTTCCTACCCTTTTTTTTCTAAACATATCAGAAGCCGTCTCGTTGGAAGTTCTTTAACCAAGCACTGCCTTTTCTAACTGATGCCATGCTAGTTGTAAGAGAAAGGGAAACACCACCTATTTTCCGAACTCTCATATTTGCTGTGGAATTAATGAATCTATGAAAGTAAAAAGCAAGGTGAATTGCATCATTTCTTTCTCAGCCTCTGCCTCCTCGAAACAAAGATACAAAAAGTTCGCTGTTTCTATAACCAAACTCCTCCACGCCGTCCGCAGCATCATTTTGAGCGAGCACAGAAACAGTAACGGGGAGGAAGAATGAGGAAGTACAAATCGGTCAAAAAGATAAATAGTCAATGGAAGCAATCTATTATATACTCTTTTCCAATGGTACAACAATTTGCATGGCTCCGAGGATCCAACTCAGTTGAAAGTTGATAAATAAACGTTGCAGTTACAGAGAAGGGTTAAGTGTATAAATTAGTAAGGGAAACAAATGCTCTACGCTCAATTCGAGTGAGGGTCATGGCTTCCGGAGCTCAATAAATTTCTGTTACTACAAAGAGAGAAATTAATTCCTTCTCAACTGTTGCCCTCACCACCACCAGGCTGCTGCTCAAGGTTTGCTACGAAATCTGGTCCGCACACTCGTGTCAACTCTTCCTGTATAGCAGAAAAAATCATACGTATCAAAAAATGGACTGCACTAGTGGACCAGATTAGTGAAACATTCAGGCAACTTTGATTGCTTTTAACCCATCAAGCTACAACTTGAACCGGCAAGGATCCTCTCCCCATTTGAGTTTATGTGAACATGGATTTGACATTTGGCATAGAAGTAAAATAAGAAGAAGAAAATGCAATTGTATTGAAGTAAACCTTTATATTAGTATTCTCAGATGTGAGTTTCTCGCATTCTTCTGAGAGCCTGTGCAGTTCATCTCTAAGGTTGTGATTCTCATTGCTCAATGTCTCCACCCTTGCTTGTAGCTCTTCACACTCTGCCTGGTAAACATAAGAAATGGAAGAGGGAGTTAAACATATATATGTATGATATCAATATATATTATATTTGTTCAGATGTTAGCACATAGCTCTACTGTTTGATTGGTCCTTTAAAATTGATCATCATGTAGCACACGATGCTTATTAAAATTTCCACTAGTTAATGAGGGACAAATATTACTTTTTTTTCTTCCTCAAATGCAGATTCTCCTCCCATAGCCCCTTCATTTGTGACCAAATTGGGTACTGACCTTTTTATTGAAATTTAAATAAATAAATAAAAAGCGAGATAGAACAGGGAAATTGCTGCCAAATGAAATAATGTATATAAGAACATCTGTACCTGCTTCCGTAATCTTGACCTCCTAGCTGACTCCCTATTTGATTGCTTTCTTTTCTGTCTTTTCAGTTCACGTTCGTCCTGTCAAAATCATGAAAAACAAATTAAAACCTTACTAGAACTTATTATAATGCCAGTCTTTTAAGAAAGATATTCATAACGTCTCCACCATGACTAGGCGAATTTCCTCTTGGCACACAATCTGGCATGTTAATTTACATGGCTGTTAATCTAGCATTAATTAAGTGGAATCTTTAAATGTGCTTCCATATTGGTCCGAAAAATAAATTGACATCTCTCTCTCTCTCTCTCTCTCTCTCTCTCTCTCTCTCTCTCTCTCTCTCTATATATATATATATATATTATATACACATATATGATCATGTGTGTGTAAATTTTTGCATGGATAGTGATTACAAAATAACAATTTAGAAGATAACAGAAAGATTTGTACTTGAATCCAGTGGTCAGCTCCCGTAGCTGATGGAGCACCTGATGGATTTGCTCTCATTTTAGCTCCTCCAGAACCTGCAGGGGTTGCATTCCATAAGTCCATTCCGATATTCAGATTAGTAGCAGGCATAGAGACAGGCTTCCCAGGCACTGAAGCTTGAACATTTGCCCCAGTATTCTGTGCATTTGCCCCTGGAAAATTAATTATGAGCAAACCATTTTACAAATATAACACAAGCAGGAAGTTGAACACGATTAATATACCATCTGCAAGCATCTTGTCAAAGCTTCCCCTCTTGTTTGCACCATACTCCTAGAGAGAAATCAACCATGTTTTCATTAGAAGAAAAAGAACACATCATACCAGAAGAAATTTTGTTCGAACAGGTTAAAACGGAAGTATAAATTCCAACACAGAATATCTAAGTGTAGATGTGGGCAAGCGAAAAATGGGCAACAATAATTTTCCAGATGGGCCCGCAACTTTGTTAGTCAAGCAAAGTAACAACCAACACCTAGGAGCAATTAGCTAAAATGCTTATACACACCTGTTGGTTAGCATTATCTTCACTGCCATCTGATGAACCCTCACTACCACTTTCACCACTACTATCCAAAAAATTTACAGTCAGACAACAAGGCACCACACTGATACAAAAATCTTGCACGGAGCCAATGTAAAAAGAGAAAAGAGAAATCTAAAAAATTGTCGAAAGGAGGAATCCAAAGCAAAGATTGGCACACCTTTGTGAAGCGCCATCATTTCCTGAACCTGAAGTTGCTTTTCCACTCTCCCCAGCCTTGCCACCAACCAAACCTGTATTTCCTGCAGTTCCCTTGGGTTTTTTGGTTGAAACCCGCTCTTTCCCATCTGGGCCCTTCCCTTCCAACTCTGGATTTGTCTGTGCTGAGGCTGGAGTCTAAAGAGTAAATGAATGCAAGAAATCAGCTAATGAGGTTGAAATCTTAGATAACATCATAGAGGCCATTTTTATCAATGAAGATGGACAGACGTGTATAAAGCAAATAGCAAGAAGCAACTTGTGTCATAGTTGGTTTGCGAGGGGATATAATCATATGAGAGGGATAGCATCATACCGCGACCATACTAGGATGAGCATAAACTCCACCTGGAGGATACATGGCTGGGTACGGAACTGGAGTTCCATATGGCGGCATCATAGGATGCTGAAACACAAAAAGAGAATAAACACCACCTTTTTCCAACCCCCAAAAAAAAAGAAAAAAAAAGCAATCTTCTTTCCTATGTAACAAAGGGAAAGACATTTACTTGGGCTCCCCACATATAGGGATGTGGAGTTGGGGAAGCAACAGTAGAGGCGAAAAAGGGAGGTGGAGTAGCTCCAGGACCATAATAAGCCTAAACAAGAAGCTATGAGCTATTAAAATTATTTATCAAGATACCAAAATTTATCTATCTGCTTACTTAACAAAAAATCACATATTGACCCAGAATGTGTTTTCATCATGAACCTGCATAGAGCTGGACCAATCTGGATATGAAGGTGTTGTTGGTATTTCCTGTAAATTCATGGGAGACTGATTAAAAACTTGAGAGGAAAGAATTGAGGACTTAGCAGGAGGGAGGGAGGGACTACCTGAGCTGTAGAAGCTTGTTTGGAAGGCTTAGAAGGCGTGCCCTCTTCCCCTGTCCCCATTTTTGTTGGCCCAGAAAACACCCCTTAAGTTCACAATTTAACAGATCACGTTTATTCTTTTATATATATATATATATATATATATATATATCTATGAAGCACCTGCAAAACAACAAAATTAACAGCCCTAAGATAAGTAATTAGATGGTTCAATTAATCAAGATTAACCAAAACAAAAAATGTGGTCAACCAAAGAAGGGTTGAGAGGGAAAGACTGAAAAATCCCCTTCAAATTGTCAAATATTTACTATTCAGGCACCGATTTGACACTCAAAGCCATGAAATTTATCAACTGGGGATTAATTACACCTACCCTTATCTCAATTTAACTAATTTTCCTATAGCAAGCTCAAAATTCAATCAAACCATTATCACAGAGCTGAAGCAAAAGCTGATAGTATATGAACAGCAGCCAATAAGCGCAACAGATTAACTTGCGTACACAACAAAGAATTCAACAAAGCTCAGATTTTGACACAATCCGTGGAATAATACAAACACAAAACGAACGGAAAGACAATTTACGGGAAATCAGGCCACGAGACGCGTGATTTGCATTATATAAGGAGAGAGAGAGAGAGAGAGACCTGCTTTCATGGCGTTTAGGAGAGTGAGGTGGAAGTCCAGGTGGAACAACACTTTATTTAAGATCAACGGCTAACAAATTAGGAATCTAGGGTTTTCGAATTTAGAACCTTCAATTCAAAACTACGTGGGCGAGAGAGAGATGAAGGCTTCAGCTTTTTCTCTCTAAGTAGTTTTAGTTTTAGTTTTGTCGTTGTTTGGGGATGGGGCTTCGGCTTTGGGTCTGGGGGGGCTGAGTAGATATGTGGGTTGGGGGCTGTACGGAGTGATCCAGTGTGGCGGTGGTCTACCGGAACAAAAAGGGTTAGGGTTTGGCGGGGGAGACACGTGCGAGGAAAGATGTGTCCAGCTGTCCACGTTTCACTGGATTAGATCGTGACGATGCAGAAGCCACGATGACTCATCCTGACAGCGACCTTTTCATATTAATTTAATTTAATATTATTACTTTATTTTATTTCTTTATTGTTTATCTCTACTCTCTCTCTCCCTCCCTCCCTCTTGTCCGGTTTCTTCTACTAACTCTCCTTGATTTACGGCCACGTCACCCTAATAAAAAAGCTATAGTTTTTTAGTTGAACATGTTAAAAATTCATGATCCACTTTCTCCTCTTGAAAATTTGTTCCTTGTATCAAAATACCCGCTGCTGTTACATATTTATCCCACTCATATAATAGCACGTATCTCGATCTTCGATATACACTAATTATGTGAGTCCAACATTTATTACAATTTTTGTAACATGCAGAAACCCCATATCAATACAAACACTTACATATCTTGTGGGTCGTATATGTATACGTGCAATCATCTACAAAATTTAATCAAAGTGTTTTTAGAACCGGAAGAGTTTTGATATGGAACCATACACATCTTTTCATCAGTAAATTATCCAAAATTAAAAATTTTGGACTCAAAAATAGCTTTTTACCTTCTTTACAAATTCACATAACTTGGATATAGTTACCACTAGCAATGATGTTGTCGCTTAGTCAACGCATAAGATAAGCACTACTAAGCAACCAGCACAGAAAGGGAAACAAGATCCTTATCTGAAAGCCTACTGTTTTAACTTGTACTAATTTTGCCATAACCAACAATTCAAGCATCAGAAAGGGAGTCATTATGACTAATCACATTAACTTGTACGAAACAAAATATTCCAAAATCTAAGAGCCTTAAAGGGCCAAGCCAGCATACCTATGAAAATGAAATACAAAATCCAATGGTTTGAGAAGAATTTGAAGAAAAATAAAATGCTAAAGATCAAAATTGACAAAAGATTAAGCTCTTGATTTGTAAAGCAATCCAACTGGGAAAACACTTTGTATCCAACTCCCTCTCTAGCTCTCTATTTGTTTTTTTTTTTTTTTTTTTTTTTTTTTTTTTTTTTTTTTTTTTTTTTTTCCTACCAAGTTGTAATTTACCAATGTACAGTTGCCTGTAACACAAGTTACATAACAACAGTTCAGCTCAGAAACCCTGGCTGGTGTGTACCTATCTATATCTGTAGTTCTTCTGTGTATCCTACAAAAGGTGAGTGAATAACCAAAACAATTCCTAGCCTGTGGAGTGAACCCCTCAGCCCTAAAGAACCCAAAACAGAACCCACAATGCCACTTGTCAACCACACCAGCACTTACATACAAAGCACCTCAAGAAGCTTAATGATCTGCTCTTCTTTCGCCTTTTACCCTTCTTCTTCTCTTCAGGCCTGTCAATCACATGGTTGGTAATTGCCGATTCTTCTTTCTTCACATTGCAGTTCTCAGGATGTTCAACTTCAGTCTCAACGACTTTGGGAGGTTCAGCCTCAGTTGAACACAGTTCCTTGAACAAGTTAGAAAGAAAATCTGTGATTTCCGTGAACTCAGGCCGGGTCTTTGGGTCATGTGCCCAACAGGACTCCAAGAGTGGGATGATCTGCTCAGGAATGTCATCCAGGCTCGGCCGTACTGCCTGCAAACCAAGAGCAAAAAATTCATCCAAATGTTTCCACAGAATGTAGCAAATCATAGAACATCTGTTTCTATGGCAAAAGAAAAGTCCACCAACAGTCATTAAACTTTCGAAAAATTGTTTTCATGTTACACTCAGTTCATCGGATCAGCAGCAAAATCAAACTTCCCAAAATATAAACAATCATACAAGTTTCTTAGTAAATCTAAGGCAATTCGAAAAGATCAAGCACCATGGAATGAAGTGGGCTGAGTTTTAAAAGAGAATAGAGATAGGAGTGCTAAAGAGCTTGCAGTAGCTATCAGATAGAGTTTTCGGGTTTCTGGAATATTATTTTATGTTTAAATGTCAGTCACAGGACTTACTTTCGCTGTAGCATATGCTGCCATTATACTAGCCCTTCCCCTGAATGGAGTTTCGTTCATCAGCAACTCCCACAGAACTATGGAGAAGCTGTACACATCTGCCTTGTGATCATATTGCTTCTTCACTCCTCTTGGAAGTGGCTCTGTGTGGAATAACTAATTCAGATAAAAAGAAAAAAATTAGCCATATTATGAAATTTTTTGCAGTATAAAAATTTGAACAAGTAACACAAAAAACTGCACCTCAGGAGCCATCCACCGGTATGTACCAGCCTCACTAGTCATTGCACCAGCTATCTCCTCTCTAGCATGCCCGAAGTCAGCCAGCTTAATTTGCTTCATGTCTTCTGTAAGAAGTAGATTGGCTGGGAAAGAAAAGAAGGCTATTTGTTAGATTAGAACTCAATTTCTATGATAAACAATGTTTCAACCATATTGTCTAATACTCTAGAATTAGAACTTAGACGAGCATGCAAAACTAAAAGAAAACAGGATGATTCTAACAATAGCATTCTGGTAAATGTTCAAAACTAGAAATGATTTGTATAAATATTTTTGTGGATCTACTAAGGACCTCATTTACAATTAGAAGCGGATATGTTGCCAACCCAAACTCCTGATCAGTTGCCCGTCATCAAAATAAACTAAAATAACTAGAACAACCAGAAAAAAGAAAAGGAAAAAGAAAAATTACCTGGCTTTAAATCACGATGGATAATACCATTGGCATGCAAGTATTCCATAGCCCGACTTATATCCAATGCAAAACTTATGGAAAGCTTTAGATCTAGGGTCTGTGGCCTGATGTTCCGCAGATGCTTCTGAACTGTACCACCTCTCATAAGCTCAGTAAGTATCATCAGAGATGGTTCAAAACACGCACCAATAAACTGTTTCAGAGCAATGACTTGTATGAGCACATGGGCAAAGGGCATTGATCAGGAACATAAGATGTTCAAGCTTGAATAAGTGACACTGATATGAATCTAGATACATTTAGAGGTGAAGCATGGTGAAACTGAAAGATACAGAAACCAAAAAGGAAAAGAGATTTTATTCCTTAATATGTAGATTTCCAAATTACTATCATCACTATATCTTTCCATAATTTATACTAAAAGTTCCAGATAATACTGTCATCACTATTAATATGTAGATTTTATTCCTTAATATGTAGGTTTCGTGCAGATAATACTCTATCAGTTCTTAGAGTGCTAGTAAATTCTCAAAAAAGGAACTGTAATCTCATACAGTGATGTATAGTAGGAGTTGTTTGTCAAAGATACTTTATTCTCACAGTCAGTATAGTACCAAAAGTTCCATATATGGTTACATTATGAGTAATTTAAGGAATCGTGAGGGACCAAGTATTACTCCAAGCAAAGATTATCCCAAACCATCATTACTTTAATATTTAGGCAACCAGTTTGCAGAAGCTAAAAGGGCATTGAATACCAATTTAGGAACAAAAGTACAGCGATCTCAGAGGTGTTCATTTCCTCAGGTCACAATTTCATCCCATCACCTTGATATAAATCGAAGGTCAATTTACATAAATGTTTGCTTCTAATAACCAAACCGAGGAACTGAGGAACCAGAATAGTATAGAACTCAAACCAGGCAGGTACAAGTCGTTAAAGTCCTCTACAAAAGAGAGAAAAGGCTTTCCAATTCCAAGAAATGATGAACAAACAGTATATATTTATAAAAAATGCAGGCATAAGAACAAATAAGAGGAAATAAGTAGCATACCTTCACAATATTGTCATGTTTCACCTTTGCAAGAAGTATAACCTCTCTCTGAAATTTTTCCTTCGATTCAGTTGATTCTTTGGTTGGCTCTATAATTTTTACAGCGACAGGCTTGGATTTGTACCTAGAAACATAGCCTTGAAAGAGTCAGCACCCTATCATCATCCAGAACTAAACATTCCTCCATTGCAGCATGGAACAACACTCAGATTTATGAGTTATACACACACAAATTATAAAACAAGCACACTATACCATTTAAGTTTTGCACACAATACGAGTCAAATCCCATCTCATATAGTAGGTTTCAGAAAATCATTTAGCGTAAGAAGCAAGACCCTGCTACAAACCTTTTCTACTGACATTAATCATTAATGATTTTCATACTAACTGCAAAAAAGAGATTAGATTTGTGTCCTCAGTGACATCTACGTTGGAATATGCTTGCTTTCCAGGAATTCAACCTTCTTTTTTTTTTTGGTCAACCAGGAATTCAACCTTCGGGTATAAAAGATATGATAACTATAAATAAACTAAGTTAATGAATCTAAAAAAGGCCTCGCCAAGTTAAAAAGATCTAAAGATATCCTTATTTGCTATTCCTCACTACGTAGTTTGCCATTCCGCTCTAGATAGGGCAACTTCTATGATCCAAACAATTATCATGATAGCTGTGTTTTAAATTTTTTTCCTTGCATTGAAGGATGACACATAAATTATACTGACCTTTACAAACACTACACTTTTCAACTCTACTCAATTGCAGAGTGTCTTCTCCTGTTTTCCATCTGTCCAAATTGGCCCAAGCAGCCAAATAATTAAAACTCCTTGTTACCACTTCTTGGCAAACTGTGCTGTATCATGCAATTTTCTTGGTCCTGCATGTACCTAAACCTATGGACTTGGTAACATATCTTTATAGCTGAACTTCTTTAAATATAATCTGGTCTCATCAACTGATATTATGTTGCCAAGAACCAAATATCAGATGATAATTCTCTCTGTCCTGTATATGCCTAAAAGTCTAAAACTGCTTAGTCTTCATTAATCTTTACATTAAAACTTCAAAGTCTAATATTAATCTGGCTTCATCAACTGATATTACGTCCTCAAAGACCAACGAGTCATACATTAATAATCTCATTATGATATGCAAATGCTGTTGGTTGAACCCACCTGCCTACCGTCTCACTACCCTACCCCGTCTCCTAGTCCCCCGGGATACTGAAACATAAAAGACACCATAAATAATGGCCAGGGCTTCTAAATTAAAACAAGAGACATCACCTACCATAAGTAACCAATGATTTTAAATTTCTAATCTACCACACATTAATACATACCTCCTTCCTTGAACTATTTTGCTAGGTGATTAATGTAGGATGGTTTCAGTCCTATATAATATTTAAAAGATTGCCAACAGATTTTCTCACTTGCATTATGTACTGCTAATAATCGTCATGATTGCATTTATGCAACTACTGAGAGCATAGAAATGCTACACGCCTCAATGCCTCATGTCAGAGTGATGAATTGCAGAGAAATAACACGATTCGACAAAACCTATAATAAATTAATTTTTGATCCCTCCTATGCTAATAAATGAATAGATTCCAAATGCAGAATGTTTGCATCCCATTTTGGAGCATCCACAACCGCAATCAATCGAACCTACATTAATGAAGTTTTTGATCCCTCCTATGCTAACAAATGAGTGGACTGCAAAATCCAGAATGATCACGTCCAATTTGGAGTATTCACCGAAAGCAGTTAAAACCACATGATTTCTCTCAATAATGATTCTCATCAATGCCATTCAGGGTATGTCTTCTCCTAGTATAAACGGTGATCCAACCACTATAACACATTGATATAAGACCACCCCCAAAGAAAAACATGCAAAACTTAAAAAGGGTTACACTAAGGACCCTCTAATTATAATTTACTGTGGATTTAAGGCAATGAATTTGTACAAAAACTCTGTATATGCAGCATAATAGCACGAAATTCTCTCTGCTTCCTTACTCGAAAGAATGTACAATCTAATCTTGGAAATAAATTAGAGTTATATGACAAATGTACCACAAGGAGACCTTAACTCACTTTTCACTCATAACGGGTTTACCAATAATGAGAACCAGGACTTTAAGATAAAAGAAAATCTAAATGTGGCTCTGAAATTAACAATTGGCACCCAAAAACACCAACACTCGTTTAAACGCATAAAACATCAAAAACCCTCAAAAGGGTTTATCAGAAAGACCCAGAATTCCAAGACTATGGCAACTCACAGACCAAACCAAAACAAAGACACCGACTCAACCAAACAAACCTGCACCAAAAGCAAGACAATTCAAGAACATGCAAACAATGTGAGCAACCTAATCAAGAAGCACAACCAAGAAAAAAAAGAGCAAACAGATACAGAGACAGTGTTCCAGTGCAAGAAATGAGACCCACAAGCCTTGGAAGACCGTAGAGCGAGGCCCTTCTGTGATTTTTGGACCAATCTCGACGCAGCTCGGGTCAATGAGCCAACTGGGGTCAAATGACGGCGCGCTTCCACAGTAACCTTTCTCGATGTTCTCGAGGGAGGAGGTTGGGCACGAGTTGCAGGCCTCGCCGCGTGAGACTGGGAGGACCTCGTGTCCCGCCATTGCTGGAGCTTCTGTTTGCATTTTCACACAGAGAAGAAGAGACGGAGAGACAGAGAGAGTCCACGAAAATGGGTTTTCAGAGGAAGTGAGAAGTGAGTGAGAATTAAAACCAATTGTACAGAAATAAAAAATATTAATACCCGAAAATCGTAAATGGGAAATTATGGTGTGTTTTTAGGAGGCATTTAAAAGCAAGATGGACCTGTGCGAGAAATGCGAGGGAAAACTAGGAAACTTTGGTGCATTTTTGGAAAAATCTAATTTATTCCTTAATCCTTTATTTATTGGAGTATGGATCCGGTGCGGCGGGGTACACGGGAGTCCAGTTTCTGGTTGCCACGTGGACATACGAGGTGATGTTCCATTGGTCCAGCGGAGTTGTATTACTCTTTTGTTTGTTTCTTAGTTGGATAAACTTCGGAGCAGGTGCTGACTTGTTATAGAAATCTTTGATGGATAATGGACGTTTTGGGGTCTGCAACCCCACCTGATTTAATTTCAGCCCTCACACAAATAAATTTTTTGTATGTACTAATTGTTATACCAATTTTGTCTCACTAGTACATCGTATGTGATGACCAGATATTGTGAGTACGAGGTTGTATATGTTCATATAAATGGAGGTAGAAGAGCTCAACCAACTGAGCTATATCCCATTAAATCATACATAATATAATTGATTTTTATTGTTTCACAAGTACGTCATATGTGATGACGGAATGTTGTAAGGAGGGTATATGTCCAATTCATACATTAATTACTTGTTTCAATTAATCAATTTGCTAAGGCAGGGCATTCAATTTTTAGTAGATGCAAATTATTATACTAATAATGTCCTCACAAAACCCTACAATGTGGTTGATGATTGAATGTTGTGACAAAAATGTATATATGTCCAATACGTGCCAAAAAGTGTTTGTGGGCTTTTGGAGAACATTGTGATGACTCAGTCCTTTTGCAGGCTGATGCTTAGCTACAATGTGTTACTTGTTAATCAAGAAAGGGTCGCTTTGGACTTTGACATTGCCCTTCTCTTTAAATGCGTTAGGCGTGCCACTACTAGTGCTTTACTCTTCTAGTATAAAGAGAAAATGAGTGATCAAGTGATGTGAAAATAGTTCTGGGCTCATTGATCCTAACCTCTAATCAAAGCCATTGTGCTCCAAGTAGGGAATCTCGCTCGGATAAGTTATTTTCTATGCCTCAATTAAGAGGACTTCAATATTTCACTTGCCATGGAATAAAACTTGGAAGAAACACCAACTTTAAAGTAACATTGGACATAAGGTACAATAAAAGTTCAAAGTTGATTATGTCCGAAAGGCATAATATTGTTACAAGAAAGCAAATGCGAATCTATTCAGACTAAATACATTTGATTAAAAACAATAAACAACCTAACAAAAAAAAGGGGAATGGTTGTCGGACATAAACAGAGCTCCTCGGACACCATTGTAATCTACTTGAGACATTTCAATGAGTTCGATGAAAGTGCCAACAATATCTGCAATGCTCAAAAGGGCTTGTAGATACTAATTTGATTTTAGATAAACTAGAAAAAGTGACTAGCTTATAAAAATCATACCAAACACTGATGTTGGCAAAGCATTAAGGTTACAAACCATAACAAAGTAATTCCGATAAGGAGTTGTCAACTGGGAATTAGATAGAGTATGTGTTTGGGAAAAGAAGAGAGTTCCAATCAGGAGTTGTCAACTAGGGACTCAAGAAATTGAGAAAGGAGTTGGTTCAAGTCTTAGCCATTGATATGCTGTGAGATGCATTTGACAAGTTGTTTTGAGTCGAGTGTATTTGAAGTTAGTTCAAATAAGATGTTTGTTCTTGAGAGAAAAATTGGATGTCCTTGAATCAATGTATTTTCCTCTTATTTATGATCCTCCTAGAATCTGGGTTTTGTCCTCTTAGTTAAAAAAGGAATGCCCTGATTACCGGCCTCTTCTCTGAAGTTGAGTTTGGCGGTCTTTTGTATTTTCCTCAGTTCTTATGCTTTTAGCTGGCTTGGACAAGTTGGAACAGCCGACCTTCCTAGTTCAAATCGCATTTAATGCGGTTGTCTTGCTCTTCTTCCACCGCATGAGTTTCCATCAATTGTCGAAGTCAGCCTTGAGTTCAAAATTGGATATTCGTGCCTCTACCCAGGTAATAGTAAAGGTCTTATGAGGTTTAGTCCAAAACCTCTAAGAAACCAGCTATTGCGAAAGCTCAAAATTTCAGTTAAGGTTCATATTAAATTGAGTTTATTTGTATCTGTCTTACATGAAAAAGCACTTAAAATAATGCTTGACTTACTAATTTTTGTACTTGTTTTAGGACAAACGATTAAGGATTTCTACGAAACTAGAGTGTGCAAGCCTTTGCTTTTCCGTTGACCAATTTGTTTAGTCAACGTCTATCTCAAGTTTTGTATGCCCGATGGGCTTTTAGGCTTTCGAACATAAATTCTGTCGAGCCCTGATTTCTTTGACAACTCACTTAGGTAATTGGGCTTCAACTGTTCATAAAATCAGCCCATTAATTGCAGAAATTGGACTGAGCTAATTTTCGTACAAACATATAATTTTTTTTTCTTATTAGTATGTTTAGAGGGCAATCAAAATAAAAGAGAGTCCATGCCTTTGCTACAGTAGGTCATGTTGAAGAACAATCAGTATAAAACCAAATAACATAATAAAAATGAAATATGCTTTATATATATATATATATATAATCAAATCAATACAACAATAAAATAAAATACTGAATACTGACTTGAATTGATGATAGAGTCCTGCAGAGTTGCAATGTCCTTTAGACAGTATTTCTCCTCTACTCTTGTGCTTGTAGTTCAATAAGAGTCTGTCCACCCAGATTAAATTATCACAAATCAAAGCCTAAGCACTTTGGCGAACAATGATATAATTTCTCTCAGGAAGTGCTTATGTATGAGAATGATAATGCTGTTCAAAGTTGTTCTTTTCGATTTGGACAAATTGTCAATATATAGAGGTCTGACATCTCTTCATCCAACAGTTACATTAACTGTTTAATAGATTAGAATTTCATATTTTGATTTTATATGAAAAAAACGAATTTCTAATTAATAATAAAAAAATTATTAATTAAATCAACAAAGCCCAAGGCCCAAGCTCAAGACCCAAAAATATATATGTATTCCAAGCCCAAACCATGATGAAACCCAACTTTCCCCCAAATAGGCTCATATCCTATTTAGTATTTCTAAAGTGTTGGTGCTTAAAAATTATGAAAGGAAACAACTCCCTTCCAATGTGGAACTAAATACAAGTGTAATTTTTCCTATACAAACTCTAACAGGTCATTGTTGCTAAAGTACGTCATATGTGGATGACTGGATGTCGTGAGTAAAAAAGGAATCCAACCAATCCACAATGCTCTAGGTCTTTTATTTAGCATGAAAAGTATACAGATGACCACCTTTAAAATAGATTGAACTGGAATAGCATTATGGAACAAGAATATGTCTCCACCTGCATTTAGAAGAAAGAACACTGATAAAATTTGATCAAATTAAATGCGCAGGTAATTGTTCTGCATGGTGTGGACTGTGGACATGATTTTCATCAATAGATTGCAGGCCTATCCAATTTGGATCTTAATAGTGCCACTCCTGACTTAGCTATGAGCTTTGATTGTAGGCCAGTGGAAATGGAAATGAATAGAGAGATCCAATTGGAACAATTATTACTTGTATTAGGTCTTAGGTGTCATATATTTACTTTAATTAGCGGGTTTTGTATAATTATTTGGCAATGGCTTTTGGGCTTAATAGTACCTCATATCCCTTTTTAAAAACAAGGATGAAGCGCAAATGACTCACTAGTGTAGTGATTTGGAGTAATTGCTCCTCTAGATAAGGTTTTGGGTTCAAGTTCTAACATCCGTGTAGTGTATGTGAGTATAGTTTGCTATCGCCACTCTTAATATGAAATATCCAAAAAAAAAAAAAAAAAAAAAAAAAAAAAAAAAAGAAGAAGAAGAAGAAGAAGAAAGGATACCCTCAAGCCAAAACATTAGTACAACTTGATTAATGTACCATTTCATAGTTTGCATCACGATAGAGCAAAAACAATCCTTTCAAAATTTAGTCATAGAGATACCTTATGGTTTGGTTGGTTTCTCCCCTTATTTTAGCTAATTAAAATCGGACCGCGTCCACCTTGCTAGATGTTCGGAGCCGCTTTGGTGGCGAACCTCATTGACTAGTATACCAATATAGGCTTTCAGTTCATAAATTACAAAAAGATAGAGCTTGTCATATCCCATTGAAATTAGGAAACACACATAATAGACATTTTGCATTTCTCGTCTCATCAAGAAGAAACAAGAAAGAGTAACGCAATATTGCATACGAAAATAAAACACATGCTGGCGTGACAGAGCAAACTAATAAAGAAGAGTAGTGCTGCTACATGCATGGAATTGACCACATCTTTTGAATTATCATTTGAAGGCTTCTTTCCCAAGTGCATGTGGCTGCAAATCATCTACTGCTGGCTTGTCCCCGTCCTCCTCCTTGAGCGGCTGTTACTCCTCCTGATCCTCTTAGATTTGGAGTTCCCATGACAATGAATTTAACACCAACACCTAGATCATGCAATAGTGTCGTTTGAATACATTTCACAATATCCTCCTGGGAACTGAATTGAAGTTGTTTAAACGACTCTGTAAATCTTCTGAGCCGGAAATCCTCCTCAGTCTCGTTGACGAGTTTCTCAATTGTATGATCACCTCCTCCTCCAACTTTACCAAAAAATACTTGAATGATGTTTCTTGGATCACTGGCACATACTGCTTTGAACCAAATAATTGACAATCCCAAGTAAAATTCGGCATAGCGGGACTGCTTGATTTCTTCTGTCTCTTCTTTACCTGACGACTGCATACGTAAACCTTTTAGATCCCACTTCTCTGCTTCATCCCATATGAAGTGATCCAAAAGGAATGTATATGTGCTAACCAGCTTAATAAATCTTCTGAGCCTAAAATTCTCATCGCATTCCTCGGGCAGTCTCTCGAGTATGGCATCTTTGACATCTTCACCTTCCCACCTCATGAACTGATCAAGCATATTTTCAATCTTTTCTTGTTGCTCCTTAGAATCAAATTGCCTGAACAAAAGAATCGAATCGCATAAGCGTCTTTCAACAAAGAATTTTTCAGTAAACCCCTCGAATAAATGAACTCGTGTAGCCATCGGAGCTTTATTAAACAGCTTTGCGAATGTTTTCCTTCTCAAATCTTCCTCTGTTTCCCCTGCAAATCTTTCGACAATATTATTATTAACACCTTCGGCAGCAAGTTCGTTAGAGATGTGTTCAATCTTGTCTTGTTGGTCGTTGGGGGATAGTAGGCTGAACCCAAAACTCGAAAGCTGCGAGAGTAATTCGGCAGCACTGGCAGAATCTTGGGGCTGAACGAGCACCCCGTGAGGAAGATCTCTTCGTTTGTGCAGCAGATGCTCTTCAGCTTTGTCAAGGAAGTGGACTTGGACACCAAAGTCAACCACTTTATTACATAGCTCTGCGAATCTTCTGAGTTTGAAATCTGCGTCGCTTTCGTCTGCAAGCTTCTCAACCATAACACCTTTAACTCCATCACAGAGTTGGTCAATCAGCTGCCATTGACCATGGGAGCTTTGTCCCTTGAACCATATAATTGAGAAACCTAAGAAAAACTCATTAAAACGGGACTGCCAATCTAACCCCCCTTCATGAGTACCGGATGTCTGCTGTGTATGTTTTGGTTTCGTGCCATATTTTTCCCTGCAGGCGACAAAATGCATATAAACATAGTCAGTATAATCCTTGCAAAGCTGAGTAAATCTTCTCAGCCTGAAACCGTCATTGGTTTCGTCATCAGCTTTGACATGAATCAATTTTCCAATAAGTTGTTGTTGATCATTGGCGTCTAGTTCGGTAGTAAACCAAGAAATCAACTCGCGAATTTGCCTCTGGCGCTTGAATTTCTTTATAACTGTGGACAGGAAATGGTTCTGGTCAGGGAAGGGAAGTTTCTTGAATAGCTCGGTGAAAGTTCTGGGTCTGAAATCCCCTTTACTTTCGTCCGAGAGTTGCTCCACTACAACATCTTCAACTACTTTTTTATAGATTTCTTTCGTCTTCTCATGTTGATCAGAGGCAGAGAGTTGGCTGAACCCAAAGACTGAAAGACTCAAGAGTAGTTCAGCATCATCCGCAGCATCAGCAGAACTGGTATTGGGCTCGTGGGCTGGTTTTGGGAACACAAACATTGATAATCGACGCGGAGAAAGACTTGCAAACTCTGGTTTCGTAGAAATCCTTAGTCGTTAGTCCTAAAACAAGTAGAAAAATTACAGATGTGGAAACTCAAGCATTATTTTAAGTGCCTTATCATTCAGCCTTCAATTTGATTCTGAAAAGTGATTCAGGCAGCCCTCAATTGATTCCTGTGCATGAGATTATGCCATCCCCATTGTTCTCAGTTTTTTTGTTTGTTTTTGCAATCAAAGTTTTTTCTTCATTAAAACATGCTCTGAACATGAATGAATAATCGGTGTACATGTATAAAAGTCAAATCAAATCTAATACTTTCGTGCTCAAAAGTATTAAGTAAAGGACAAAAAAAAGCTAAAATTATGCTTTATGAGCATTGGAAATTCGTACAGAGAAAACCCACCAACTTATTATGATTGCCCTGTGTCACGGATCGCACATAATGAGTGCTATCGTGATTCCAAAGTCGACAGTGCAGTGGGGCACGTCGACGAGGACGTCGACACTATCAGTGGGGGAGAATGTCACGGGTCGCACATAGACAAGTGCTACCGTGACTCCGTTGGGACATCTATGCGCTTAAGAGGTAGTCTAAGTGTGGAAAAGGCTAGAGCTTAAGAGCTAGAATGGTTGGTGTTGGCCGGGTTGCACTTGTGAGGGGTATTTTGGGTATTTCCGAAGGTTACGGGAGGAACCTGAAGGAACCAAGAATACCGAAATGTTCGTGATGTCGAGACGCAGGATACGCAACTGACGGTTCGCCATTCGGAGTTCGTATGAGGAAGTTATGCCCAATTATGACTCCTCGTGCATAGGTGATGTTCCCTCCTGGCAGAAGGCTAAATGCATAAAATGCTATATAGGGGGTGACATGGTGTCATGCTCTCCACCACCCCTGGTGCTTACACCCTTGTGGCACTAAGCGAGCATCCTTATGACATTGGAGGTAGTCATAAGGGCGGGCATAAGATTGTTGAAGGATAATCTGTGTCTCCGAGGGAAAGGAATTCCCGAGGACAGTACGAACACGCGGGGCCGTTCGTATTGCGCATCGGTGTAAAGAGTGAGGTCAACGTATGGCATTCGCTATGCCATCGGCTAGCGAGGCATTTGACAATACTCGATGGACTTGGCTTGGGTTCGGCCTTGTCCAAGATGGAAGGAAGATATTCGGATGCCGGTACGCATGGGTTGCGACCCCATGCAATGCATAGATGGTTATGTGGGACATTCGGAAGACATATGTCGCCAAGGCTTGGGCGACATGCAAGTATGACAACTTGCGTGTATAGCTTGAGGATGTGGGCTATCGTGGACGCTAAAGGAATGACCGACAGAAGTGTGGGTAAACCGATGGTGTGGGATCGCTATGTCTTGACTTGGACATGAGCGATACAGGAGTTAAGCATGCGACGTGGTCGATGCAGTTGACGTGTCTTATGCAACGCTTGATGTATGGGCGTCGAGGGTTCGTTGCCGGATGCGGAGTGATTGTATTGTCACATGGTAGTGTGACTCGTTGTCTAGGGGAAGACGACACTTGAAGGGGAACCTCTCGCGGAGTTGTGAGAGTCATGAATATCATGAAGTGGGAGAAGGCTGACTAGGATTCGATGGGATCCTAGGCCGCACGGGTGTGCTTTGAGTGGCGAAATTTGTTTTTCGCTTCCGCCGCGCCGCGCCGCTCGCTCATCCCGTGACACCTGTGACTGTTAATATAAAGCACCAATAATTGTGCCCTTTGCACTAGAGAGTACAAATAATATTAGTACCATGTGCGTATGCTGATTGATGATTGTCGTTTCTTGATTAAGGAGTTGTCATCTGTCGTTTCTATTTGTTTTGTTCCTAGAGAAGCTAATACTTCCTCTTGGGTTTGGGATGCTCCTGGACTCATTCAGGATGTGTTAATCGAGGACCATTTGTAACTTGTTTTTTCTCTTCAATTGAAATCGTTTCTCTATAATATAGCTAGATATTGGATGGCTCAGGCAGAGTCACGTGAAGCTGAACTATAGCTTGGTCACGTCAATGTACGGATGGAGTACGGGTATGATGGAAAAGAAGATAGAATGGTCCACCAAGGTTTGTCCTGTCTCTTCGTCTCGAAAGTTAATTCTTTAGTGGCAGATTTCATTTAACTTCATCTATTATTCATTCAACTTCATTAGCTAAAATAATCCTCTCTTCTTTAGAGCTATAATAATGAACTCACAATCAAGCTCACCAACAGCTAATGGAGGAAGAGATGATGCAGTCATCACAATTGCAACAACATTGGACCAAGGAATCCAGGAAAGATGGCTTCTGCATCCATCAGCAGGAAAAAAATCTTGCTGCATCTTCAAGGTACGTCAATGCCTTGTGGAAATAAACAAGAAGACTTACCAGCCCCATATTGTCTCCTGTGGTCCATATCACTATGGTGATCAACATTTGGAGATGATACAGCAACATAAAAGGAGATTTGTTCGTGATCTACTTGTTCCAAACGGCCCAACACTTGATCACTATCGGCAGGTGGTAGCAGCAATGGAAGAAGAAATAAGAGGGTGCTATTCGGAGACCATCAGCTTAAGCAGTCATGTTCTGATTATGTTTCCTCAGGGGCATGCTGGATATTGTCAACTATAAAATGATCCAGTACTTGTCCAATCTGTTGTTGTTGATCATTGACATCTAGTTGAGTTTTGAACACAAAAATTAGCTCTTCAAATCGCCTTTCACTCATGAATTTCTATATAACTGTGGAAAGGAAAAGCGCCTGGTCAGGGAAGGGGAGTTTGTTGAAGAGCTCTGTAAATGTTCTGAGTCTGAAACCGTCTTCAGTTTCCTCTGGGAGTTGCTCCACTGTAACATCTTCACCTACTTTATTGTGGATTTCTTTCGTCCTCTCATCTTGATCCGTGACAGAGAGTTGGCTGAATCCGAAGATTGAAAGGCATAGGACTAATTCACCACCATCATCAACTGTTGATGGGCTGATCAAGTGCTGATTTGGGAAGTTCGAACTTTGACGAATAATCCATGTGATCAAGAATGGCTTACAAACTCAGGTTTCGATCGGAGAAAGCTCTGGCCGTAACTTGTTCCTAGAGGAAGTACAATATTAATAAACAATAACGAACTATATGCAAATTTTCAATTACGCAGTTCATCTATAAAAGAGTCAAAAAAATTCAGAACCTCACAAAGGGTAAAAATAAATTTTGACCTTCAACCTTCTTTGAAATTACAAGGAACCATTTTCTTTATTTACATGTGTTGATGGTTTAGTTTGATTTGCTAATCCTGGTAGGCTGATTCAGCAGACCTCTTTATTTAGAAAACAAAAAAACAAGAAGAGTAACAAAACGCACAAGCTGGCGAGACGGGGCAAACTCATGAAGGAGTAGTGCAACTCCATCTCCTTTTATGAATTGACCACATCTTCTGAATATTGTTATTTGAAAGCGGCTTCTTTGCTAAGTGCATGGCTGCAAATCATCTACTGTTGGCTTGTCCCCTGGCCTCCTTGTGTATTTGCTCCCTGCCCTCCTCCTTGTGTAATTGCTCCCTGTCCTCCTCCTTGAGTGGCTGATGCTCCTCCTGCTCCTCTTGGATTTGGAGTTTTCAACTTTATGAATTCAAGAGCAAACTCCTCTTCTGTCTTCCGACCTGCGCAAGGTTTCCATACAGAAATACCTGGATCATAAATTATGATATCTTGAATACGTTCCACAATCTTCTCCAGGGAACTGAATTGAAGTTGTTTAAACGACTCCGTAAATCTCCTGAGCCGAAAATCCTCCTCAGTATCATTGACGAGTTTCTCAATGATATGATCACCTTCTCCAACTTTACTAATAATTAAATGAATGAGGCCTTCTGGATCACTGGCCCATCGTGCTTTGAACCAAATAATTGACAGCCCCAAGTAATATTCAGCATAGCGGGACTGTTTGATTTCTTCTATCTCTTCGTTACCTGATGCCTGCATAAGTAGAGCATCTAGATCCCACTTCTTAGGTTCATTCCATATGAAGGTCAGCATAAGGCCGTTGTATCTACTACACAGCTTTATGAATCTTCTGAGCCTAAAATCCTCCTCGCTTTCCTCGGAGAGTCTCTTGAGTTTCAAATGTTTCCTTTCTTTTTGTTTTTTGTTCTGAATGAGGATGTATATAAAACAGCACAGAAAGGGTTCCTCCGGCACCAATTGACGAAGCATTTCTTCAATCGTTTTTTGTTGCTCATTGGAATCCAGTTGCCTGAACAAAAGAATCGCCTCACATAAGCGTTTTTCATCGTTGAATTTGTACGTAAACTCCATGAATAAATCAACTTGTGTATGGACCGGAGCTTTATTAAGCAGCTCAGCGAATTGTTTCCTTCTCAAATCTTCCTCTGTTTCCCCTTCAAGTCTTTCGACATCAGCAACTCCAGCAGCAAGTTTTTTGGAGATTTGTTCAATCTTGTCTTGCTGGTCGTTGGGGGATAGTAGGCTGAACCCGAAACTCAAGATATTCCGGAGAACTTCAGCAGCATTGGGCTCATGGGGTGGGTTTGGGAATGCCGACATTGATAATCGACCCGGACCCGGAGTAAGGCTTACAAACTCTGTTTTGGTAGAAATCCCCAATCGTTACTTATTCTTAAAACAAAGTACAAAAATTAAGCAAAATAAGAACAGTAATAAAAATGTAGATGGTATGATGATCGAATCGAATGGGTGTGTAATTTTGGTACTCTTAGTTGACACTCAATATCATGCTGCAATCAACCTAATTAACTATTTATAAGACAAACAATAAGGAATTTAATGCAATATACCCTTACAGTAGTTGGTTGAAGTTATCAGCATGCCTAATACAGAGGTTATGAACTAACAGATAGAGATGAACTAAATTAATACTTTTGAGCATGCGAAAATTTCTATACAGATGCAGAGGAATCTCATAACCTCAGTTTCTCTTGCACACAAATAAGATCAAAGAGAAAGAGACCTTAGCCGAAAGAAGAAATCTAGATGGATACCTGGATTATTGGACTTGAATCGTTGTTCTTGATCTGCAAAGGAGTGGAGTGGTTGCAGCGCTAGATCTTAAAGTAGCTTTCTAATTGAGTCTGAAACCGTCTGTAAATGGAACAAACATATAAATGTTGTGAGATATATAATTTATAGCTTGTAAAAGCAGTGAAAAATACTTTTATGTATGAATAATGCTACTCTTACCACATTTGTATTGAGTAGATCAAGAATTCGTATATACTATTTATAGAAGAGTTGGGATAAAACTTCAGCATCTTACAAAATAGTAAAAAGAAAATTTGATCACCTTCAGTCAGTCTTCTCTGAAACTGCGAGGAACCATCCATTGTTAGTCTTAGTCTTAAGTCTCCATCCAGCTTTTTTCTTTCTTTCTCTTTCATGGAAATTCAGTAGACTCGTTTCAGCCTTTTTCTTTCTTTCTCTTTCATGGAAATTCAGTAAACTCGTTTTCATCTACTTTATACTGAAAATAAAGTGACAGTTGTTACCAATTTGGTCTTGTGTTTGTGTTTGTATTTGTTAGTCAATTCATTCCATCCAAAAAACATTTAAAGTCAATTCATTCTGCATGCGTAGTATGTCATCTTGTTTTCATGTACTGTGTGTATGCTAAGACTCTAGTTGTATTATTTATAGAAGAGTTGAAGGATTGCATGCACACAAACAAAAGCTCAGCACCTTACAAATAGTAAGAAAGAAATCAGAAACTGCAAGGAACAATCCTTTGTCAGTCTCTCTCTCTCTCCCCCTTCCTTCCACCCTCCTCCAGCTTTAATCTTTCTTTCTCTTTTCATGGAAATTCAGTAGACTTGTTTTCATTTAGTTCACTGATTACCATTCAATTCAAATAACAATTTGAAATCTTCTCAAATATTACGGCCGTTGATTTGCTCAAAGAAATGATCTGCACTGTCCAAAATTTGATCCTTGGAGGAGAGAGAAGCAATGCATGTGAGGACACTTTTTCAGCTGAGCGGTTGTTGAGACATTTCATGCACAAAATCAATTGTTTCTTGAAGATATTTTTGCTCTCCACTTTAACATAAATGTATATCCTAACTATTATTTATGAACACTTACACGTGTTGATGAATATAACCATAATTAACTCATAACAAAGCCATCCCATGCATTTGACAAAGATGGCAAGCCATCATTACCCTTGTGAACAACTCAACTACAATAAATAAAATAAAATTCCAGGAAGAAAAGAAATAAAATTAAAATTCAACAAATTTCCAGGAAGGTTCAGGCTCCATAATGGTCACTTCTATAAATAAAATTCAACTTTACTAAGTGGCAGTGGCAAAGCACATCTTTTTTCATTCAAAGCACTATCTTCTTTAATTAGAGCTGCAATAATGAACTCACAATCAAGCTCACCAACCGCTAATGGAGGAAGAGATCATGCTCTTATCATAAATGCAGCGACAACCAATATCCAGACAACACAATTGGACCAAAGAATCCCGGAAACAAGATGGCTTCTGCATCCATCAGCAGGAAAAAAGTCTTGTTGCATTTTCAAGGTACATCAATGCCTTGCGGAAATAAACAAGAAGACTTACCAGCCCCATATTGTCTCCTGTGGTCCATATCACCATGTTGATCAACATTTGAAGATGATACTGCAACACAAATGGAAATATCTTCGCAATCTACTTGCTCGAACACCTCCAAACGGCCCAACACTTGATCACTATCAGCAGGTGGTAGCAGCAATGGAAGAAGAAATAAGAGGGTGCTATTCGGAGACCATCAGCATCATGATCTAGTTGAGATGATGGTGTTGGATGGTCTCTTCACTATTGAACTCTTTTGCAAAGTTGGAAAATTGTCACCAATTGATCCAGACGATCCCATCTTTAACTTGGAATGGATATTCGCTAATATCTTACGAGATCTTTTTCGTTTCGAGAATCAAATTCCTTTCTTCCTTCTTCAAAAACTATTTGATGAATCAAAACCTTCAAGAGGAGATAGTGACTCATCCCTTGCTAAACTTGCCTTGGAATTCTTTAACTGTGCAGTAGAAACCCCTAAGCAAGTCTTAAATCAGGACTTCACTACTGTTGAAGGAAAACATTTACTGGATTTACTCCCCTGGAGTTTTATCCCTAAACTCCCCTGGAGTTTTATCTCGCGGCTGCATGTGGGTGAGACCCCAAGCTACCTATGTACTCTTACTGGGGGATCAAGCCACACGTAGTTCTTCAATCAATAATCACGAACTAGATAACATACAATTATTTTCACTAATACCAACAAGTTAATTCTAGAATTATTTTTTCCCTTTAAATAAAATCACAATATCTCAACCTAATACAAACCCATTTTCCTTACTCACTCTGTTCTTAAGGCTTGTAACTCAACAACCCTCTCCCTATAACAATTCACATATGCTAAGCATAATTCTTTTAAATATTAATTTTTTTCCCGATGTAGTATAATAATCCTTTTCCCTCTCCCTGTTACTTTACTACACGTCAGAGAGTCCAATGCCATGCGTAGTAAAGTAACAGGAACCAAAGTGTTAGGATCCTTTACCACACGCCGGAAAAATCCAAACAAACTACAGTTTCCCATATGATCTAATCACATGATAAAAACAATCTTGTGAAAACGACAAAATCTCATGTATACTACAAATATTGTTTAAAGATTTAAGTATTGGAATGAACAAAGAAAAGTGTGGGGTTTAAATAGAAAAACTCTTTATTTTTAATTTTTTCTGCTGAGGTGTATTTAAGGGTAGTTTGGGAAGATAGTGAGGTTCTCTAAGAAATTGTGAAAATTTAAATTAGAAGTTGAGGTGAACAAAGAGAAGTGTGAGGTTTAAATAGAAAATCTCGATTTGATTGGGATCCAAATCTCCTAATTTGATGATGACAATATCTCCTTAGAGCATCTCCAACCGATATGTCAAAAGTGCCATATAGACATATAGACACTTAACGGTTAGAAATAACATCTCACATCACTCTAACCGAATTGTCAAACCTGATGTGGAATGAAGGCTAGAGGTTCAGCTGTTATTTTTGACATCCCAAAAGCAAGATGTCAAATGAATATTTTATTATTTTTTAAAGACAGCTGGTTGTAACTTTCATTTATTATTTTCCTTCTTTATCTTAAATGATTTGACTGTTACAATAATTATTTATTTGACATATCGGGTGGAGTAAAAAACTATGTAAATGTCAAATTGCCATATCAGCCATCAAATTTAAATTTGATGTTTGGTATTTGACATATCCCTTGGAGATGCTCTTATTAGGATAATATCTCAATTAGTGGTACTATCTTATTAAATAAAGATAATATCACATAATAAAGATATTATCTCAATTTCTGGTATTAATTAGTTGGCCAAATAAATGAGCTCAATTAATTAATCTAAGGGATATTCTTCTTTTCCACATGGCATGCTGGAGATGAAAATATTTGCTCACATAGTTAGGATCACCAAAATGTATTAGAAGCACTCATTAGAGCTAATGATGATCATGGATGCATATCTTTCATTTAATTGTATTTTTGTGGGTCTTTACTTAGAAAGCGGGAGTTTCTTTGTAATAAGATTCAATATGCGTTGCTTAATTTTATAATTTTCGTGAGTTTCTTTGTAATAAGATTCAATAGGCGTTGCTTAATTTTATAATTTTAAGTCTTGAATGTAGGTGATAAGCTCATATCATGGATTCATTCAGCCATGCCTGCGTCGCTTGACTTAATACTGATGATATTGGTATTAGGTCTCGGGTCACTTAATCTTATTTGTCCTTGGAGAAACTGCTGCATAAATTAAGTTAATTTCAGTTGTACAAGGGCCAAAGCCACTGTGATAATTAAGTCAAATGGTAACAACATTTTTCACCAATAGCAATAGTCGAGTGTGGGATGGTTGCGAGTGATTACAAAAGATAGTATGAGTTCTAAAATGATTCAGAAGAGACACAAGAAGACATAATCAGAAAACAAGTCTTGTAACCATATTCAGAATGATTTAAAATTGGGTTTTAAAATCAAGCGATGCCCGATCCTATCATCCTAGCTAGTACGGCAAAGAAAGTTGATGATTTGAGGCAGAAACTTAGGATGTGGGGACTGGTTGGTCATTCTATGTACTGCAGGAGCTCAATCAAAATGCAAATTATTGTTTTGCTTCCATCAATAGTTCAAGGGATATATATGGTGGCAGCATCAAACTAATTACATATTTTAGAAAGTGAAAGCTTCAAGTAGTAACATAATAGACATTTAGAAGAACTTATAAAATCATCAAATGAAATCTGCAGGTAATTGTTCTGCATGGTGTGGACTGTGGACATAAGTTTCTTCAATAGCTAGCCTATCCAATTTCGACCTTGGACTGCCACTTATGGTGACTAAGCTATGAGCTTTGATTGCAGACAAAAAGTAGAGGACATCATATCCCTGTGGAAATTAGGAAACACACATAATAGACATTTATTCATAAATCAGAGACTATTACACGAGAATAACAAAAGGGAGGGAGCCCTTTTGCATCTCGTCTCATAACAAACAAGAAGAGAACCTTTAGGGAAAAACAAAAAAACAAAAAAAAACAAGAAGAGTTATGCTATATTACATACGAATAAAACGCACATGCTGGCGAGACAGGGCAAACTCATAAAGAAGAGTAGTGCTGCTCCATCTCCATGTATGAATTGACCACATCTTCTGAATTTTGTTATTTGAAGGCCGTTTCTTTGCTAAGTGCATGGCTGCAAATCATCTACTGTTGGCTTGTCCCCTGGCCTCCTTGTGTAATTGCTCCCTGCCCTCCTCCTTGAGTGGCTGCTGCTCCTCCTGATACTCTTAGATTTGGAGTTTTCACCTTTATGAATTCAAGAGCAAACGGAGGCTCCTCTGTTACCCAACTTGCTTCCTTTCGACAAGAACCTGGATCATAAAATAAGATATTTTGAATACGTTTCACAACATCCTCCTGGTTACTGAATTGAAGTTGTTTAAACGACTCTGTAAATCTCCTGAGCAGGAAATCCTCCTCAGTCTCATTGACGAGTTTCTCAATGATATGATCACCTTCTCCAACTTTACTAAGAATTAAATGAATGAGGCATTCTGGATCACTGGCCCGTCGTGCTTTGAACCAAATACTTGACAGCCCCAAGTAAAATTCAGCATAGCGGGACTGCTTGATTTCTTCTATCTCTTCTTCACCTGATGTCTGCATATGCAGACCTTCTAGATCCCACTCCTTAGCTTCATCCAATATGAAGTCATCCAAAAGGAATTCATATGTGCTACACAGCTTTATAAATCTTCTGAGCCTAAAATCCTCCTCGCATTCCTCAGAGAGTCTCTCGGGTATGACATCTTGACTTCTTCTCTTCTCCACCTCATGAACCGATCAAGCAGTTTTTCAATCGTTTCTTGTTGCTCATTGGAATCCAGTTGCCTGAACAAAAGAATCGCCTCACACAAGCGTCTTTCACGGTGGAATTTGAGTCTAAACTCCTGGAATAAAACTTTTTGTGTATAGTCCGGAGCTTTATTAAGCAGCTCAGCGAATTGTTTCCTTCTCAAATCTTCCTCTGTTTCCCCTTCAAGTCTTTCGACATCAGCAACTCCAGCAGCAAGTTTTTTGGAGATTTGTTCAATCTTGTCTTGCTGGTCGTTGGGGGATAGTAGGCTGAACCCGAAACTCAATATATTCATGAGAACTTCAGCAGCATTGGGCTCATGGGGTGGGTTTGGGAATGCCGACATTGATAATCGACCCGGACCCGGAGTAAGGCTTACAAACTCTGTTTTGGTAGAAATCCCCAATCGTTACTTATTCTTAAAACAAAGGACAAAAATGTTTAAGTGGTTTTTGCTAAGTATTCAGGAGAAAAGAAGAAAGAGGAAATCTGTAATTAAGAAAGAGAGAGAGCTTTGAGAATTCTAGAATGGTGGGAATCAAATATGTTTTTCTCATTACCACTATACACTTACAGTAGAGCCTTTAACTTTTGGCTTTGCTTAATGGTTAAGCATCCGAGCTAACAACCTCTAACAATCTTCGCTTCAGCTTTTAAATTTAGTCTTAGTCTTAGGTGGCGTTTGGGGTTGCTTATTTTTTTTTAAAAAAGCAGCTTTAATAAAAAGTCATGGTAGTCTCCCTCCAGCTTTTTTCTTTCTTTCTCTTTCATGGAAATTCAGTAGACTCGTTTTCATCTACTTAAAAAAAAACATTAAAGTGACAGTCTCTCTCAAAAAAAGAAAATAATAAAGTCACAGAAGTCACAGAATTAATGGGGGCACAGGCTAGGGCTGTGGCCAACCAAAATATTGAACACAGTTGGATTCATTGCACGTGTCGAAAAAAAAATATTAGCACTCCCCTAGTAAAATTCCTTGTTCCGCCATTGCTGCTAATTACTCAGGTCTGGTCATCTTGAAAGTTAGCTCTTTATTATTGGCAACCCATCTTTCGTCACTCAACTTCATCAATTCAAGGCAGAGTATATTAATGAACTCACAATCAAGCTCGCCAATAGCTAATGGAGGAAGAGATCATGCTGTCATCACAATTGTAGCGACAGACAGTATCCAAACGACACCAATGGATTTGGACCAAAGAATCCAGGAAACAAGATGGCTTCTGCATCCATCAGCAGGAAACGAGTCTTGTTGCATTTTCAAGGTACGTCAATGCCTTGTGGAAATAAACAAGAAGGCTTACCAGCCCCATATTGTCTCCAGTGGTCCATATCACTATGGAGATCAACTTTTGGAGATGATGCAGCAACACAAATGGAGATTTCTTCACGATCTACTTGCTAGAACACCTTCAAACGGCCCAACACTTGATCACCGTCTCCAGGTGGTAGCAGCAATGGAAGAAGATATAAGAGGGTGCTACTCGGAGACCATCAGTTTATGCAGTCATGATCTAATTGAGATGATGGTGTTGGATGGTCTCCTCACTATTGAACTCTTTTGCAAAGTTGGAAGATTGTCACCAAGTGATCCAGATGATCCCATCTTTAACTTGGCATGTGTATTCACTAATATCTTACGAGATCTTTTTCGTTTCGAGAATCAAATTCCTTTCTTCCTTCTTCAAAACTATTTGATGAATCAAAACCTTCAAGAGAAGATAGTGATGACGCATCCTTAGCCAAACTTGCTTTAGACTTCTTTACTTGTGCAGTAGAAATCCCTGAGCTAGTGTTAAATCAGGACTTCACTACTGTTGAATGAAAAAATTGACTGGATTTACTCCGCTGGAGTTTTATCCCTAAACCCTAGGATCATTCCCCTCAAGAAGAGCCTCGAAATGTTCGTCCATTAGTTCAATTGATTAAGTATGCCAAAAAGCCTCTAGAAGGAACAAGGAAGGCAATGCAAAAGTTTGTTGCAGGAAGGAAGGGAAATACTTCTCCATCCATTGAATTTATCCAGTCAGCCAAAAAGCTTCGTCAAGCTGGAATTAAGTTCAAGACAAGGGAGGCAGTGAGCTTCTTAGACATAAGATTTTGCAATGGAGTGCTGGAAAATTCCACACATAGTAATCGACAATCTACGGACTGATTTATTGATGAATTTTGTAGCATTTGAACAATGCTACTCTCATTGCTCAAAGGATGTAACAAGTTACGCTGCATTCATGAGTTGTCTGATCTGCACGCCTGAAGACGTATAATTTCTCTGCGACAAGAAAATTGTCAAGAATTATCTTGGAACTGATGAGGAGGTTGTTCATTTCTTCAAAAACCTTGGCAAAGATGTGTCTTTAAATATTGGTGAGGGTAATCTATCAAAGTTGTTCAAGGACGTGAATGAGTACCATAGAAATATGTGGCATGTGAGATGGGAAGGTTTTAGATTCAAGTATTTTGGTACTCCATGGTCTTTCTTGTCTGCTTTAGCTGCTGTTATACTCCTACTACTCACTGCAATTCAGGCCTTCTATGCTGTTTATGGATATGCCCTTCCGCCGAAACCTGGGAAGAAGCACTAGAGTATGTACTAGCAATAATGTGATGTTAGGATCACCAAAATGTATTAGAAGCACTCATTAGAGCTAATGATGATCATGGATGCATATCTTTCATTTACTTGTTTTTTTTAGGTCCTTAGAAAGTGGGAGTTTCTTTGTAATGAGTTTCAATAGGCGTTGCTTAATTTTATAATTTGAAGTCCTGAATGAATGTAGGTGAAAAGCTCATATCATGGATTCATTCAGCCATGCCTGCGTCACTTGACTTAATCCTGATGATATTCGTATTAGGTCTTGTGTCACTTAACTTAATCCTGATGATTCTGTTTGACTTGGTAATCCTAACTCTTCTCGTTTCTTTTTCTATTTGCCTAATTATAAACTACTTTGTATTGTATTTATAGAGAGTTTAAGGACTGCAGGCTCACAAAAATTCAGAACCAAGGGTGAAAAGAAAACTTGGCCTTCAACCTTCTTTGAAATTACAAGGAACCATTTTCTTTATTTACATATCAATTTTTTTTTCATTAAAACTTCCTTTGGACACGAATGAATAATCGGTGTGCATGTATAAAAGTGAAATCAAATCTGAAACTTCCGTGCTCAAAAGTATTAAGCAAAGGATACGACAAAAGTAAAATTATGCTTTATGAGCAATTGAAATTCCTGTAGAAGAAACCGACCAATTTATTGTGATTGGCCTGTGACTATTAATATAAAACACGAATAATTGTGTCCTTTGCACTAAAGAGCGCAAATAATTGCGCCCTTGGCACTAAAGAGTACAAATCATATAACCCATGGCTCAGGCAGAGTCACGTGCAGCTGAACTATAGCTTTGTCACATGCACATCAATGTACGGACGGAGTACGGGTACTTAATTTCAATCTGCTGCTAGGTTTGTCCTGTCTCTTCGTCTCAAAGTCGAAAGTTAATTCTTTAGTGGCAGATTTCATTTAACTTCATCTATTTTTCATTCAACTTCATTAGCTAAAATAATCCTCTCTTCTTTAGAGCTACAATAATGAACTCACAATCAAGCTCACCTACAGCTAATGGAGGAATAGATCATGTTCTCACAATTGCAGCGGCGACACAATGGCTTCTGCATCCATCAGCAGGAAAAGAATCTTGTTGTATCTTCAAGGTACGTCAATGCCTTGCGGAAATAAACAAGAAGACTTACCAGCCCCATGTTGTCTCCAGTGGTCCATATCACTGCGGTGATCAACATTTGGAGATGATACAGCAACACAAATGGCGAATCGTTGGCGAACTGCTTGCTCGAACACCTCCAAACGGCCCAACATTTGATTACTATCGGCAAGTAGTGGCAGCAAAGGAAGCAGATATAAGAGGGTGCTATTCGGAGACCCTCAGCTTAAGCAGTGATGATCTAGTTGAGATGATGGTGTTGGATGGTCTCTTCACTATTGAACTCTTTTGCAGACTTGGAGGATTGTCACTAGGTGATGAATACGAGTACGACCCCCTCTTTAAATTGAAATTCATATTCGCTAATATCATACGAGATCTTTTTCGTTTTGAGAATCAGATTCCTTTCTTCGTTCTTCAAGACTTATTTGATGAATCAAAAGCTTCAAGAGAAGATAGTGACAAATCCCTTGCCGAACTTGCCTTGACATTCTTTAACCGACCTGATCAAGTGTTAGATCAGGATTCCAGTGCTGCTGGTGAAGTAAAACATTTACTCGATTTACTCCGCTGGAGTTTTATCCCTAATCATTCACCTCAAGAGGAGCCTGTTCAACCGATTGAATTAATCCAATCAGCCAAAAAACTTCGTCTAGCTGGAATTAAGTTCAAGAAAAGGGAGGCAGTGAGCTTCTTAGACATAAGATTTTGCAATGGAGTGCTGGAAATTCCACACATAGTAATCGACGATCTTCTTACTCATCTGTTGATGAATTTTGTAGCATTTGAACAATGCTACTCTTATTGCTCAAAGCATGTGACAACTTATGCTGCATTCATGAGTTGCCTGATCCGCACTCCAGCAGACGTATCGTTTCTCTGCGACAAGAACATTATCGAGAATTATCTTGGAACTGATGAAGAGGTTGTTCATTTCTTCCAAAACCTTGGCAAAGGTTTGCCCTTAGATGTCGGTGAGGTTTATCTATGGAAGTTGTTCAAGGAAGTGAATGAGTACCATAGAAATATGTGGCATGTGCGATGGGCAGGTTTCAGATCCAAGTATTTCAATACTCCATGGTCTTTCTTGTCTGCTTTAGCTGCAGTTATACTCCTACTAATCACTGCAATTCAGACCTTCTTTACTGTTTATGGAAAGAAGTGAAGCGCTAGAGTAGCAATAATGTTAGGATGTTTGACACTTTTTTTGTACCTTGTTTGTATTTTTGCGTCTTTTAATATCTTCCCAAATTGGATGAGTATAAATATGGTCAGCATGGTCCTTAGCCAGCTCTATGAATGTTCTGATTATGAAATTCTCCTCTGTTTCCTCAGGGGCATGCTGGATATTGTCCACTGTAAAATGGTCCAGTACTTGTCCAATCTGTTGTTGTTGATCATTGACATCTAGTTGAGTTTTGAACACAAAAATTAGCTCTTCAAATCGCCTTTCGCTCATGAATTTCTATGTAACTGTGGAAAGGAAAAGCGCCTGGTCAGGGAAGGGGAATTTGTTGAAGAGCTCTGAAAATGTTCTGAGTTTGAAACCGTCTTCAGTTTCCTCTGGGAGTTGCTCCACTGTAACATCTTCACCTACTTTATTGTGGATTTCCTTCGTCCTCTCATCTTGATCAGTGACAGAGAGTTGGCTGAATCCAAAGATTGAAAGGCATAGGACTAATTCACCACCATCATCAACATGATCAGTACTACAACTGTTGATGGGCCGATCAAGTGCTGATTTGGGAAGTTTGAACTTTGACGAATAATCCATGCGATCAAGAATGGCTTACAAACTCGGGTTTCCATCGGAGAAAGCTCTGGCCGTAACTTGTTCCTAGAGGAAGTACAATATTAATAAACAGTAACAAACTATATGCAAATTTTCAATTAAGTAGTTCATCTATATAAAAGTCACAAAAATTCAGAACCCTACAAAGGGTAAAAATAAATTTTGACCTTCAACCTTCTTTGAAATTACAAGGAATCATTTTCTTTATTTACATGTGTTGATGGTTTAGTTTGATTTGCTAATCCTGGTAGGCTGACTCAGCAGACCTCTTGTTTTGCTGCTCTCAGTCTAGTTTATTTCTTTTATGCCCTTATCCTTGGCTTCAACATCAGTTAATTTTTCTTATTTGTCATTGGGGAAACTGCTGCATAAATGAAGTTAATTTCAGTTGTACAAGGGCCAAAGCCACTCTGATAATTAAGTCAATGGTAACAACAGTTTTTACCAATAGCAATTAGTAGGTTTACAAAAGATAGTATAAGTTTAGAAAGTGAAAGCTTCAAGTAGTAAATAAGATTGTATTGGACTTTATTTAGCATGAAAAATTATCTTTAAAATAGATTGTATTGGAATAGCATTATATATGGAACAAGCGTGTGTCTCCACCTACATTTAGAAGAACTTATAAAATCATCAAATGAAATCTGCAGGTAATTGTTCTGCATGGTGTGGACTGTGGACATAAGTTTCTTCAATAGCTAGCCTATCCAATTTCGACCTTAGACTGCCACTCATGGTGACTAAGCTATGAGCGTTGATTGCAGAGAAAAAGATAGAGGACATCATGTCCCTTTGGAAATTAGGAAACACACAAATAGACATTTATTCATAAATCAGAGACAGACTTTGATACGAGAATAACAAAAGGGAGGGGGGCCTTTTGCATCTCGTCTCATAACAAACAAGAAGAGTACCTTTAAAACGAAAAACAAAAAACAAGAAGAGTAATGCTGTATTGCATACGAATAAAACGCACAAGCTTGCCCCCTGCCCTCCTCCTTCAGTGGCTGCTGCTCCTGATCCTCTTAGATTTGGAGTTTTCACCTTCATGAATTCAAGAGCAACCTCCTCCTGCTGATCCTCCTCATCTGTCACCCGAGGTGAGAAAGGTTGAGGTATAGGAATAATCAGATCATTAATTTTACAAGTGCAAGAAGTTTATAAGCAAAAGTTAATACTTCTTAAACATATGGAAAAGGGTAAACTACACCAAATACCCCCATGAACTATCACGCTTGTTGAAATCTCCACCCTAAATTATTTTTTCAGCTAAGTTAGCTCTCAGACAATTTTAAATGGTCAATTTAGCACATGTTGTCAAATTGTTAGACTTCCATCCAATTTTCTGTTAATTATAAGGGTAAGTTTGTCATTTTACAAGGACAATGCCAAAAAATAATAAAGAAAATGTAAAATCATGATTTCTTCTCTCTTTCTTTTTCTTTGTTCTTTTTTCCTTTTCCATCTTCCTCTCTTTCTCTTTTCTTTCTTCTCTCCCTGTCTATCTCTCCACGTCTGCCCCAACCAAACCTAGAATGCGTTGGACACAAGAACTTCATGAAGCCTTTGTGGAAGCTGTGAGACGTGACAGCTTCTTTTAGTAACAACACTCACAATCAAATAAGAAGAAGCAAACAGTTGTGGCTTGTTAAGCAGAGCTTCTAATTATAATATTTTAATTACATTAACCTCTAATAAGAGAAAAAATGGTCATCCAACAAGAAATAATCAACCAAAAGATAGAACTAGAAGTTGAATAGTATCAAGATACCTGAACACCATAGGACAATAGTCCTTCCATCGATACTCAAACGACTGATGGGGTGGCGTTTTGTTCGATCCTTTCGGTTGAAACTTGGTCCAGAACTTCTCTTTGGGATCCAAATCACTGGGCTTAAGATCCCTCACCATCGAAGCATGCTTCCCAATAGAGTATCTAAAAACCAAAAACACCACAATAGCAAACACTAGTCTCCATTGATAAAGAAAACTCATAACCAAAAAATCACTCCATGACTTGTAAAATTGAAAAGTCAGAAAAAGTACCTAATACCCAGTTGAAGATTGAGCATCAAATTCTTATGCCCTTTTGATATGGTCTGGCCAGGCTTCTTGGGCTCGCCAAAAAAACAACAGGGACTTCGCCGAAACTTGCCAAACCCATCTCGATAGAAACCTTCGTCGTTTATGTAGAACATCGAAGCCTCCCCATCAGATTCCCATATACAAATCCTGGAAAAGTCCTCTCCACCAACTCCCTCTAGCCCCATCCACCAACGAAATGGAGCGTTTTGCCACCATAATAGTCAGATTCTCAGCCCCAATGTAGGTCAAGTTCTCCTCCTTTCTCTTATTTTATTTTATTTTTAAGTTTTGTAGTTTTAACAATTTAATTATTTTCAACTTAAAAATATTAAAATTTAATTGAACAGTGAGTCACGTGCTTAATATGTGACATTTAAACAGAAAATTAGATGAAATTGCATGAAAACTAACGGCAGGGGCTAAATTGACTATATAAAATAATATGAGGGCTAAATTGACTGAAAAAATAATTTAGAGTGGAGATTTCAATAGTCGGTATTGTTCAGGGGGTATTCGGCAGTTACCCTATGAAAAAATTAACTTAAGTATGAGTTCAATGGAGATATGAGATCTCAAAACTCACATATCATATCAACATGCCGACCATATTTTGTTCCTTTCAAAAGTAAAATAAGTTACATTTTGGATTAAAAAAAAATATTATCATTTAATACGCTTTATTATGTAAGAAAACATAGTTTTTAGTGAAGATTAATTATGATATATTGTCTTCCAACATATTCCGTCTATAAATGCCACAAGTATATAAATTTTGTCAGATGTCTAATTATAGCTTGTAAGAGGAGTGAAAATACTTTTATGTATTGACTTGAGTAGATCAAGAATTCGATGGAAGAGTTGGGATAAAACGTCAGCATCTTACAAATAGTAAAAAGAAAATTTGATCACCTTCAGTCAGTCTTCTCTGCAACTGCGAGGAACCATCCTTTTTTCTTTCTTTCTCCTTCATGGAAATTCGGTAGAATCGTTTTCATCTAGTTTATATTGAAATAAAGTGACAGTTGTTACCAATAAAAAAAAACATTGAAGTGAGACTCTCTCTCAAAAAAAGAAAATAATAAAGTGACAGTAGTCACAGAATTATTGGAGGCACAGACTAGGGCTGTGGGCCACCAAAATATTGAACACCGTTGGATTCATTGCACGTGTCGGAAAAAAAAAATTTAGCACACCCATAGAAAAATTCCTTGTTCTGCTATCGCTGCTAATTACTCCAGTATCGTCTTCTTGAAAGTTACCTCTTTATTAGTGGCACAACCCATCTTTCGTCATTCAACTTCATCAATTCAAGGCAGAGTATACTAATGAACTCACAATCAAGCTAACTCTTTATTAGTAGCAATAGATAGTATAAGTTTAAAATGATTTAGAAGAGACACAAGAAGACATAATCAGAAAACAAGTCTTGTAACCATATTCAGAATGATTTAAAATTGGGTTTTAAAATCAAGCGATGTCCGATCCTATCATCCTAGCTAGTACGGCAAAGAAAGTTGATGATTTGAGGCAGAAACTTAGGATGTAGGGACTGGTTGGACATTCGATTTACTGCAGGAGCTCAATCAAAATGTAAATTGTTGTTATCTCCTTGGTTCCATCAAGGGTTCAAGTATATATATATATATATATATATATATATATATATATGGTGGCAGCATCAAACTATTTACATATTTTCGAAAGTGAAAGCTTCAAGTAGTAACATAAGATTGTATTGGACTTTATTTAGCATGAAAAATTATCTTTAAAATAGATTGTATTGGAATAGCATTATATATGGAACAAGCGTGTGTCTCTCCACCTACATTTAGAAGAACTTATAAAATCATCAAATGAAATCTGCAGGTAATTGTTCTGCATGGTGTGTACTGTGGACATAAGTTTCTTCGATAGCTAGCCTATCCAATTTCGACCTTAGACTGCCACTCATGGTGACTAAGCTATGAGCGTTGATTGCAGACAAAAAGATAGAGGACATCATGTCCCTTTGGAAATTAGGAAACACACATAATAGACATTTATTCATAAATCAGAGACTATTACACGAGAATAACAAAAGGGAGGGATGCCATTTACATCTCGTCTCATAACAAACAAGAAGAGTACCTTTAAAACATATAACAAAAAAACAAGAAGAGTAATGCTGTATTGCATACGAATAAAACGCACAAGCTGGCGAGACAGGGCAAACTCATAAAGAAGAGTAGTGCTGCTCCATCTCCATGTATGAATTGACCACATCTTCTGAATTGTGTTATTTGAAGGCCGCTTCTTTGCTAAGTGCATGGCTGCAAATCATCTACTGTTGGCTTGTCCCCTGGCCTCCATGTGTAATTGCTCCCTGCCCTCCTCCTTGAGTGGCTGCTGCTCCTCCTGATACTCTTAGATTTGGAGTTTTCACCTTCATGAATTCAGGAGCAAACAGAGGCTCCTCTGTCACCAAACAAAGTTTCGCTTGACACTCCTCTGTCACCCAACAGCCTAGATCATAAAATAAGATATTTTGAATACGAATGGGTGTGTAATTTTGGTACTCTTAGTTGACACTCAATATCATGCTGCAATCAACCTAATTAACTATTTATAAGACAAACAATAAGGAATTTAATGCAATATTCCCTACAATACTTGGTTAAAATTTTGAGGTTAATCTAGTAATAGGTGGTTTCTCTAAGTGAAAAATATTTATTTAAAAAAAATTAACAAGTGCAAGAAGTTTATAAGAAGTAAGTACCAGAGCTTTCTTGATAATTCAGCCTTCAATTTGATTCTGAAAAATGATTCAGGCAGCCCTCAATTGATTCATTCTTCTTCATCGGCAGCATGAGAGTGTGTCATCCCCATTGTTTCCAGATATATCCTTTTCTCATCTCATGTATTGTATTGTGTGTAGACTAAGACTAGTTGTAATCCATTTATAGAAGAGTTGAAGGATTGGAGGCACACAATTTCAGTACCTTCCTTCTCACTCTTCTCTGAAACTGCAAGGAACCGTCCTTTGACTTTGTTAGTCTCCCTCTCCGTTCCACTGTACGCGCTTTAACTTTTCTCCATGATGGGTATAGTGACGCGTTTTTTACTGCAGCGGAAAGATGTACATTTTTTGCACATTTAGCCTCTAGGAATCTTGAGTGTGCTTGTTACAATTCTAAGGTGTATTTGGGGGTTGTCTTTGGTTGTGATAGACATTGACAACATATAGTTTAGGCTAGGCTTCATTGTATCCACATGACTTATTTGCTTAACCTCTTTGCACACAAGTTGTGTGGGCAAATAAAGTATGAAAGATAGTGTATTCATACACACCTTGAAGCATCTTTCATCCTCTCATTATCATTCCTTCTTAAACACTTTTTCCATAAGCCATTCTCACAAGATTTGTGGAGCGCTTTGATGATGAGAGTTTTTAAAGATGGCAGTTATATGCTCTTCTCTCAATTCTCAATTTGGTGTATGTGCTAATAACTCAACGGTCCTCATGGACCAGGAGAACGGGACTGGTTGTTTACATACGTAAATTTAGCGTTCTTTTGTCATAAAAAAGGTAAAAAGTAAAATGGAGTTTCTTTGAGAAAAATTCCGTTTAAAACTTATGAGCAAAAGTTAATACTTCTTAGGCCCCGTTTGGGATTGCTTTTTTTCGCCAAAAATCTGCTTCACTTTAAAGTTAAGCAGTTTTAGGTGTTTGGTAAAAATAAAATATCTCGATTATTTTAAAAGCAGTGGCATTTTGACAGCAGCTTTTAAAAGCAGGCTATGAGTTGCTTTTCAAAGCTGCTTTCAAAAGAAGCAGAGATGAACCTTTAATGAATTTTTTTAATTCCCAAAATACCATCATTCATTTTAAAAAATAACACCACCTCCACTTCCACATCCAACTCCACCACTTACACCACCACATTCACTACCTTCACAACCACTGCCATCGCCACCGCCACCACCACCACCACCACCTCCTCCACCACCACCACCACCTCCACAACCAACATCACCACCACCACCATGCTGCCACCTCCACCACCATGTTGTCACTACCACCACCTCCACAAGCGCCATCCCTACCACCACCACCTCCACTCCATCACTACCACTACTACCACATGATTAGTACATAACACTTTTAACATTATGTCTATTTTAGTCATTATTCACAGTTACAACAATTTTATATTAAAACTTACCAAACGGTTTTGACACTGCTTTTTGTACTAACAGCACTTTAAAAATATTGTTTACCAAACACGAAGCTGCTTTACTTTACAGCTAATTATTTTCAAAGCACAGTAGAAACAACTTTTTTAAAAAGTGACAGCAATCCTTAAACATATGGAAAAATTAACTTACATATGAGTTCAATGGAGATATGAGATCTCAGAACTCACATATCAACACGCCGACCATATTTTGGCCCTTTCACAAGTAAAATAAGTTACTTTTTGGATTATATATATATATATATATTATCATTTAATAGGCTTTATTATGTAAGAAAACGTAGTTTTTAGTGAAGATTAATTATGCGATATTAGTTATTTTTGTCTTCCAAGATATTCCGCCCAGAGGTTTTAATAAAGAAAATTATATTTTATCTTCATATGTGTGTCAGTTGGAGATTGCTCCTATGGTTGAGGAGGTGCTGAAAATAAGTTAGGCTAATATTTTGATAATTTGGGAGACTTGTTGTTAAGTAATACTTGTATGTTTTTTAAACTAGTTTTCTAGTGAATTTAGCTAACTTTCCATTAAAATAACTTTTAAAGATTAAATATGTGCAGAGTAATATGTATATAATTTTATAAAGAGTTCCTAAAATAGCTTTATAATTGAGTATACAAAATTAGTCCCCCAACTTGGACCGGATTTGCATTTGAGTACCTCAATTTTCAAAATGGTATCTATGGTCTTTTAACTTTAGTTTCGTTTAGACAACTAGTCCCACTGTTACTTCTGTCAATTTTTTCGTTAAATTTAAGGGTAGATGGGTCTTTTCAGTTGGTTTTATTATCCTCCTTCTGCAACTTGCCTTCCCTTTGAAATAGACTTTGGAGGTATACTAATCCACCCTGCCTTAAATATATGAAGAAACTTCTTCCCTTGGCTTGGTCCCACAATCCCCTTACCACCCTTAAGCTCATCTTCAGCGTCGACTCTATCTGTTTTTGTGACACAAATTTCGACACGGCCGTACTCTGGCTCCACCAGAACCACCTCAAGACTTCATTCAACACCTTTCTTGGATCCACGATGACGGCGGATGATTGGGTTATATCCGTGGCTGTGTTTCTTGGTGTGGTTCATGAGTCCCCTCGCGTACTCACCGGCATTGACGCCTTTCTTGGCCCAGCTACCGATGTCGTCCGCCACTCCAATGGTCTGGGCATCATGGTAGATGAAGTGGGCGTCTTCGCCCAAGGGTTTTCCTGGTTTTCTCAGAAAATCTAAAAGAGTAAAAGTCTTTTTTGTCTCTTAAAACCAACTTGAAAAGACTCATCTACCCTTAAATCTAATGAAAAAATTGACAGAAGTAACAGTGGGACTAGTTGTCTAAACGAAACTAGAGTTAAAGGACCACATGTACTATTTTGTAAATTGAGGTACTCAAATGCAAATTCGTTCCAAGTTGGGGGACTAATAAAACGATTAACCCAAATCTAAAAGAGTAAAAGTCTTTTTTGTCCCTTAAAACCAACCTGAAAAGACTCATCTACTCTTAAATTTAACGAAAAAATTGACAGAAGTAACGGTGGGACTAGTTGTCCAAACGAAACTAAAGTTAAAAGACCACATGTACCATTTTGGAAATTGAGGTACTCAAATGCAAATCCGGTCCAAGTTGGGGGACTAATAAAAAGATTAACCCTAGACATTTATTCATAAATCAGAGACTTGCCTTTTGCATCTCGTCTCATAACAAACAAGAAGAGTACCTTAAAAAAAACAAAAAACAAATAAAACGCACAAGCTGGTGAGACAGGGCAAACTCATAAAGAAGAGTAGTGCTGCTCCATCTCCTGAATTGTGTTATTTGAAGGCTGCTTCTTTGCTAAGTGCGTGGCTGCAAATGATCTACTGTTGGCTTGTCCCCTGGCCTCCTTGTGTAATTGCTCCCTGCCCTCCTCCTTGAGTGGCTGCTGCTCCTCCTGATCCTCTTGGATTTGGAGTTTTCACCTTCATGAATTCAAGAGCAAACTCCTCGTGGCTGCAAATGATCTACTGTTGGCTTGTCCCCTGGCTTCCTTGTGTAATTGCTCCCTGCCCTCCTCCTTGAGTGGCTGCTGCTCCTCCTGATCCTCTTGGATTTGGAGTTTTCACCTTCATGAATTCAAGAGCAAACTCCTCCTCTGGCTCCAGACACTCCTTCACTTTCAGCATATATACAAAATCGTGAGCAAACTCCTCCTCTTGCTCCGGACACCCGCACATACAAATTCTTGAGCAAACTCATCCTCTGTCTCCAGACAGATATCTAGAATACGTTCCACAATATCATTCTGGGAACTGAATTGAAGTTGTTTAAACGACTCTGTAAATCTCCTGAGCTGAAAATCCTCCTCAGTCTCATTGAGTTTCTCAATGATATGATCACCTTCTCCAAATTTACTATTTGGATCACTGGCCCATCGTGCTTTGAACCAAATAATTGACTGCCCCAAGTAATATTCAGCATAGCGGGACTGCTTGATTAATTCCATCTCTTCTTCACCTGCCTTCTGCATATGTAGACTTTCTAGATCCCAGCCCTTAGCTTCATTACTTATGAAGTTATACAAAAGGCTAGATCCCAGCCCTTAGCTTCATTACTTATGAAGTTATACAAAAGGCCGTTATATCTACTACACAGCTTTATGAATCTTCTGAGCCTAAAATCCTCCTCGCATTCCTCGGAGAGTCTCTCGAGTGTGACATCTTTCAAGGCTTCGCTTCCCTTCCACGACAACTGACCAAGCATGTTTTCAATCGCTTCTTGCTGGTCATTGGAATCGAGTTGCCTGAAAAAAAGAATCGCCTCACACAAGCGTCTTTCAAAGAAGAATTTGCGTCTAAACTCCCTGAATAAATCAACTTGTGTATCGACCGGAGCTTTATTAAGCAGCTCAGCGAATGTTTTCTGTTGGGTTTTTAGGGAACAAAAAAGTGATTTTATTTATTCAACAAAAGATGGATACAAGGCTTTATAGAAGAGTAGGCTTATTGGCCTTCAACAACTAGAAACTATTTGCTAGGCTTATTGGCCTTTTCGCTTATTGGCCTCTTCTCTCTCTTTGCAGGCTATTTGGCCTTTTCTCACTCTCTTGGGACAGCTGTAGTTTTTAGCTTACTTCTTACTTCTTACATCTTTGTTACAAGCCTATATATAGGAGAGTCACCGACTTTGAATACAACTATGTCGGTTTATTATACTACAATATCTTGATTATTTTATACTAAAACATGCTATTGATATCATGATATTTTGGAGTCACCGACTTTGCAAAGTCGGTTTGTTCATTTCTCAACTATTCTAGATTGAAATGTGCACTACTTTTCAACATTTTCCTTCTCAAATCTTCCTCTGTTTCCCCTTCAAGTCTTTCGACATCAGCAACTCCAGCAGCAAGTTGTTCGGAGATTTGTTCAATCTTGTCTTGCTGGTCGTTGGGGGATAGTAGGCTGAACCCGAAACTCAAGATCTTCCGGAGAACTTCAGCAGCATTGGGCTCATGACTCAAAATAATTAGGGTTTAAAACTGATATGTTTATTCTTCTCTCAAGGAGGAATATATATACTACATACAGAGTGGTTACAAATAGGAAATATGTACAAAATCTCCTAATTCTACTCAAATTAGATAATTACAATAAAATAGAAATTCTATTCCTAATAGGAACAAATTCTATTTCTAATAGGAACAAATTCTATTTCTAATAGGAACAAATTCTATTTCTAATAGGAACGTTGACTCACGCCAACACTCCCCCTCAAGTTGGTGCATAGATATCGGTAATGCCCAACTTGTCAAGTGAGTCTTCAAATCGGCGCTTTGACACAGCATGGGTCAACATATCTGCAAGCTGCTCTGAAAAAGGCACAAAAGGTATAAAAATTAACTTATGCTCCAGCTTCTCCTTAATGAAATGCCGATCAACTTCTACATGCTTAGTTCGATCATGTTGCACCGGATTGTTAGCAATTTCAAATGCAGATTGATTATCACAGTGGAGCTTTGTAGCAGCATTCGGTCTAAACCCAATTTCAGCAAGTAACCATCTCAACCACAGTATTTCACAAACCCCTTGGGCAATCCCTCTATACTCAGACTTTGCGGAGGACCGAGACACAACGTTTTGCTTCTTGCTACGCCACGTAACTAGGTTACCACCAACAAAGGTGAAGTAACTTGATGTAGAACGTCTATCTGTAATATTCCCAACATAATCTGCGTCAGTGTAACCTTCCAGATCCAAGTGACCATTTTTCTTAAATAATAAACCTCTCCTAGGAGCAGACTTTAAATAACTCAGAATACGCATCATAGCAGCCATATGATCCTCACTAGGTGAATGCATAAATTGGCTTACAACGTAGTAAGACAAAAGACGGATACATCAGTACAACACAGTTTAACTGCTCAGTAACTTGCGGTACAAATAATAAATTACTAGACAAAGATGGAACCAGTAACACTTTGTCCAATGGTAAAGCAGGTGTCAAGAGTATAGAACCAGCCCCTGTGACAGGAGCAGCAACATTATTAGCAGTCAGAACATGATCATGATGAGGCAGAAGAGTAGTAGAGAATAAAGCATAATTATACGTCATATGGTCAGTAGCTCCTGAATCAATAATCCAACCTATATCTCGGGTATCATAGGCATGGAAAGCCTTGCCAAAGTTACTTGGAGGCGGAGGTGTTAGAGTGCCTGAGACGGCAGTCAAAGTCGGAGGAGTAGCAGTAAGGTGATCGTGCCCAGTGGTGATGTCAGCCATATAAGTGGGGGCAACAGCTACATGAGCTTTGCTGTCCAGTTGTTCCTTTTTTAAACGCCTCCGCTCCTTCTCCCAATCTGGTACCCCATGCAATGCCCAGCAGGTGTCGACAATATGTCTCTTTTCACCATAGTGATCACACTTCAGTTTGTCTTTTTCTGCAGAAGTCAGGCGACGAGGCGGAACAGCAGAAGAGCCAGACCTTGTACGCTGAGAAACCAAAGCAGGGTTTTTGGAAGCAAACACAACAGCAGGTTCCCCAATCTTGGTGCCGGATCCAAGCATAGTAATCTGGCGTTGAGCCTCTCGACGAACCATAAAAAATACATTTTCAATACTTGAAACTTTATCACTTCGTAGAATATCACTGCGGACCTTGTCATAGGTATCGTCAAGGCTAACAAAAAAATCATACACACGATCTGCCATAACAGCAGCCTGAAAAGTCTTCATATCATCAGCACACTTCATCTGAAAAGGACGTCTCTTGTCCAATTCAAGCCAGATTGCCTTAAGTTCGGCAAAATAGGTAGAGACAGGACGACCCTCTTGCTTGAGATGGGTAGCTTGGCACTGCAGTTCATAGAGCTGGGATATGTCAGAGCCATCATAAAACATCTGATTAACAGCATCCCAAATTTCCTTAGCAGTAGGTAGAGTATGAAACATATTCAACAAACTGGGTTCCATAGTTCGCGACATCCAACTTTTCACAACAGCATCATCAAATTTCCACTTCCCAAATTTCGGGTCTTTGGAATCAGGGGCATCAGTATCGCCAGTCAGGTAACCAATTTGCCTTGTGCAGTAGCATGAAGTTCGATCATTGAAGCCCATATCTCATAGTTGGATCCATTCAATTTGAATTCCATAGGTAGGTTGGTGGACGATTCGGTATGAACCGTCACAATAGGAGTAGAAGAAGAAGAGTCAATGACATCTGACATGGTGATAGATAGCGGTAGCAACAAAAGATTAGGTGACAACGACGACAGTAAGAGATATATGACGGCACAGGCTTAGGTGTATAGGCTAGGTGCAGCGGAAATAGGTATTTTTAGGATTAGGGTTTTGACGTTGTAGAGACAGATCGGAACCCACTCTGATACCAACTCAAAATAATTAGGGTTTAAAACTAATATGTTTATTCTTCTCTCAAGGAGGAATATATATACTACATACATAGTGGTTACAAATAAGAAATATGTACAAAATCTCCTAATTCTACTCAAATTAGATAATTACAATAAAATAGAAATTCTATTCCTAATAGGAACGTTGACTCACGCCAACATCATGGGGTTGGTTTGCGAATGCCGACATTCATAATCGACCCGGAGTACAAAAATTAAGCAACATAAGCGGTTTACGAACTCTGTTTTGGTAGAAATCCCCAATCGTTACTTATTCTTAAAACAAAGTACAAAAATTAAGCAACATAAGTGGTTTTTGCTAAGTACTCAGGAGAATAGAAGAAAGAGGAAATCCGTTATTAAGAAAGAGAGAGAGCTTTGAGAATTCTAGAATGGTGGGAATCAAATATGTTTTTCTCATTACCACTATACATTTACAGTAGAGCCTTTAACTTTTGGCTTTGGTTAATGGTTAAGCATCTGAGCTAACAACCTCTAACAATCTTCACTTCAGCTTTTAAATTTAGTCTTAGTCTTAGGTGGCGTTTGAGGTTGCTTAATTTTTTTTTTAAAAGCAGCTTTAATAAAAAGTCATGGTAGTCTCCCTCCAGCTTTTTTCTTTCTTTCTCTTTCATGGAAATTCAGTAGACCCGTTTTCATCTACTTTATACTGAAAATAAAGTGACAGTTGTTACCAATTAAAAAAAAAACATTAAAGTGACAGTCTCTCTCAAAAAAAGAAAATAATAAAGTGACAGAAGTCACAGAATTATTGGAGGCACAATTTTAGTACCTTCCTTTTCACTCTTCTCTGAAACGGCAAGGAACCATCCTTTGTCAGTCTCTCTCTCTCCCCCCCTTCCTTCCACCCTCCTCCAGCTTTAATCTCTCTCTCTCTCTCTCTCTTTTCATGGAAATTCAGTATACTCGTTTTCATTTAGTTTACTGATTACCATTCAATTCAAATAACAATGTGAAATCTTCACAAATATTACGGCCGTTGATTTGCTCAAAGAAATGATCTGCACTGTCCAAAATTTGATCCTTGGAGGAGAGAGAAGCAATGCATGTGATGATACTTTTTCAGCCGAGCGGTGGCCCCGCTGTTGAGACATTTTTTCATGCACAAAATCAATTGTTTCTTGGAAATATTTTTACTTTCCACTTTAACATAAATGTATATCTTAATTATTATTTATGAACACTTACTCGTGTTGATGAATATAACCATAATTAACTCATAATAAAGCCATCCTATGCATTTGACAGAGATGGCAAGCCATCATTACCCATGTGAACAACTCAACTACAGTAAATAAAATACCGGGAAGAAAATAAATAAAATTAAAATTCAACAAATTTCCAGGAAGCGTCAGGCTCCATAATGGTCACTTCTATAAATAAAATTCGACTTTACTTGGTGGCAGTGGCAAGGCACATCTTTTTTCATTCAAAGCACTATCTTCTTTGATTAGAGCTACAATAATGAACTCACAATCAAGCTCACCAACAGCTGATGGAGGAAGAGATCATGCTCTCATCACAATTGCAGCGACAACCAATATCCAGACGACACCATTGGACCAAAGAATCCTGGAAACAAGATGGCTTCTGCATCCGTTAGCAGGAAAGGAATCTTATTGCATCTTCAAGGTACGTCAATGCCTTGCGGAAATAAACAAGAAGACTTACCAGCCCCATATTGTCTCCTGTGGTCCATATCACCATGGTGATGAACATTTGGAGATGATACAGGAACACAAATGGAAATATGTTCGCGATCTACTTGCTCGAACACCTCCAAACGGCCCAACATTTGATTACTATCGGCAAGTGGTGGCAGCAAAGGAAGCAGATATAAGAGGGTGCTATTCGGAGACCCTCAGCTTAAGCAGGGATGATCTAGTTCAGATGATGGTGTTGGATGGTCTCTTCACTATTGAACTCTTTTGCAGACTTGAAGGATTGTCACTAGGTGATGAATACAAGCACGACCCCCTCTTTAAATTGAAATTCATATTCGCTAATATCCTAGATGATCTTTTTCGTTTTGAGAACCAAATTCCTTTCTTTGTTCTTCAAGACTTATTTGATACATCAAAACCTTCAAGAGCATATAGTGACAAATCCCTTGCCGAACTTGCCTTGACATTCTTTAACCATGCATTTGAAACACCTGATCAAGTGTTAGATCAGGATTCCAGTGCTGATGGTGAAGTAAAACATTTACTCGATTTACTCCGCCGGAGTTTTATCCCTAATTCACTTCAAGAGGAGCCTGTTCAACCGATTGAATTAATCCAATCAGCCAAAAAGCTTCATCTAGCTGGAATTAAGTTCAAGACAAGGAAGGCAGTGAGCTTCTTAGACGTAAGATTTTGCAATGGAGTGCTGGAAATTCCACACATAGAAATCGACGATGTTCTTACTGATCTGTTGATGAATTTTGTAGCATTTGAACAATGCTACTCTTATTGCACAAAGCATGTGACAACTTATGCTGCATTCATGAGTTGCCTGATCCGCACTCCAGCAGACGTATCGTTTCTCTGTGACAAGAACATTATCGAGAATTATCTTGGAACTGATGAGGAGGTTGTTCATTTCTTCAAAAACCTTGGCAAAGGTGTGCCTTTATATGTTGGTGAGGGTCATCTATCGAATTTGTTCAAGGAAGTGAATGAGTACCATAGAAATGTGTGGCATGTGCAATGGGCAGGTTTCAGATCCAAGTATTTCAATACTCCATGGTCGTTCTTGTCTGCTTTAGCTGCAGTTATACTCCTACTACTCACTGCAATTCAGACCTTCTTTACTGTTTATGGAAAGAAGTGAAGCGCTAGAGTAGCAATAATGTTAGGATGTTTGACACCTTTTCTGCACCTTGTTTGTATTTTTGAGTCTTTTAATATCTTCCCAAGCTGGATGAGTATAAATATGGTCAGCATGGTCCTTAGCCAGCTCTGTGAATGTTCTGATTATGAAATTCTCCTCTGTTTCCTCAGGGGCATGCTGATATTGTCCACTGTAAAATGATCCAGTACTTGTCCCCAATCTGTTGTTGTTGATCATTGACATCTCAGAACTCACATATCATCATGCCGACCATAATTTGGTCCTTTCACAAGTAAAATAAGTTACTTTTTGGATTAAAAAATATATATATATTATCATTTAATAGGCTTTATTATGTAAGAAAACGTAGTTTTTAGTGAAGATTAATTATGATATTAGTTATTATTGTCTTCAAAGATATTCCGCCCAGAGGTTTAATAAAGAAAATTATATTTTATCTTCATATGTGTGTCAGTTGGAGATTGCTCCTAATGGTTGAGGTGCTGAAAATAAGTTAGGCTAATATTTTGAAAGTTCGGGAGATTTGTTGTTAAGTAATACTTGTGTGTTTTTTAAACTAGTTTTCTAGTGAATTTAGCTAAATTTCCACTAAAATAGCTTTTATAGATTAAATATGTGCCGAGTAATATGTATATAATTTTATAAAGAGTTCCTAAAATAACTTTATAATTGAGTCTAAAACCGTCTGTAAATACCACAAGTATATAAATTTGGTTTAAATGTTAAAATGGTCCTTGTGTTTTATCTCATAAGCCAATTTAGTCCCTGTATTATCAATTTGGCCAATTTGGTCATTGTGTTTGTATATTTTAGTCAATGTGGTCATTGTGTTTGTAGGTTTGAGGAAAAAAAAATTTTGAGTCCTAAAAATACATGAATAGTTGTATTTTGGAAGGTGGAAATTTAAATTTAGCCCCAACACATGATTGGAGATTATCTAAGTGAAGTGAAAAATACTTTTATGTATTGAGTAGATCAAGAATTCGGATATACTATTTATAGAAGAGTTGGGATAAAACTTCAGCATCTTACAAATAGTAAAAAGAAAATTTGATCACCTTCAGTCAGTCTTCTCTGCAACTGCGAGGAACCATCCATTGTTAGTTTTAGTCTTAGTCTTAGTCTCCCTCCAGCCTTTTTTCTTTCTTTCTCTTAGGCTCGTTTTCATCTATGCTGAAAATAAAGTGACAGTTGTTACTTTTATCAACAAAGAAAAAAAAGCTGACAGTTGTTACCAATAAAAAAAGGATAATGATTTCCCACTCCAATTTTATCCATTAACACTCATTTTTTTAGTTATAAAATGGAGTGTAAGTGAATAAAATTGGAGTGAAGAAATCACCACTCTAAACAAAAACCATTAAAATGACACACTCAAAAAAATAAAATAATAAAGTGATAGAAGTCACAAAATTATTGGAGCCACAGGCTAGGGATGTGGCCCACCAAAATATTGAACACCGTTGGATTCATTGCACGTGTCGAAGATCCAAAACACTTGGCCCCGGCGATCTGTGATTGGATGGCCTGGTTGACCGTCTCTCTCCTCTCTCCGCCATGTTTATTCTCTCTCTTTCTTTCCTTTTGTCTTCAATATTTGTTTCTCCGATCGTTGAAAAACGAATACCATCCCTTAAAACAAAAAACTAGTTGCACGAGAGAGCTAAGATAAAGAGAGAAGGAGGTATGGAATTAAGATGTTATTGTTTATTGTAGAAATCAGAGAAAAAGAAGAAAACATAACAACACAAGTTTAACGAGGTTCGGCAATTTTGAGCCTACGTCCCCAGTGGTGTTTGAGATTCTTATTCATCATGTATATATCAGTACAACAGGCTGCATATATAGGCAAGCCTTTTACAATCGTTAGAATTAATAAAGGCTTTTACAGTACCAAGACAATACAACTATTGGAAGATGAAGAGTTTCCAGCAACTGTAAGAAGACGAGGGGTTTCTAGCAGCAGCTAATTATTTTACATATTCCAATACTCCCCCTCAAGCGGAGGCGAGGATATTGATTGAGCCAAGCTTGAACAAGAGGTTTTCAAATTGAGCTAAAGGAAGTCCTTTGGTGAAGATATCTGCCAGTTGCTCATTACTGTGGATGTATGATGTGCGAATTATATTAGACTAAATCTTCTCTCGGACAAAATGACAATCAACTTCAATATGCTTGGTTCGTTCATGAAACATTGGATTGGAAGCAATGTGAATGGCAGCCTGATTATCACAAAAGAGAGTCATGGGATGTGGGTCTTTAAAGCCCAAATCATTGAGAAGTCCCTGGAGCCAAATTAATTCGCAAGAGACAGCAGCCATGGCTCTGTATTCGGCTTCAGCACTTGAACGAGCAACCACACTTTGTTTCTTACTCTTCTATGTCACCAAATTTCCTCTAACGAAGGTACAATATCCTGTGGTGGATTTCCGGTCAATTTGACACCCTGCCCAATCAGCATATGAGTACCCTATAATTTAATTGTTTCCATTTTTCCTCATCAAAATACCACGACCAATGGAACCTTTTAAGTAACGAAGAATCCGTTTGACTGCTTGCAAGTGATTTGATCGTGGAGAATGCATGAATTGGCTTACTAAGCTTACTGCATGAGAGATGTCATGACAAGTAATAGTAAGATAAATAAGCCTCCTAACCAGCCTTTGATAATAAATAGCATCTGCTAACAAATCTCCATCAAGACCAAGTTTGGCCTTGCAGTCAATTGGGGTAATGACTGGTTTGGTTTCTAACATACCAGTTTCTTGAAGAAGATCCAACACATACTTGCGTTGATTAAGAAATAAACCTTTGCTTGAGGAGGCAATTTCAATACCCAAAAATATTTTAAGGACCCTAAATCCTTAATAGCAAACTTCTTGTGAAGAAAAGACTTGAGTTTATGAATCTCTCTCATCTTGCTGCCTGTAATAATGAGATTATCAACATATATAAGTACCACCAATCTTCCAGCATGCCCATCTTTAACAAACAAATAGGAATTTGCATTACTTCTTTTGAAATTTATACTTTCAAGAACTGAACTTAATTTGGCATACCAAGCCCATGGAGATTGCTTAAGTCCGTAGATGGCCTTGTGCAATTTACAAACCATTCCTTCTTGTTTTTCTTGAGGATGACCAGGCGGCAAGCTCATGTAAACTTCCTCTCTTCTAATTCTCCATGCAAAAAGGCATTCTTCACACCCATTTGAAATAAAGGCCAATCATTATTGACAGCAACAGATAAGAGAACTCTTATTGTGTTCATCTTTGCGACAGGAGCAAAAGTTTCCTTGTAGTCTACTCCAAAAGTTTGAGTAAACCCCTTGGGCTCCCACCTAACCTTCGGTATTTTGTGATGCTGGTTGACCTCTATGTCGAAGACTTGGGGGTAGTGTGATGCCTGTATATATTGCTTCATCGAACGGTTAGACAGACCCACCAGTGTGGGGCCTTCGCTGATGGTGCTGATCATATTTATATGTCGATTCGCATTCGGGACCAGCGCTTGCGATGGTCTGGCAATGTACTAATCCAGTTTTCCCTCCCGAATCAATCGTTCGACGATTTTCCTCAGGCTTATGCACTCCTCAGTGTTATGGCTATTGTGCTGGTGGTATTGGCAGAATTTGCCGGTATCTCAATTGTCCTGCCGATTGGGCTTTTGGTGATTCGGCTTCAGTATTATTTCATGCTCGTTCATCAAAACAGCCTCGTAAGTGGTGTTCAGCAAAGTGAAGACTTCTTGACCGCAGTCGAAATTCGGTAGGGGTGCCTCGTGGTCATTTCGATCGTATTTTCCCTTTCCTTTCTTTGAGTGTCCCTGTTGATTATCACGATCATCTTTCTGTTTGTGCCCTGCCGAAGGTTCGGCAGTTCTTCTAGAGGCGTACGGAGATTCCTGCCCAGGATAAGTCTTCAATGCGGGTTCCTCCTGCCGAGCCGAAGGCTCAGACTTTGAGTTGAAATATTCAGCTTTAGCGTGGATTGTCGCTTGCTTTATCAGTTTGTCGTAGGTGCGCCAGTTCCTACTGTGCACTAGGTACCGAAAGTGTGAGGACCGAAGGTCACTCTTGAAGGTGTCGTAGGCTGTCCTGTCATCCGTTTTCGGACACCTTGAGTATTCATGACTGAAACGTGCGGCGTATTCCTGTAAGGGTTCGTCCTCCCTTTGCCAAATCGTATACAAATCGTCGACAGAGTACAAACGGTCCGTCTGTATCATAAAATGGTTAAGGAAAATATGTTTCAATTCTTCGAAGGAGTCTACTGTTCCCGGCTCCAGACGATAGAACCAATTCAATGCTGCCCTAGTGAGCGCGGACGGGAACAGCAGGTATTGCCCTTCGTCATTGAGTCCCTTGCACCTTATTGCCGATTGGAAGTAGTGGAGATGCACATCCCTGTCCTGCCTGGATTTCTTGATGCGTTTGGTGAAAGGTCTTGGTCGAAGCTTTTCCCAGTCAGGATCTTGAGACCGGGCCTTGTCGTTTTCCATCTTCTGAACCCTCTGAAAGAGGAGACGGATAGCAGGGTCTCGGCTTGGAACCTCCTCGGAACCATAGTCCTCGGAAGGTCTCCTCGGACTTGAAGGTCTTGCCTCAGAGAATCGTGTGGGAGTTGTTGAACGGTAGGTTGATTCTGTGGTCTTGGAAGGGACGTATTCGTCGTTGGATTCCACTTCCGATTCCAGCCCTCAAACCTTCCGAATGAGCGATTTGCTTCCAAGAACCCTCATCCGTGAGTCTCTGAAGTGCGCGTTGATTCTGATCGGAGATCTACGCCTCTCGGCTTATCTATCGTTAAGGCGATAGCGACAATCGGAGTAAACCTTCTTCGGTATGTGTGGCTGGTCCTTGGGAGCCGGAACTATCAACTGCTTGGAGGGCGCGAGTGTTGACTTTGCCCCCTTTTTGTTTTTCTTCTTCTGACTAGGGGTCTGCAGGCTCTGAGAAGATTGGGTGGTTTGAATGTTTTGCGTGTGCTGCTGATTGAGCAGGTGCTAGGTTTCGTCCACTTTGGACGACAGAAGGTTATTGTGTTCTTGCAGCTTAGCCATGTCCTATCGAAGAGAAGTGATTTGGGCTAGAAGCTCTGCTTCAGCGGTGGTTTGAATCACGGGTGAATTACTGAAAAGAGTGCAAGGGGGGTAGCGCGGGGCTAGCTCCGCTTTGCCTACCGAACGGTAATCTGTCATCTGACAAGAACGTTGGTAATGAAGTGGTCCCCATGTGTTTTGGAGAAAATGGGTTGATTTTGATTGTTTCCCACAGACGGCGCCAAACTGTGGAAGCGAAAAAGTGGTTCGTACCTTTCCTGCTCAACTTAGTGATGTTGGGCCCTCGGTATGCTCTAGGCGTCGGTAGAGTCAGTTACCTGCAAGATAACAAACGCTTGGTAAGACATTTGGGCACCGGCGTGGTACCGGCTGAAGGCTCTCCGATGCTTTAGTAAGTACGGATTTAGCAAGTTTGAACTAACAGATCAATAGGCAATATGCCGTAAGTTCTGATTACCTCCATTTTGGGATAGTGGTAGCGATCTGTGATTGGATGGCTCGAGTAGAATCATGTGAAGAGGGACTATGGCCCTGGTTGTCAATCCATTGGGTGGAATTATTTTTATTTTTATTTATTCACACACACACACAACTAAGATGCCAACGGGGTCTAGCCCAGTGGAAATGAGCCTTGAATTGCAGACCAAAAGTTTTGGGTTCGAATCCCCATGGCATCATAGTTGTGTGTGTGTGAGAGAAATCCTCATCTCCTGTAGTTTAGACAATCACTTGTATTCCAAAAAATAAAAAGATGCTATGAGAATTCGAACCTAAGACATATGGTTCGCAAGTTAAGGCCCTCTGTAATTAGAGCTACAATGAACTAACACTCAAGCTCGCCAATAGCTAATGGAGCAAAAGATCATGCCCTCATTTAGGGGTGGCAATTTCGGGCACGACCCGTTACACGACTCGAAACCCGCACGATAAATTAGTGGGTTCAACCCACACGATTAAAATTTGGGTCATTTTCGAGTTAACCTGCCTTAATAAATGGGTGAGTTTTGAGTCAACCCGTCAAACCGCCAAAAATACCTATATAACTCGTTTATCAAAACGGGACATGCATAGGTCAACCCGCCAACCTGCTAATATATCTATTAACCGACTAAAATACCTATATAACTTGTCAACCATCTAAATTAGGTAACTTAATGAGTTGGATCCTAGTCATCGAATTTTAGTTAGAAAAATAAAGTGATGGGTTATAGGTAAGAAAAATTAAATCAAAGGGAAAAAGTCAAATTTACTATTTTTAGTATGCCAAAAAAAAACAAAGAGCTAAGATTCGCATGGTGTTTGCTTCAGCCATCCATGGGTTGTTTTATGTAGCATTTGCATTCCTTCTGCTCCAAGTTAATACCATAAATATTTATGCGTGTAGTTGATCATTTCTCTAAGTATTCTTTATTTATATATAACAATTAAATGTGAATCAAGGGCCTGATGGAGTGTTTTAGATACCAACCCCGTCAGAAGTCTTTTTATATAGTTTTTGGAGGGACAATTAGAGAAAATAAAGGGGGCAGAGCTTTCTTATGAATTGCAAATGGCTCTTCTACTTTTCCTGTAAAGTACGTCTTACATGTCTCGTAGTTTACAGACGAATGATTCCTGTAGCTGGAAATTAAAATAATCATACACAGCAAAGAAGGCCTGAATTGCAGTGAGTAGTAGGAGCACGACAGCAGCTACAGCTGACAAGAAAGACCATGGGGTGTCAAAATACTTAAATCTAAAACCAGCCCATCTCACGTGCCAAATATTTCTATGGTACTTATACACATCCTTGAACAACTTACATAGATAACCGTCGTCAATATCAAAAGGCACATCCTTGCCAAGGTTTTTGAAGAAATGAGCGACCTCCTCATCGGTTCCAAGATAATTCTCAATAATATTTTTGTCACTGAGAAATGCTGCGTCCCCAGGCGTGCTGATGAGGCAACTCATCGATGCAGCATAAGTGGTTATGTGCTTTGAGCAATGGGAGTAGCATTGTTCAAATGCAACAAAGTTGAGGAAAATATCAGTGCGTAGATCATCTAGCGTTATGTTCGGAATTTCAACTTAATTCCAGCCAAATGAAGCTTTTTGGCGGATTTTATAAATTGAACCAGCGGAGAGGTGTTTCCCTTCCTCATGATCTTCAACTTAATTCGCCCTAAGAACTTTTTTAGTGTGTTCCTTGTGCTGGCCTTGAGTATTCCCGCTAGAGGCTTTTTGGCCATTTGGATCAATTGGACTAATGGAAGAATGACTTTTGGGTTTTGATTTTGAGGTGAGCGGTGATGTGGTTCAGGAATAAAACTCAAGTGAAGTAAATCAAGTAGATGTTTTGCTTCAACACTGAAATGTTGCTTTATGACTTCTTCTGGTCTTTCTACCGCGAAACTAAAGAATTCCAAAGCAAGTTGTGCAAGGGAAGAGTTACTATCTTCTCTTGAAGATTTTGATTTATCAAATAATGTTTGAAGGACAACGAAAGGAATTTGATTCTCCAACCGAAGAAGATCTCGTATGAGGTCAGGGAATATCCATGCCAAGTTGAAGATGGGGTCATCTGGATCACTTGGTGACAGCCTTCGAACTTTGCAGAATAGTTCAATAGTGCAAAGACCATCTAGCACCATCACCTCAACTAGATCTTGACCGCATAAATTGATTGTCTCTGAGTAGCACTGTCTTATATCTTCTTCCATTGATGCCACAACCTGCCGGTAGTCATCAAGATTCGGGCCAGGGGATGGTGTTCGAACAAGCAGATCGCGAAGAAATCTCCATTTGTGCTGCTGCATCATGTCCAAATGTGTGTCACCGTAGTGATAAGGACCGATGGAAACTATATGAGGCTGGTAGGCCTTCTTGTTTATTTCCAAGAGGTATTGGGGTAATCTGAAGATGCAACAAGAGCTGTTTCCAGCTGACGGGTGCAGCAGCCATTTCGTTTCCTTGATTCTTTGCTCCAAAGATATTGTGGTCAGAATATTGTTCGTTGCTGCAATTTTAATGACAGCATCTCTTCCTCCATTAGCCATTGGTGAGCTTGATTGCGAGTTCATTGTAGCTATAAATTAAAGAGCAGAGGATTTGGTAATCACTCTACTTTGTATTGAAGTAAATTTGATTGACAAAAATATGTTGCCGCAAAAGAATTAACTATCAAGAAGAAGACAAGGACCAACCTTAATTATTAGCAGCAGATTCAAATGATAGAGTAGAATGAAACAAAAAATAATATAATGTGACCCTTTTGGGGCCTGAACCTTCTTTGAAATTTCATAGAACCATCTTCTATTCTCAGATTTTCTTTGCTTAATATATTTCATCCTATGGATGTAGATTGATAACTAGCTAGTCTGTTAAAATTTCTATTTATAGCGTATAGCCGGGCAGCTATACCGTTAAATTTTCTATTTAAGTAGTATAGCCGAGCGGCTATAATGTTAAATTTCTATTTAAATAGTATACCGTCAACATTTATATATAAGTAGTATAGCCGCCCGGCTATAATGTTAAAATTTCTATTTGAAGAGTATAGCCGCGCAGCGATACTGTTAAAATATTATATTCCTAAGGTATAGCCGAACGGCTATACGTTTAACATTCTACTTATGGAGTTAGAGCCGCACAACCAGATCCGTGTTCGAAGAAGGGGGTTTTTGTTTGGGGATGGGTTTGTTTTTCATGGGAAATCCCAGGTGAATGCAAATGTGAGGCTCATTTTACTCTTTATTTGTTTTTGGAAATTTTAAGATTGATTTTAATGATGATGATGATGATGGTGAATTTGAGAGGGGAAGGGAAAAGAAATCGCGGCAAGGGAGAGAGAAGAAAGGTAGGAGGAGGAGGAAGGAGGGGGGAGGGATGGGTCTGGGTCTGATTGGGGAAGATAAATGGTGGGGGCGAAGAGAAGGGGTGAATGGGCTTGTGGGTGAAAAATAGAATGTGGTGAGGGAGGAGAGTGGAATCATGATGGGTGGGAGAGAGAATTTTGGGAGGGGAGGGTGACTGTGGGGGATGGGGTGGATGGGTTTGGGGTGTGGTGGTCATGAGGGGAATGGGGTAAGAAGAAATCGGGGGGAGGAGGGATGAGGATTTTCAGGTTAGCTGTAGCCATGAGTAAGCAAACTCGCAAACCAAACCAACTAGTTTGCAGTCAATAACTAGATTAGTGTACTCAGTTAATTTTAAGGTTCGTTTAGCAACACTCATAATTAAAGTCACATGTACAGGTTCCATTCATGCCATGAATGTAATTGCTCCCGGACATGTAAAAGACATCATTATACTCCTCCACCCCAAACTCCCCTAGTAATGAAGGATCAATGTCTTCCATGGAGAGTGAGGAGCTTGGACTGTTGCTCGAGCCCCATGGTCAACGCACTCCTAGAGCAGTTGGATCTCCTTCTCAGCCTCAAAGCGGTGCTTCTTGAGTTTCAAGATCTACGACAGTGGTACCAAATGTTATATTATGGGACTATATATACATATATACGTATCAAAGATAGTGCATAAATTACAAAAGATAGTGCACATCATATCCCTTTGAAATTAGGAAACACATAACCAGACATTTATTCATAAATCAGAGATTGATTATGACATGAGAATTACAAAAGGGCGGGGAGGCCTTTTCCATTTCTTGTTTCACTATATTGCACAAGAATAAAACGCACATGCTGGCGAGACAGGGCAAACTCATAAGGAAGAGTAGTGCTGCTCCATGTATGAATTCACCACATCTTCAGAATTGTTATTTGAAGACTTCTTTTATAGGGCATGGCCAAAAATCATCCTACCAGTGAAGTGACTAGCCCCTTGCACTCCTTGTGTAAGTGCTCCCTCTCCTCCTCCTTGAGTGGCTGCTCCTCCTCATCCACAGAACCAATGAGGAGCTAACGGAGGCCTTCCACAGAACCGGATGCCATCCTTGTTCTCCTCCTTTTTTGGCTCTCCATGGTAACCTAGATCATGAAATATTGGTTCTAAAATATGTTTCACAATATCCTCCTGGGAACTGAATTGAAGTTGTTGAAACGACTCTGTAAATCTTCTGAGCCGGAAATCCTCCTCAGTCTCAGTGATGAGTTTCTCAATTATATGATCACCTTCTCCAACTTTACCAAGAAGTACTTGAATAGGATTTCTTGGATTACTGGCACATCGTGCTTTGAACCAAATAATTGACAACCCCAAGTAAAGTTCAGCATAGCGGGACTGTTTGATTTCTTCTATCTCTTCGTTACCTGATGCCTGCATATGTAGAGCTTTTAGATCCCACTTCTTAGCTTCGCTGCGAAAGAAGCGATCCAAAAGGAATGGATGTGTACTACACAGCTTTATAAATCTTCTGAGCCTAAACTTTTCCTCGCATTCCTCGGAGAGTCTCTCAAGTATGACATCTTTGACATCTTTGCTTGTCACCTTCCCTGAGCGATCAAACATTTCTTCAATCATTTCTTGTTGCTCTTTGGAATCCAGTTGCCTGAACAAAAGAATCGACTCACAGAAGCGTCTCTCACTGAAGAATTTGCTTTTAAACTCCCTGAATAAATTAATTCGTGTACCGACCGGAGCTTTATTAAACAGCTTTGCGAATGTTTTCCTTCTCAAATCTTCCTCTGTTTCCCCTGCAAGGCTTTCGACAATAACATCTCCGGCAGCAAGTTGGTTAGAGATTTGTTCAATCTTGTCTTGTTGGTCATTGGGGGATAGTAGGCTGAACCAGAAACTTGAGAGCTGCGAGAGTAATTCAGCAGCACTGGCAGAATCTTGGGGCTGAAGTAGAACCCCGTGCGGAAGATATCTTTTGTGTAGCAGCTTCTGTTCAGCTTTGTCAAGGAAGTGGACTTGTACACCAAAGTCAGCCACTTTCTTACATAGCTCTGTGAATCTTCTGAGGTTGAAATCTGCCTCACTTTCGTCTGCGAGCTTCTCAACCATAACACCCTTAACTCCATCACAGAGTTGGTCAATCAGCTGCCATTGATCATATGAGCTTTGTCCCTTGAACCATATAATTGAGAAACCTAAGAAAAACTCAGCAAAACGGGACTGCGAATCCGAACAAACTTCAGGAGTATCGGATGTCTGTTGTGTATGTTTTGTTTTCTTGACAAATTCTTCCCTGCAGGCGACAACATAGTCAGTATAATCCTTACAAAGCTGTGTAAATCTTTTGAGTCTGAAATCCTCATTAGTTTCCTCATCAGGTTTAACATGAACAATTTCTTCAATCAGTTGATTTTGATCATTGGCGTCTAGTTGAGTACTGAACCAAGAGATCAACTCGCCAATTTTCCTCTCACGCTTGAACTTCTTTATAACAGTTGACAGGAAATGGTTCTGATCAGGTAAGGGAAGTTTCTTGAATAGCTCTGTGAATGTTCTGAGTCTAAAATCCTTTTCACTCTCCTCCAGGATTTGCTGAACTACAACATCTTCAACTACTTTATCATAGATTTTTTTCGTCTTCTCATGTTGATCAGTGGCAGAGAGTTGGCTGAACCCAAAGATTGAAAGACTTACGAGTAGTTCAGCAACATCAGCAGCATCAGTAGAACTGGTATTGGTTTCGGGGGCTGGTTTTGGGAACACGAACATTGATAGTCGATGCAGAGAAACGGTTACAAAGTTTGATTTTGGAGAACTTATGCCTAAAAGAAGTACAAAAATTAAGCAACAAAAGTGGGCAAGTCAAGCATTATTTGAAGTTCTTTTCTGGTAATCGTGAAGAGTGATCTATAATTCGGAAGAGAGTTTGTTAAAAACTTGATGAATTCAGTCCAAACACGGTGCTCAAAGTCTATGTTTATAGCTAGCTTATACAAGCAGTGAAGTGTTAACTTCCAGTTGAAATAAAAATACTTTCTCACCTACAATGGTTGTTGGTTAAAGAAAAAGAAAATTAACTAGTGCAAGAGGTTTATAAGACGTACCCGAGTTCTGTTGATCATTCAGCCTTCAATTTGATTCTGAAGAGTGGTTCAGCCCTCAATTGATTCTGCTTATATTGTGTAGACTACTTGTGTTTATAGAAGAATTTAAGGATTGCAGGCACAAAAAAACTACAGGCACCTTACAAATAGTAAAAACAAAATTTGATGTATAATATCCATCTTATATATAAGTAGATTATCTGCAAACTAGCTTTGTCTTTTTCTTTATTTTTCATGGAATTGACATGAAAATTCCCTAAACTTTTTTATTCTTTCACATAGACGATGGTTTTTGAACGTCCAAATGCTTAACAGGTGATGATTTTGGAGCACACTAGACGACGGTGATCCAATCGGCAACCATTAATTACTTAACCTTGGGGAAATCGTGAAATGAATTATTCAATCGGCAACCATGACAAATGGAAGTGGAAAATTAAAGTTTTGGGTGATTTAATTAATCTGGTAAGCGTCGTCTAGCAAACTAGCAAGCATGAGTTAAAACAAGAGTGTTGCTAAACGAACCCTAAAATTAATTGAGTACACTCTATGATCTAAGTACACCATAATATTTTAATCAAAATATAAAATTAACTAAGTACATCCCATTTAACTACCAAAAATACACATGGTACACCCTGATACACTATCACATAACACCTTAATACCAATCCCAAATCTATCACCTTCTAAAAATCAACCACTTGAGAGTCCTTATGTTCTCAAAACTTGTTCTCCAGATAAATTGGCTGGTGATTTACATCTGTTTGATGGCTTCTTGGTCACAGCAGAAGAACTTTCATGTGCTCCAGCAAAAACTATTGGAAGGAGTTGTCATGGAACAAAGTACAAAGCTATGCTTGACTCAGGTCATGTATTGGCTGCGAAATGGCTAACGGAGGGTATAGCAAAAGAAAGGAAATAATTTGCAAGATAAGTAAAGAACACTACTACATTTTACACTTTGCGCAACGAAGAGAATTTCGTCGCGCAAAATACATTGTAGTCACACAAATTTCAGCGCGACAGAAACTTCGTCGCGCAGAATCCGTCGCGTAAAGATCGTGAAGAAAGACTTTGTGCGACAAATTTTTTTCATTGGTCGCTCAAAGCAACTTTGCGCGACGGAAAATATTGGTCACGCAAAACGACTTTGCACAACAAAAAAATATTAGTTGCGCAAAGTGACTTTGAGCGACGAAAAGTATTGGTCGCGCAAAACTTTGCGCGACGAAAATTTTTTTTAAAAAATTCCCGCGTCCCATTTTTCGCCCAAATTTTTAGAGTTTTGCGCGACAAATACTAATGTCGCGCAAATATTTGCGCGACGAAATGTTTTGGTTTTTGACTTTTGGTTTTATTATTTCTTTAATATTAATTTAATTATATTAATTATTTTGATTTTTTACTTTTTAAATTTAATTTAATTGTATGATTTTTTTCGTTACTTTAATTTAAATTGATATTAATTTTTTCAAATTTTTACTTTTTAAATTTAATTTAATTGTATGATATTTTTTAACTACTTTAATTTAAATTGACATATTCAAAATAAAATTACATATGAAAAATAGTGATCAAATTATCCAATAAATATATATATAATATTCAAAATGTACACATAAATTAACAAAGTACAATAATAAAATCCTAATACAAGTGTATTGTGGTGGTAGTGGTGGAGGATATGTTTTAATAGTTTCCTAATCCTCAACTTTAGCCATCAAAGTCTCGATGATTCCCTACAAAAAAAAAGGTCAAATAACAAAAAAAAAGGGATAATCTCCCCTAAAATTTTTATACCACAAATCTAACCCAAACTCCAATCCCTCCCCTTTACTCAACCCCAAACCCCACACAAACTCAAAACTAACTCCAAAAACACATATTAATGAAAAAAAATTTAAAATTTGGAGAGAATATACCTTTTGGCAAGATTGAGAGTGAGTGAGAATGAGAGAGAGAAGTGAGTGTGAGAGAATTAGAGAAGATAGTGATAGAGAGATGAGAGAGTGAGTGAGAGTGAGAGATAGTGAAAAGAGAGATGAGAGAGTGAGTGAGAGTGAGAGATAGTGAAGAGAGAGATGATGAGAGATTAAGTGAGAGGAGTGAGTGTGAGAGAAATGGTGGGATTTGGGGAGAGGGAAAGAGAGAGGAGAGGTAAGAGTAGAGAAAGACATTGAGAAAATGGTAGAGGAGTTATTTTCATTTTAAAAACCGTATCACTTTGCGCGACGAAAAATATTGGAGTATTGGTCGCGCAAAGTTTTGCGCGACGAAATATATTGGTAGCGTCAAAAAAAAAAAAAAAAAAAAAAAACCGCGTCCCATTTTTGGTACCCGCCCAAATTTTGAAATTTTTGCGCGATGAAAAATACATATTGGTCGCGCAAAGTCTAAAAAAATTCCCGCATCCCATTTGTAGTACTCGCCCAAATTTTTGCACGACGAAAAATATATATTGGTCGCGCAAAGTCAAAATAAAAAAATAAAAAAAAAAAAAAAATAAATTTCCCACGTCCCATTTTTGGTACCCGCCCAAATTTTTAAAGTTTTGCGCGACGAACTGTTGGTCTCGCAAACTTTTGAGAGACGAAAAATTGGTTCGTAGCACGATATTTATAAAAATAATTGCTATGAATAATAAAAAATAAAATTATTTTTATTTTTACGATTTAAAATATAAATAAGGTTAAAGCTACTTAATAAATGTATATACTATTCAATTTCTTAATTGTTATACGTACAAAATAAATAAATTTAAAGCTACTTAATAAGTATATATATATACACACACACCATTCAACGATCCAACCGTCAAACTTGTTTGTATATACTTCAAGATCGTATACCCCAAAAATCGCAAAAAAACAAACATTCAGAGACCTAGTAAAGGGACAAAAAATTTCAACGGTTATAAATGAAAAATCACGATTTAACGGTTATTTTAACTCCAATTTTGATTATTTTTTACAGCTACACTCCTTGACCCTATATGAATACGAGGAACTAATTCGATCGTCAATTTAAAATATTTTACACTAGTGGATACCACAAAATCTTATGTTATATTTAACAAGAGTATAAATAAACTCTTAATTGTTAGTGAATATATTGTTTTGATGACATACGCATTCAACAAAACTAGTTTCAACGATCCAACCGTCAAACTTATTTGTTTATACTTCGAGATCATATACGCCAAAAATAGAAAAAAAAAATAAACATTCGGAGATCAAGTAACTGGACAAAAAATTTCGACGGTTATAAATGAAAAATCACGATTTAACGGTTATTTTAACTCCGATTTTGATGATTTTTTACAGATACACTCCTTGACCCTATATGAATACAATGAACTAATTCGATCGTCAATTTAAAATATTTACACTAGTGGATACCACAAAATCTTATGTTATATTTAACAAAAGTATAAATAAACTCTTAATTGTTAGTGAATATACTGTTTTGATGGCATACACATTCTACGAAACTAGTTTCAACGATCCAACCGTCAAACTTTTTTTTTATACTTTGAGATCATATACGCCAAAAATCGGAAAAAATAAACGTTCAGAGATCAAGTAACGGGACAAAACTTTTCGACGGTTATAAATGAAAAATCATGATTTAACGGTTATTTTAACTCTGATTTTGATGATTTTTTACCGCTACACTCCTTTACCCTATATGAATACAATGACTGAATTTGATCTTCAATTTAAAATATTTACACTAGTGGATACCACAAAATCTTATGTTTTATTTAACAAATAAACTCTTAATTGTTAGTGAATATATTGTTTTGATGGCATACGCATTCTACGAAACTAGTTTCAACGATCCAACCGTCAAACTTGTTTGTTTATACTTCGAGATCATATGCGCCAAAAATCGGAAAAAATAAACATTCAGAGATCAAGTAATGGGACAAAAAATTTCGACGGTTATAAATGAAAAATCACGATTTAACGGTTATTTTAACTCCGATTTTGATGATTTTTTACAGCTACACTCTTTGACCCTATATGAATACAATGAACTAATTCGATCGTCAATTTAAAAAATATATTTTCTAACAAAAACCCAATACGAACAACAATAATATATTTTTCTAACAAAAATTCGATCCGATCTAAAATAATAAATTTAAAGCTACTTAATAAAAATATATATACCGTTTAATTTCTTAAGTGTTATGCATACAAAATAAATTGGTTTAGGCGACGAAATGTTTGGATTACGCCATGCAAAGATTTTTAAAAAGAATCTTTTTTATAAGGACTTTGCGCGACGAAATTTATTGTTTTGTCACTCAAAGTCACTTTGTGCGATGAAAAACAATTCGTCATGCAAAGCGACTTTGCGCGATGAATTGTTTTTGGTCGCACAAGACTTTGAGCGACGATGTATTGTCGTCGCGCAAAAGTTTGTCTCGCAAAGTGACTGTGCGCGACGAAAAACAATTCGTAGCGCAAAATTTTGTCGTGCAAGGTTTTGAGCGACGAAGATTTGAGTTTCGTCGCACAAAGTGACTTTGAGCGACGAATAATTTTTCGTCGTGCAAAATTTGGTCGCTCAAGGGTGATTTTTTACTAGTGAAAACTAGGTAACATCATACATCTGAATCTAGTTTCTCTGCTCGGTTACTACCGGGGTCCAAAAGAGCATGAGAAACTGATTCTATCAACTTATATTAATGCACAATCGTTGGCATTCCAAAATTCATTAAAATTATAATGAATATGGTTTCTCTATGTTTTATTAGGGTTGAATATGGTAAGTAGGGTGTATTTATTAAAATTATATTTGTTTCAAAATTCAATACATCCTTTTTGGTCATTTTATATTTGGGCAAATTAGTAATCCAATAATTACTTTGGTAATAGGGTGTACTCAGTTAATTTTAGGGTTTGTTTAGCAGCACTCTAAAAAAATTTCCAACCAATCCACTATATCAATATTCATGAGTACCAAACATGATGATTTCATCAAAAGTGACAATAGACCTAAAACCAATATATTTTGTTTCCTCGTTTCTTGAGTCCAATGAAGTCGTCTGGACTCTGGATATTGTTTGTCGCTGCTGCAATTGTAATGAGAGCATGGTCTCTTCCTCCACTTAGCTAGCTTGGTTTTTGAGTTCATTGTAGCTCGAATTAAAGAAGAGAGGATTTTCTAATCACTAAAGTTGCATGACAAAAAATGTATACTAAAGAATTAACATTCAATAAGAAGACAAGGGTAAACCTCTATAATTAATTAGCTGCAGATAGAAATGGGTAAAGTTGAATGGAAAAAAAAATTGACCCCTATGAAGGCAACCTTCCTTGAAATTTCATGGAACATCATCTTTAAAATCTACATTCAGATTTTCCCTGCTTAATATTTCATCCTATGGATGTAGATTAATCACTAGCCTTTTGTTTTGTTTTGTTTTGTTTTTTTATTCGATGGGATTTGAGGTTGACATGGAAATCCTGGTGATTAGTTTAACTTACCTAACTAATTTCAAAATTAGCTTTATATCTCTTTCGTGTCAATGTCAAGAACACTAGCTAGTTTCCTTTCCTGCCTTGTGCACCAAACTTTTACTTGCTTGTTATACAGAGAATAGAGGACAGCATAGTTAGTCTTCAATAAACCTTCCTTGAGCACCTTAGTCTTCAATAAACCTTCCTTGAGCACCAAAAAAGCTGAAAGGACACGCATCATTTTAAATAGTCCGCTTAAATTACAGATGAGGTAGGTGGTAATTACTGTGAGCGCAGCCAAAATATGGGGCATCTAATATTTAAGTATTGTTAGCCAAACCTTAACTCAAGCGTACACCACAATTATTGGCATGGCAAAAACATACTAAACAATTCGACAACCAATATGTAACGTCAAAAGTACACAAGGAAGGACATATCAATATTTCTCTGAATCCATTAATTTTTTCTTGCAAAATTAACATATTTATTTTCTCCCAGCTGAAATACGATAACTGAGTTATTGATACTGCACCCATAACGCATCAATTTAGCATCCTGTATATGCAAACTTGCATATAACTGTATATACAAGAGTATATCACGTATTCTGGTAGCCTAAACCAACCAGCCTTAAGTCAAGCATACAAAAAACTTAGTAGCATAGTTAACAACATCTCGACTATACCCACTAGGAATAGTCACTTGCAAATAGTGAGTATATCATTTTACCCCTCAGGGGGTGTTAGTGGAAGTAACTCTTTAATAAATAATAGAAGAAACAGAATATAGTGTGCAGCATAACACTTCTTTGCTTTTCCAAAAGGAAACGGGTACTGCATTACATTTCAGATCACCTAAGCATAATACAAGACTCTTGGTTTAAGATTTTAAAGATTTTGAGACTACCTTACAATCATCACTACGAGATACAAGCCTTGTGCTCTCTGTGCATGAAAAATCAAACACTCCAAGCACGTTTTTCATGTTCTTCATATTCCATGACACTCTGTCGGAAAGTTTAAGAATGAGCAACAAAAATTGAAGGTTGAGGGAATAAGTGCACAGATTCAAATCACACACAAAAAATCAGAATGTGTAAGGAACATCACATACTTTCCGAGTATTTACATCCCAAACCTGTTACTATTCCCTCATAATCAGTACTACCTATATGGTTTTTCGTAAACTTGTTCCAGTTCAAGCAGCTAAGCTTTGAACTTGTAGGCTTTCCCGTGATGCCTGATCAAAATTCCTTTACAATTAGAAGTTGTGGTGCATATATGTTATTTTTATTGTTTTGTTGTTAAAATAGCAGGAACTGTTTCATTGATAGAGATGGAAATCCTTCTGAGATGTCCGGTTGATACTCTTAGTTCAATGCTAATGAGTGCGAAAGAATGGCTGGAGCTGTTCCGTTGATAAACATGGGAATGTTACGTATGTGCTTTCCTTGCGATCGACAACAGCAAATTTATCTTTACCAAGAGAATCAATTTTCTGTCATTGATTTTATTTATTATGTGGTGGATACTTTGCTTGTCTAGCTAACAGGTTACTATTTGATTGACACTTTACTTGACTAGCTACCAGGGAACTGTTAGATTGGATTGGAGTTGAGTCTAAATCAGTATGTGGCTCACCAAACAACGGCTAGGACTCTTGTCCATTTTAATTTAAGTCCAATCCAGTCCAGTGAGACTAATAGAAGGTACACCTTAGAGAAGACAAGAATTCAATATTTTTATGACCAAGAGCAAAGAATCTGAAAAGACTTTCTCGCACTGGAATAATCTTTTTATATATGCTTTGTGCAGTTCATCACAAGTCATCTTGATCCTTCTATTCTCACACTTAGAGATGCTTACATATAGCGGCCACTAAAATATCAACAAACATTACTTGATAGACATGGATCCTTCCTTGTATGAGGCAGCAAGATCCGGTGACGTTGGTTTCTTGAGAAAAATTAAAGATGCTGACGTACCAGATGATCTTCTCCATCAGAAAACGCCTATGGACAATAATATACTTCACATTGCGGCTGAGTTCAAGCACATAGACTTCTTTATCTCCACCATGATTCCTGTTTGAAGGTAATACATAGAGATTTGAAGGTCAGTAACATTCTCTTGGATGAGAACATGAACCCAGAAATTTCAGATTTTGGATTGGCATGTATCGTTCAAGGCACGCAGAGTCTCACAAGGTTGTGGGAACAATGTAAGCATCATCTCTTTCTTTTCCAGTTCTCAGAAATCTTCTTTAAAAGTTAAATCCTTGGACACACTGTCACTCATATTGTTAATATTACTGAATAAATGTCCTAGGCGGGCGCTAGGCGGGCGCTAGGCGGGGGGGCTAGGCTGTCAAGGCAGTCTAGGCGGTCTAGGCGGGGGCTAGGCGGTCACTAGGCGGGCTAGGCTGGCTAGGTGGGAGCTACGCAGTCTAGGTGGGTGCTAGGCGGTCTAGGTGGGAGCTATGCAGTCTAGGCGGGTGCTAGGCGGTCTAGGCGGCTAGGCGGTCTAGGCGGCGCTGCGCCTAGAAAAAAAAATTCGCCATTTTGGAATCTCTAAGGTCAGGGACGAGATCACGATGGTGCTATGAGCGAGAGACAGAGAGATGAGGATTGAAGAAGAAGTTTGAGCGAGAGAGAGGGGGCTGGAAGACGGCTCTTGTTAGAGTTAGGGTTTGAGAAGGAAAATTGCATTTATACGTTGATGAAAAAAAACAAAAGAAGAGATGGGCCCCCGATTACTCCTCTAGGCGTTAGACCCTTGTGTGCAGCCCGCCTACTGCCTAGTTTCGAACATTGGGATTGATATGTTGGTAAATCAAGTTGTACCAGCACTTCAATATACAACCCTGCAATTTTAACCGACTCCTCTTCCCTTCTGTTTTTGTTTATATTTAACTGAAAATTAGTTTCGACCATTGGGGTATGTTTGCCGTTACAGACCCCTTTTTGAGTCTAAGAACGGGCATTGATGGAAAGGGTCGTATGTTTGTTCCTCTCTTGTGTTGAAAACGGTAATGCCTGTGATCCTCTGAACTCCAAGTTGAGTAGCAATGAGGTTCTGCATTAGCAAGGGGCCAAGCAATTACTCGCACAGATGAAAATACCAGAGGCAAATTCTTTTAAACTAATAATCTCAATGCTGCAATTGGAGATGACCAGTTTTGGAGATGATCACTTCAACAAAAATGTTTAAACCGAGTCTATATATGCTGTTGTAATTATATTCTCCTCAACCCTCGACAAAACCTGTGCATGGATTTTAAATTCATAAATCAATTAGATAAGCAATTGAGATGCTAACATTATGAATTTAATTAGAAATGAGTTCAAATGTGTAATTCGTGGTTTCTAACTTTTTCTGTCATCAACTAAACTTATATAATCCATCTGAGCTGATCTCAAAGTTCACTGACTTACGAGGTCTGTTAGAAGAAGAAGAAGAACATTGAGGCCAATTAAAGCAATAGAGAAATGAAACAAAACCGCCCAAATAATAAGCCCAATAAGAAATGCTTACTTGAGATTAGATTTTTTCATTACATTTATTCTGTGACTAGTTCTATGAACTAAAGACTGACAGGGTCATTTATGGAGCAGGCATGTGCAAACAATAGTTTCGAATTGGACAATTGTCCGTTGTACATTTTAGAAACCACATTACAGCTGTATATTATTGTTTTGGCACCAATTGGTTGATTTTGTTTCATTTATGAAATGTGTAAATGAGCAGTTGAGGTAAAGGAGGGGAAGATTGCCTCCATTGTGAAAGAAGAAGAAAAGCATGGAAAAGCCAAGTTGGAGAAGCTGTTGTCATGCCTGGCTTGATTGATGTGTAAGATACCACAATAAATTTTCTCACTCTGTCTTTTTCTATATAGTCACGAAGGTTTCCATTGGAATTTAAATGCCTTGGTTTTTATTTTGCAGACATGCACATCTTGATGATCCTGGAAGAGCTGAATGGAAAGGATTTCCATCAGGGTGGGATCATCACATTGGTTGACATGCCTCTAAATAGTGATCCATTAAGGCTGCATTGAGCAGAATTTAGATCGATGTTGGTATCCTCTTAAAAACTATATATATGTTTGGGGATGCCATTATACTAGAACTTTTGAGAACTACTGGTTTTTACATACAAACTGTTGGCAGGTTTCTGGGGGAGGTCTTGTTCCTGAAAACGCATTCAATGGGTCTGCTCTTGAGGATCTGCTAAATGCCGGTGTTCTTGGTTTGAAGGTAAAGTATTCAAGAAGTGAAAGTAGCACGCGTTTTATTAGAATAGTACAAATGCCATGAAGATTAATTTCTGTTTAGAGATTTTGCAGGATGAATAGTAAAGAGAATACTACACCAGCAGATCCCATCCAATCTGTCAGTCCCATGAAATCAGCTGATCCCATTACATCAGCCTTAGAAGCCTCCTAACCACAAGCACGGCATTCATCAGCCAGAATGATTAATTGTCAATTCCTCTGTAATATATGTAATTGATTGGACTTACCTTATATCACTAAGTTTCTGTAAATAGACTTGAGAAAGTCTAACCCATGTACCAATATTTATACTGCAGATAATACAGAGAACGAATCATCTTGATTGTGGCAATTGTTCTTAATCTCTCTGTTCTCATCTCTCTCTCTTCCTCTTGAGTTCATTCTCTTATATTGAGTTCATTCTCTTATAAAAAGGACATTATATAATCCTCATCTGACAAATTTTTCCTTGTCTGCTTTTGTAGTCTTTAATGTGTCCATCTGGGATCAGTGTCTTTCTTATGACAAATGCCAGTCATATTAAGGTTTGTTTCATGAGATTTGGTCTTCCCACTGTCATAGAAATATCTGATTTAGCTTGCAAAATAAATTAAGAATGGAATCAATGACTTCATTGAATTGCTGCTTATCCAACTCTATCTGTACTAATTTAATCAGCATAATCAATTATTCATTCGTGATGGCTGAAGACTTGCATGATCATTTGGTTTCCTGAGATGCAATGTTGTTTGCATAACTCTAATGTCTTTTCAAACATCTGTATATTGTTTTCAATTATCTCTTCCTTACGAGGGACTGTCTGTACTGGCAAAATACAGAAGGCCTTCACTTGTACATGCAGAGAAACAACTAGATCTCGAACGCGACTTGGGAATTGAAGGTGGTACGTTCTTATTCGATGTATCTCAAGACCTGGCCACCTTCACGGTAAGATCTTATTGACTTTTGAATGCATGTGACTTGCTGAATCCATATTGCAAAATTTTCCCCTAGAATTGCTATGAGGAAACATCCCTGAAGGTATTTTTACATGAAAACTGTTTTCCCTCTGCTTCCAAACCAGGGAAGTGGCTGGCAGCTATTAGGGATCTCTTGAACTTGACAAAGGACACAACGATTGGTGCCCCAGCAGAAGGAGCTCATCTTCACAGTGTTCACTTGTCTGACTCAAGCTCTTCATTAGATCTTATTAACGAAGTCTTTTATACCTACGTGGTTTTTGTGGGGTCTTATGACTCTAACAAATACAAATGGCCATTCACTTTTAACTTTCCACCTATTCAGCTCTATCTGCAAACTGCAACTTTCGAGTGAAAGCAAGTTTTGTACATAATTGCAGGATGCAAAAGGTGGTGGTGACAGTGTAAATTTGGAGACAGGCCCCCAATACTTAGCATTCACAGCAGAAGAGATTCGGGATGGAGATACGTGTTCTCCACCCATCCATGACGCTCCCAACAAGGAAAAATTGTGAGAGGCTTTGTTGGTATGCAATCATTCAATGTTTGCCTGTATATATGATGGGATAGCTATCCACCATCAAATTGGTTCTATTTTGGTTTCAATGTTTTGTTCAGGGCGGACATGTAGACATGCTAAGCTCTGATTATTTACCAACTATGCCGGAACTCAAGCTTCTTGATGATGGAGACTTTTTGAGGGCTTGGGGTGGCATATCATCTTTGCAGGTGGCATATCATCTTTGCAGGTTGGCATATTTTTCCTTGCAAATGTTATGGTCTGTATGGCATGGTCATATGGCCAGAAATATGGAGTGACTTTAAAACAGCTAGATTTATGGTGGAGCGAAAGGTCCGCCAGGCTTGCCAGACAAGAATTGAAGGTGATGTCATCATCAGTTTTTCCTCTGTTTTATAGATTTTCATGCAGACATGAATCTCATTGTGCTGATGAATTGAATTCTAAATTGGCAGGGGGCAATTGCAATTGGGAACCATGCAGATATGGTAGTGTGGGATCCAGATGTGGAGTTTGACCTTGATGATGGACACCCTGTCTACCTCAAGCATTCTGTATGTCTTCCTTTGTATCCTCTGTTCACATGTTTTGAGTGTAACTTTGCTTGTTTCTTGATAGCATTCTTAAGACCCTGCATGTCATTCAATTCTATATTAAACCTTTTTTTTGAATTCTCTGTTATGACCGACAAGTTTTTGACTGTGTTACCTTTCTGTGTACAGGGGATTTCAGCCTCACTGGGAACAAAGCTATCTGGAAGAGTTTCAGCTACTTTTGTAAGAGGAAACCTTGTTTCAAAGAGGGGCAGCATGCGGCGTTCTGATTCTGGCAAAATAATTAAGAACTTGGATTGACAAGGGAAATCCCACAAACAGTCTCCCTCTATATACACTTTGTGATCTCATCCATGGGCAGTGGCGGAGCCACTCCTAGACCTGAAGTGGCCCTGCCCCCCCATATTTTTATCACTCCTCTATTATATTATATATAATATATAATTGGTAATAAACAACTTAAAATTGAAGTTAAAATTTCCTCTAAAATAAATTAGACATGACTCCATAAAAAATATTTAGCTCTAAACATGTAAGTATTGAATACTTAGGTGTTTTATATACTTGTATTTTCTACTTTGGCCCCTTCAATTTTACAATTCTAGCTCCGCCCTGGTCCATGTGTGGCTGTGTCATCTCTAGGCTTTTGATGTCCATGGTTTGATGGAGTAGGAGGGGTGGTGGAGGAGGAACCTGGAGCGGTAGCTGAGATCGGAGGAGTAGGAGACGGAGGAGGACACGTGGGAGTGGTAAAGGAGGCGAGGGACTTGGTCGGCTCGATTGGGTCGTCAAAGATGTCCTCGCCAACGATGAGATCAGACGGGTCGAGGAGGAGGGGAATGAGATCAACGGCTATACTATTCTTTTATATATAAAATAAAAATAAAAAATTAGAAAAACCCGAGTATAGCTGCCCGGCTATACTGTTTCTTTAAAATTGTGAAAAACCGAGTATAGCCGTGGCTATACTATTTCTTTAAAAAAATTTAGAAAAACCAAGTATCGCCGCGGGCTATACTATTTCTTTAAACCACGTATAGCCGGGCGGCTATTTTAAAAAAGGGGAAAAACCGAGGATAGCTTTTTAAAAAAAATTTAAAAAGAAGTATAGCCGGGCGGCTATACTATTTAAAAAAAAATGGAAATAACCGAGTATAGCCGGGCTATACCATTTTTTTAATTTGAAAAAAACCGCATATAGGGCTCTACTATTTCTTTATAATAAAAAATTGGAACAAACCGAGTATAGCCACCTACCTATACCAAATTAATATAGAAATTCTACCCCTGGTACTAGAAATTATACAGTAGTGCCTACATCTGGCCAACAGCTATACTGATTTTTAGGACCACTGAATTACTCAATGTATTATGTTGATCTTTAGATTCCTCATAAGTATGTTCCATAGAGCCTTTCATCTCTTGTTTTATACGTAGTGAAAGGTTTTCTCGCCTGATGTGCTATCTAATTGTGATGCAGAATTAGCTCAAATGGTTTGCTTGTCGCCGCCTGGTTTGTGGTTTGTGCTACAAGGTTCTTCTCTCTTCCTCTTTCACTTAGATACTTTGTGTACCTTGTTGTTGAGGCCCAAAAAAGTCCACGGTTGGGCCCAAATAAGTTTTTGGTCCAATATGCTACTATATTAAGAAAAGTAACATATCTGAGTACACGAAGGCTCGTCATATGCTAGTCACACCACACGCGCCATGCCAAATAAATAATTCGTCATGTTAGGAATCGAGATTAAGATTATAAAATGCATTATCTTTGCAAATCCATGCTAATTATCCCGTCAGGCATAATAATTGAAAGCATGCCAAGCGATATGCCATGCCAAGCGACATGCCATGCCAAGTAGGAAATCATTATTACACACCCAACCACGCTACAAGCCTAAGTGGGCCCAAGCCACTCGAATGCCCGGGGCTTGCTTGAGTGGGTTGTGGTATGGACAGTAATAAATCAACATGAGGCCCATTGATTGGCCAGAAAAATGGAAAGTCTCGGGTTGCTTGGGAGCCTCGAGACTCAAGCCCATTTCTTAGGCCCAAACATATGGGTAAGCACAAGAGAGAAAAGCAGCCCAAAGGCCCAAGCAAAATAACCTAACCAAGAAATAACCCAACCAAAAAAATAACCCCAATCAAGAGGCCCAATGTTTCACAAAAAGCCCATTTGCTTAGAAAGCCATCTTGACCCTTAGAAAAACCCAAAATAGCCCACAAGAGCTTCAGCTCTTTTGAAAAACAGAGAACACATGAAGTTCCAAGCCAGAGATGCCCAAAGAACCAAGGAATGCTGGCCTGCACCCTGTCAAAAGCACCCCTTGGACCAGCATATATTTTCACTTCTTTTCCTTCATCAGATTCAGCCAAGGAAGAGGAAAGGAAAGAAGAAAAAACAGCAAACCAAGAGTGGAAGCTCCCACTGCACAGCTGCGGGAAAGGAGGATGTTGAGCCCCCAAATCCCCTGAATTCATGTAAATAGACAGAAGCAATCTTTGCCAAGAAAGGGAAGTCAGAGAAGAGGAGGAGAAAGGAAGAAAAAACTTAGCCAAAATAAGTAGAAGCCATTAGGGTTTCTTGAAAAATGGTGATTTCCAGCGGCTATAAATTGAGCCTTCCCCTACCCAACAGAGACAACCCACAACCTGCAGAGAGCAAGCTTTCTCTCTAACTTGCAAAAACTCAACAAACTCATGCACTGTTCATCTTCTTCTCCAATTTGTTTTTTCTGGCAGCTGCCAGAAGAACTCTGCCTTTCTTTTTCCTCTTTCCCTAGTCAAATTCCTCACAAAACACCTCATTCCTTACTTAAACACTTTCTTTTCTCATAAACCAAGCCTAATCTCTCTCTTAATGCTAAACTCGTGTTGGTTTTGCTCCCATTCCACATGCCACTCATGCTGAGCTAAAAAGACCATATGTAAGCATGCCAAAACTATCTGCAAGTCACCATTATTCTCGTTGGTGAAGATTATCCAAAATATCTCCTAAGGTTTTGCTGCCCTTTCGAGGTATTTTGGGGCTTAATTTTCGAACCTAAACAAAAGGGGGCAATCTCCTCAGTCAGCCTTTTGCAGCAGCCCAGCCCATTAGCTGCAGGAAGAAAAAGTCCCCCAACACTAGTAAGCAACGTTCTCAGTCTCATTCTCTCCTCTTTTTGCCTTTTCCCAAAATTGTTGTAGGTTTTCTTACTTCATGTAATCTTGTTATGATACTATACGCCTAGCGCAAGTATTGCCAAAATTTGATAACAATGTAAAAGGAGATAGAGAGACTGCAATTGCATCGAACTTCATTCAAAGAAGCAATGCATGACCCCAAAATAATGTGTCATCTAAACTAACATGAAATATAGAATATGTACACCTGATCTTTTGAGTTGATTGGGGTCATGCAATCAATTCTTTTTCTTGAAAAATGTGTTATGCGATTTCGAAGGTCCATATGCAGTGTGCAATCAATTCTTTTGTGTTTCGAACAATGGGAAAGAACCCTTTTCTCTCTCTTGGAGTTGGGACAGTGAATGAAGATTTTCCCGGGCGTAGATACTAGACTGGAGCTTTCTTGATTGGATACTTTGTCTTTGTCTACATTGTTACTCTTAGTGTAATATATATCATATTAATCCTTGGTTGCAACACATGCCCACAGTATAGCCATTCATTTTTTATATCCTAAGCCTAATGTTTTAGCCTTTATTGGGTCAAAAGTCTCAAAGATTGAAGGGTTGGTAGACCAAAAGCAAAAACTGAAAATACTCACTCACAAAGTGCCACCTTTCAAGGAAAATGGTTGCATCTCCAATTTTCAGCATGCTGTTCTCTTCCATATTTCTCTTGCACAAGTTGATTTCATTTCATTCTACTGCTGCAACTCACATTTTAACTCCATCCAAACATATCTTGCAAAATGAAACTTTAACCTCCCTACCAACCAAAATTTTGAATTGGGCTTCTTTAGTCCAGGTAATTCAGGCAAACAATACATTAGAATATGGTATAAGAATAACTACATACATAGAACAATCGAATTGTATAGGTGGCCAACAGAGAGAGGCCACTTGCCAATACAAACCCCTTTTTTAGTCTAAGAACGGGCATTGATGGAAATTTGAGGCTTGTGGATGGAAAACAGAACACTGTCTGGTCAACCAGTGTCACCACCTCATTGAATAATTTGGAAGCAGTGCTTTTAGACACCGGAAACTTCATTTTGAGAGATCATATATCTGGAGGAATCTTTTGGGAAAGCTTTGATTATCCTTGTGATACTTTCTTACCTGAAATGATGATAGGATTGAACACCAAAACTGGAGAGAGACGCTTCTTGGATTCGTGGAAATCTGCAAATGATCCATCATCCGGAACATTTGTAATTGGAGTTAGTGCTGAGTTGCCACCACAAGTTTTTCTTTGGAATGGGTCAAATCCATACTGGAGAAGTGGCCAATGAAATGGATTGAAGTTCATAGGGGTACCAGAAATAGGTGCATTGTACTCTAAATGGATTTAATCTCATGCAAGTTAATCAACAGGGGACGAATATCTTATTTTCAAAGTGTACGTACAGCTACGATTCTAATATATACCGCAATGCAGTTGCTATAGATAAAGGATTATACTTAAAAGCAACAAATGTTCTCTTTCATGTCAATGTCAAGAACACTAGCTAGTTTCCTTTCCTGCCTTGTGCACCAAACTTTTACTTGCTTGTTATACAGAGATATAGAGGACAGCATAGTTATTCTTCAATGAACCTTCCTTGAGCACCAAAAAAGCTGAAAGGACACGCATCATTTTAAATAGTCCGCTTAAATTACAGATGAGGTAGGTGGTAATTACTGTGAGCGCAGCCAAAATATGGGGCATCTAATATTTAAGTATTGTTAGCCAAACCTTAACTCAAGCGTACACCACAATTATTGGCATTGCTAAAACATACTAAACAATTTGACAACCAAAATGTAACGTCAAAAGTACACAAGGAAGGACATATCAATATTTCTCTGAATCCATTAATTCTTTCTTGCAAAATTAACATATTTATTTTCTCCCAGCTGAAATAAGATAACTGAGTTATTGATACTGCACCCATAACGCATCAATTTAGCATCCTGTATATGCAAACTTGCATATAACTGCATAAACCAGATACAAGAGTATATCACGTATTCTGGTAGCCTAAACCAACCAGCCTTAAGTCAAGCATACAAAAAACTAAGTAGCATAGTTAACAACATCTCGACTATACCCACAAGGAATAGTCACTTGCAAATAGTGAGTATATCATTTTACCCCTTAGGGGGTGTTAGTGGAAATAACTCTTTAATAAATAATAGAAGAAACAGAATATAGTGTGCAGCATAACACTTCTTTGCTTTTCCAAAAGGAAACGGGTACTGCATTACATTTCAGATCACCTAAGCATAATACAAGACTCTTGGTTTAAGATTTTAAAGATTTTGAGACTACCTTACAATCATCACTACGAGATACAAGCCCTGTGCTCTCTGTGCATGAAAAATCAAACACTCCAAGCAAGTTTTTCATGTTCTTCATATTCCATGACACTCTGTCGGAAAGTTTAAGCATGAGCAACAAAAATTGAAGGTTGAGGGAATAAGTGCACAGATTCAAATCACACACAAAAAATCAGAATGTGTAAGGATCATCACATACTTTCCGAGTATTTACATCCCAAACCTGTTACTATTCCCTCATAATCAGTACTACCTATATGGTTTTTCGTAAACTTGTTCCAGTTCAAGCAGCTAAGCTTTGAACTTGTAGGCTTTCCCGTGATGCCTGATCAAAATTCCTTTACAATTAGAAGTTGTGGTGCATATATGTTATTTTTATTGTTTTGTTGTTAAAATAGCAGGAACTGTTTCATTGATAGAGATGGAAATCCTTCTGAGATGTCCGGTTGATACTCTTAGTTCAATGCTAATGAGTGCGAAAGAATGGCTGGAGCTGTTCCGTTGATAAACATGGGAATGTTACGTATGTGCTTTCCTTGCGATCGACAACAGCAAATTTATCTTTACCCAAGAGAATCAATTTTCTGTCATTGATTTTATTTATTATGTGGTGGATACTTTGCTTGTCTAGCTAACAGGTTACTATTTGATTGATACTTTACTTGACTAGCTACCAGGGAACTGTTAGATTGGATTGGAGTTGAGTCTAAATCAGTATGTGGCTCACCAAACAACGGCTAGGACTCTTGTCCATTTTAATTGAAGTCCAATCCAGTCCAGTGAGACTAATAGAAGATACACCCTAGAGAAGACAAGAATTCAATATTTTTATGACCAAGAGCAAAGAATCTGAAAAGACTTTCTCGCACTGGAATAATCTTTTTATATATGCTTTGTGCAGTTCATCACAAGTCATCTTGATCCTTCTATTCTCACACCTAGAGATGCTTACATATAGCGGCCACTAAAATATCAACAAACATTACTTGATAGACATGGATCCTTCCTTGTATGAGGCAGCAAGATCAGGTGACGTTGGTTTCTTGAGAAAAATTAAAGATGCTGACGTACCAGATGATCTTCTCCATCAGAAAACGCCTATGGACAATAATATACTTCACATTGCGGCTGAGTTCAAGCACATAGACTCTTTATCTCCACCATGATTCCTGTTTGAAGGTAATACATAGAGATTTGAAGGTCAGTAACATTCTCTTGGATGAGAACATGAACCCAGAAATTTCAGATTTTGGATTGGCATGTATCTTTCAAGGCACGCAGAGTCTCACAAGGTTGTGGGAACAATGTAAGCATCATCTCTTTCTTTTCCAGTTCTCAGAAATCTTCTTTAAAAGTTAAATCCTTGGACACACTGTCACTCATATTGTTAATATTACTGAATAAATGTCCTAGGCGGGCGCTAGGCGGGGGGGCTAGGCTGTCTAGGCAGTCTAGGCGGTCTAGGCGGGGGCAAGGCGGTCACTAGGCGGGCTAGGCTGGCTAGGTGGGAGCTACGCAGTCTAGGTGGGTGCTAGGCGGTCTAGGTGGGAGCTATGCAGTCTAGGCGGGTGCTAGGCGGTCTAGGCGGACGCTAGGCGGTCTAGGCGGCGCTGCGCCTAGAAAAAAAAATTCGCCATTTTGGAATCTCTAAGGTCAGGGACGAGATCACGATGGTGCTATGAGCGAGAGACAGAGAGATGAGGATTGAAGAAGAAGTTTGAGCGAGAGAGAGGGGGCTGGAAGACGGCTCTTGTTAGAGTTAGGGTTTGAGAAGGAAAATTGCATTTATACGTTGATGAAAAAAAAACAAAAGAAGTGATGGGCCCCCGATTACTCCTCTAGGCGTTAGACCCTTGTGTGCAGCCCACCTACTGCCTAGTTTCGAACATTGGGATTGACATGTTGGTAAATCAAGTTGTACCAGCACTTCAATATACAACCCTGCAATTTTAACCGACTCCTCTTCCCTTCTGTTTTTGTTTATATTTAACTGAAAATTAGTTTCGAACATTGGGGTATGTTTGCCGTTACAGACCCCTTTTAGAGTCTAAGAACGGGCATTGATGGAAAGGGTCGTATTTTTGTTCCTCTCTTGTGTTGAAAACGGTAATGCCTGTGATCCTCTGAACTCCAAGTTGAGTAGCAATGAGGTTCTGCATTAGCAAGGGGCCAAGCAATTACTCGCACAGATTAAAATACCAGAGGCAAATTCTTTTAAACTAATAATCTCAATGCTGCAATTGGAGATTACCAGTTTTGGAGATGATCACTTCAACAAAACTGTTTAAATCGAGTACATAATATGCTGTTGTACCCAACAAAAAACATTCCAATTTGCATGAACAAATTTCTGCGTATATACCAACGCATTTTGTATACGCATGAGCATATTTCTGTGTAGATGATGGTGAACAACCGGTCAATCATCACTACGAGATACAAGCCTTGTGCGCTCTGTGCATGAAAAATCAAACACTCCAAGCACGTTTTTCATGTTCTTCATATTCCATGACACTCTGTCGGAAAGTTTAAGCATGAGCAACAAAAATTGAAGGTTGAGGGAATAAGTGCACAGATTCAAATCACACACAAAAAATCAGAATGTGTAAGGAACATCACATACTTTCCGAGTATTTACATCCCAAACCTGTTACTATTCCCTCATAATCAGTACTAGCTATATGGTTTTTCGTAAACTTGTTCCAGTTCAAGCAACTAAGCTTTGAACTTGTAGGCTTTCCCGTGACGCCTGATCAAAATTCCTTTACAATTAGAAGTTTTGGTGCATATATGTTATTTTTCTTGTTTTGTTCTTAAAATAGCAGGAACTGTTTCATTGTTAGAGATGGAAAACCTTCTGAGATGTCCGGTTGATACTCTTAGTTCAATGCTAATGAGTGCGAAAGAATGGCTGGAGCTGTTCCGTTGATAAACATGGGAATGTTACGTATGTGCTTTCCTTGCGATCAACAACAGCAAATTTATCTTTACCAAGGGAATCAATTTTCTGTCATTGATTTTATTTATTATGTGGTGGATACTTTGCTTGTCTAGCTAACAGGTTACTATTTGATTGATACTTTATTTGACTAGCTACCAGGGAACTGTTAGATTGGATTGGAGTTGAGTCCAAGTCAGTATGTGGCTCACCAAACAACGGCTAGGACTCTTGTCCATTTTAATTGAAGTCCAATCTAGTCCAGTGAGACTACTAGAAGATACACCCTAGAGAAGACAAGAATTCAATATTTTTATGACCAAGAGCAAAGAATCTGAAAAGACTTTCTCGCACTGGAATAATCTTTTTATATATGCTTTGTGCAGTTCATCACAAGTCATCTTGATCCTTCTATTTTCACATTTAGAGATGCTTACATATAGCGGCCACTAAAATATCAATAAACAATCATAGTGGTTCTTGATTTGCATATAGATTCAATTTGGATATCAGCTTTTAGTGATCTCTATATATAACATTTCATAGTCAACGCGATCTCGGATTTCTCTACTCATTGCCGACTGATTTTGAGTTGAATGCTCTCATTCAAACTATGATTTCGGGTTGAATACTCATTCAAACCAAGACATAATCATTTTTCATTGCACCCGAAGTCAACCATATATGTTGTGACATAAGAACAAAGAATTAGAAAATTAAACATTACTTGATGGACATGGATCCTTCCTTGTATGAGGCAGCAAGATCAGGTGACGTTGGTTTCTTGAGAAAAATTAAAGATGCTGACGTACCAGATGATCTTCTCCATCAGAAAACGCCTATGGACAATAATATACTTCACATTGCCGCTGAGTTCAAGCACATAGACTTCTTTATCTCCACCATGATTCCTGTTTGAAGGTAATGCATAGAGATTTGAAGGTCAGTAACATTCATCCATGGACACACTGTCACTCATATTGTTAATATTACTGAATAAATGGCCTAGGCGGGGGCTAGGCGGGCTAGGCGGGGGCTAGGCGGGGGCTAGGCGGTCTAGGCGGTCGCTAGGAGGGCTAGGCGGTCTAGGTGGGAGCTACGCAGTCTAGGCGGGCGCTAGGCGGTCTAGGCAGGTGCTGCGCCTAGGAAAAAAAAATTTCGCCATTTTGGAATCTTCAAGGTCAGGGACGAGATAACGATGGTGCTAAGAGCGAGAGACAGAGAGATGAGGATTGAAGAAGAAGTCTGAGCGAGAGAGAGGGGCTGGAAGACGGCTCTTGTTAGAGTTAGGGTTTGAGAAGGAAAATTGCATTTATATGTTGATGAAAAAAAAACAAAAGAACAGATGGGCCCCCGATTACTCCTCTAGGCGTTAGACCCGTGCTTGCAGCCCGCCCACTGCCTAGTTTCTAACATTGGGATTGACATGTTGGTAAATCAAGTTGTACCAGCACTTCAATATACAACCCTGCAATTTTAACCGACTCCTCTTCCCTTCTGTTTTTGTTTATATTTAACTCAAAATTAGTTTCGAACATTGGGTCTGTTTGCCGTTACAGACCCCTTTTTGAGTCTAAGAACAGGCATTGATGGAAAGGGTCGTATGTTTGTTCCTCTCTTGTGTTGAAAACGGTAATGCCTGTGATCCTCTGAACTCCAAGTTGAGTAGCAATGAGGTTCTGCATTAGCAAGGAGCCAAGCAATTACTCGCACAGATGAAAATACCAGAGGCAAATTCTTTTAAACTAATAATCTCAATGCTGCAATTGGAGATTACCAGTTTTGGAGATGATCACTTCAACAAAAATGTTTAAACCGAGTCCATAATATGCTGTTGTACCCAACAAAAAACATTCCAATTTGCATGATCAAATTTCTGCGTATATACCAACGCATTTTGTATACGCATGAGCATATTTCTGTGTAGATGATGGTGAAGAACCGGTCAAGAAAGAAGTTGTAGGTTTGCTGGTTTGTTTATGAATTCTACGCAGTATTTGACTTCCTCTGTTTTGGCTCTGCATTGCAATTTGAGTGTCATAATGGACTTTAATTTACTTTTTATTTTACAGCAATATCAGAAAAACTGCAGCCTGCTTACTTACCAACATTACTGGATAACCAGCAAGGACATCATGACGCCTCACAGGGTCATTTATGGAGCAGGCATGTGCAAACAATAGTTTCGAATTGGACAATTGTCTGTTGTACATTTTAGAAACCACATTACAGCTCTATATTATTGTTTTGGCACCAAATGGTTGATTTTGTTTCATTTATGAAATGTGTAAATGAGCAGTTGAGGTAAAGGAGGGGAAGATTGCCTCCATTGTGGAAGAAGAAGAAAAGCATGGAAAAGCCAGGTTGGAGAAGCTGTTGTCATGCCTGGCTTGATTGATGCGTAAGATACCACAATAAATTTTCTCACTCTGTCTTTTTCTATATAGTCACAAAGGTTTCCATTGGAATTTAAATGCCTTGGTTTTTATTAATTGCAGGCATGCACATCTTGATGATCCTGGAAGAGCTGAATGGAAAGGATTTCCATCAGGGTGGGATTATTACATTGGTTGACATGCCTCTAAATAGTGATCCATTAAGGCCGCATTGAGCAGAATTTAGATCGATGTTGGTATCCTCTTAAAAACTATATATATATATATATATGTGTGTGTGTGTGTGTGTGTGTGTTTGGGGATGCCATTATACTACAACTTTTGAGAACTACTGGTTTTTACATACAAACTGTTGGCAGGTTTCTGGGGAGGTCTTGTTCCTGAAAACGCATTCAATGGGTCTGCTCTTGAGGATCTGTTAAATGCCGGTGCTCTTGGTTTGAAGGTAAACTATTCAAGAAGTGAAAGTGGCACACGTTTTAATAGAATAGTACAAATGCCATGAAGATGAATTTCTGTTTAGAGATTTTGCAGGATGAATAGGACATTATATAATCCTCATCTGACAAATTTTTACTTGTCTGTTTTTGTAGTCTTTATTGTGTCCATCTGGGATCAATGGCTTTCTTATGACAAATGCCAGTCATATTAAGGTTTGTTTCATGAGATTCAGTCTTCCCACGGTCATAGAAATATCTGATTGAGGATTCTTCCATGTGGATCAGTCAAACAATCCCCGGTTGTATTGTTTTCCCCGGTACATGATGTACACTATCATATGTACCTCCCCTTGAATACTAATACTTGGAAACAGTGAACATAGATACTTGGATACATGGAAATGGATAACTAGTAGTCTGCGCACGTAGGACTTGTCACAGGTGCACGAATATTGAGGATTCTGCTGTGCGTGCTCGTTAGCCCAGTCCCTAGGTTGGACGGCTCATCCCTGGCCATATGGTTGTTGAAGATTCCTCCATGTGGTCTAGTCAAACGATTCTCGAATTGGACTGTTTTTCCTGATACATGATGATGGTGAGAGGAGAGTGTATTTATATATATATATATATATATATATGTATATGTATATGTATATGTATATGTATATGTGGACTCGTTTATGAGATTGTGCTTCGTGAGTACTCTACACAGATATGAATGTTTAAGTCATGATTTGGAAAGTGTAATGCGGCAACATACGCCTTGGATAGGGTATGGTTGCGAGGATGAACTGACATAAGGGAAGGAATTTTTAATGTATTCAGTATGTGTTTTGTCGGATTTGAAGTTGTAGATGAATCTGAAATTTATCGTTGGTTTTGCTTTAAATATAAGAACTACGTGTGGCTTGATCCCTCATCCAAGGATACGTAGGTAGCCTAAGGTCTCACTTAGGTGCAACCGCGAAATAAACTTTATTTAATAGGATTGATCGATTTGGAGTATGTGAATGGATTTTGTTGTGGTTATTGGATTTGAATCCTATGATTATTACTGTTTGGTTCAATTTTGAGTATGTTGGTACGCCTGAAGCTCGATTTAAACTTGAGCGAGATTAAACGCTTGTTTATTTCTCAGTTATCACTTGAATGGATTTTAATAAATAGTGTATATGGTTCAGACAGGTCTGAGATCCATTTCGAATTAAATGATTGATTTTAGGTTTGATTATATTGTATAACGGGCCGAGGCCCTTAGAACTGCTGGTGTTAGTTCATAGTTGGTAGTTGTTGCATGCTGAAAATTGGTGGAGAGTATATTATTGCCTTTCTACATGTTGAAAATTTGAGAAGTTATTTTATGTTGATTACAGTGGTATTCATAAAATTATTTGAATTCATTAAGAGCATTGCTAGTTGTTCGGTCTTGAATTATTCGAAGGGTAGAAGCCTACTCCGTAAACTGTGTGTTTTGCATTGTGTCTGCTGGCAGTTGGTTTCTTAAACTACGGTTTTACAGGTGAAAGAATTTGGTAAATAGCCATTTTCAAGGGTAACTCTGTAGAAAGTCTCGTGCCCCTTTTCCTTTTTTTCTTTTTTTTGGAAAAGAGGCTAAAGTTTAAGTAAGTGGGCCCAGCATCGGTGTGATGTCAGAATTTCAACAGGATTCATCTCAGATTCCGAGGAATTTGGGGCGGGTTCTGTCATGTGAGGTGTGACCGTAACACCAAGTACTTCAAATTTCTGCTAAGTAGCTATGGGAGATATGTGACAATTCAATCTTGTGACATGATTCAAGATAGATTAAATTTATAAATTTAAATAAATAAATAAAAGAAGATAATATTCAACATACATGGTGAACTTTCTTACAAAGCTCTGGCTGAGGGGAAAAAAAAACCAACAACTATAACCACCACTTTCTCCGCTATTCCTAATGCCTCCCCCCTCCACTAGAGGCCAATGAATTAAAATAATCATACACATCAAAGAAGGCCTGAATTGCAGTGAGTAGTAGGAGCACGACAGCAGCTACAGCTGACAAGAAAGACCATGGGGTGTCAAAATACTTCAATCTAAAACCAGCCCATCTCACGTGCCAAATATTTATATGGTACTCATTCACATCACTTACATAGATAACTTTCGTCAATATCAAAAGGCACATCCTTGCCAAGGTTTTTGAAGAAATGGGCAACCTCCTCATCGGTTCCAAGATAATTCTCAATAATATTTTTGTCTCTGAGAAATGCTGCCTCCGCAGGCGTGCTGATGAGACAACTCATCAATGCAGCATAAGTGGTTATGTGCTTTAAGCAATGGGAGTAGCATTGCTCAAATGCAACAAAGTTGAGGAAAATATCTGTGCGTAGATCATCTAGAGTTATGTTCGGGATTTCAAGCACCCCGTTGCAGAATCTGATATCGAAAGAAGCTGTTTGCCTCCCTTACCTTGAACTTAATTCCAGCCAAATGAAGGTTTTTGGCGGATGGGATAAATTGAACCAGCAGAGAGGTGTTTCCCTTCCTCATGATCTTCAACTTAATTCACCCAACGAACTTTTTTAGCTAACCGAGGCCTTCTACAGAACCGGATGCCGTCCTTTTTCTCCTCCTTTTTTAGCTCTCCATGGTAACCTAGATCATGAAATATTGGTTCTAAAATATATTTCACGATATCCTCCTGAGAACTGAATTGAAGTTGTTGAAACGACTCTGTAAATCTTCTGAGCCGGAAATCCTCCTCTGTCTCATTGACGAGTTTCTCAATTATATGATCACCTTCTCCAACTTTACCAAGAAGTACTTGAATGGGGTTTCTTGGATCACTGGCACATCGTGCTTTGAACCAAATAATTGACAACCCCAAGTAAAATTCAGCATACCTGGACCTCTTGATTTCTTCTATCTCTTCTTTACCTGACGTCTTCTGCATATGTAGACTTTTTAGATCCCACTTCTTAGCTTCGCTGCGAAAGAAGCGATCCAAAAGGAATGGATGTGTACTACACAGCTTTATAAATCTTCTGAGCCTAAAATTTTCCTCGCACTCCTCGGAGAGTCTCTCGAGTATGACATCTTTGACATCTTTGCTTGTCACCTTCCCTGAGCGATCAAACATTTCTTCAATCGTTTCTTGTTGCTCATTGGAATCCAGTTGCCTGAACAAAAGAATGGACTCACAGAAGCGTCTCTCACTGACGAATTTGCTTTTAAACTCCCTGAATAAATTAATTCGTGTACCGACCGGAGCTTTATTAAACAGCTTTGCGAATCTTTTCCTTCTCAAATCTTCCTCTGTTTCCCCTGCAAGTCTTTCGACATTAACATCTCCGGCAGCAAGTTTGTTAGAGATTTGTTCAATCTCGTCTTGTTGATCATTGGGGGATAGTAGGCTGAACCAGAAACTTGAGAGCTGCGAGAGTAAATCAGCAGCACTGGCAGAATCTTGGGGCTGAAGTAGCACCCCGTGCGGAAGATATCTTCGTTTGTGCAGCAGCTTCTGTTCAGCTTTGTCAAGGAAGTGGACTTGTACACCAAAGTCAGCCACTTTCTTACATAGCTCTGTGAATCTTCTGAGGTTGAAATCTGCCTCACTTTCGTCTACGAGCTTCTCAACCATAACACCCTTAACTCCATCACAGAGTTGGTCAATCAGCTGCCATTGATCATATGAGCTTTGTCCCTTGAACCATATAATTGAGAAACCTAAGAAAAACTCAGCAAAACGGGACTGCAAATCCGGACAAACTTCATGAGTATCGGATGTCTGTTGTGTATGTTTTGGTTTCTTGACATATTCTTCCCTGCAGGCGACAACATAGTCAGTATAATCCTTACAAAGCTGTGTAAATCTTTTGAGTCTGAAATCCTCATTAGTTTCCTCATCAGGTTTAACATGAAAAATTTCTTCAATCAGTTGATTTTGATCATTGGCGTCTAGTTGAGTACTGAACCAAGAGACCAACTCGCCAATTTGCCTCTCGCGCTTGAACTTCTTTATAACAGTTGACAGGAAATGGTTCTGATCAGGTAAGGGAAGTTTCTTGAATAGCTCTGTGAATGTTCTGAGTCTAAAATCCTCTTCACTCTCCTCCGGGATTTGCTGAACTACAACATCTTCAACTACTTTATCATAGATTTTTTTCGTCTTCTCATGTTGATCAGTGGCAGAGAGTTGGCTGAACCCAAAGATTGAAAGACTTACGAGTAGTTCAGCAACATCAGCAGCATCAGTAGAACTGGTATTGGGCTCGGGGGCTGGTTTTGGGAACACGAACATTGATAGTCGATGCAGAGAAACGCTTACAAAGTTTGATTTTGTAGAACTTATGCCTAAAAGAAGTACAAAAATTAAGCAACAAAAGTGGGCAAGTCAAGCATTATTTCAAGTTCTTTTCTGGTAATCATAAAGAGTGACCTATAATTCGGAAGAGAGTTTGTTAAAAACTTGATGAATTCAGTCCAAACACGATGCTCAAAGTCTATGTTTATAGCTAGCTTATACAAGCAGTGAAGTGTTAACTTCAGTTGAAATAAAAGTACTTTCTCACCTACAATAGTTGTTGGTTAAAGAAAAAGAAAATTAACAAGTGCAAGAGGTTTATAAGACATACCCGAGTTCTGTTGATCATTCAGCCTTGAATTTGATTCTGAAGAGTGGTTCAGCCCTCAGTTGATTCTGCTTGTATTGTGTAGACTACTTGTATTTATAGAAGAACTTAAGGATTGCAGGCACAAAAAACTACTGGCACCTTACAAATAGTAAAAACAAAATTTGATGTATAATATCCATCGTAGATTATCTGCAAACTAGCTTTGTCTTTTTCTTTGTTTTTCATGGAATTCACATGAAAATTCCCTGAACTTTTTTATTCTTTCACATAGACGACGGTTTTTGAGCGTCCAAATGCTTAACAGGCGATGATTTTGGAGCACACTAGACGACGGTGATCCAATCGGCAACCATTAATTACTTAACCTTGGGGAAATCGTGACATGAATTATTCAATCGGCGACCATGAAAAATAGAAGAGGAAAAATTAAGTCCAATGAAGTCGTCTGGACTCTGGATATTGTTTGTCGCTGCTGCAATTGTAATGAGAGCATGGTCTCTTCCTCCACTTAGCTAGCTTGGTTGTGAGTTCATTGTAGCTCCAAAATAAAGAAGAGAGGATTTGCTAGTCAGTAAAGTTGCATTACACTAAAGAATTAACATTCAATAAGAAGACAAGGGTAAACCTCTATAATTAATTAGCAGCAGATTGAAATGGGTAAAGTTGAATGGAAAAAAAATTGACCCCTATGAAGGCAACCTTCCTTGAAATTTCATGGAACATCATCTTTAAAATCTACATTCAGATTTTCCCTGCTTAATATTTCATCCTATGGATGTAGATTGATCACTAGCCTTTTGTTTTTTTTTAATAAAAAATTCAATGAGATTTGGGATTGACATGGAAATCCTGGTGATTAGTTTAACTTACCTAACTAATTTCAAAATTAACTTTATATTTTACAGTTACAGTTATAGAGTGAAAAGCCTGTACATCTAAAAACTCAATAACTTACCGGTAAGTTATAGAGTTAAAACCCTAAGATTTACTTTAGTTACTAGGTTTCGTATTAATTGGGGAATAGTCACTTGCAAATAGTGAGTATATCATTTTACCCCTTAGGGGGTGTTAGTGGAAATACCTCTGTAATAAATAATAGAAGAAACAGAATATAGTATGCAGCATAACGTTTCTTTGCTTTTCCAAAAGGAAACGGGTACTGCATTACATTTCAGATCACCTAAGCATAATACAAGACTCTTGGTTTAAGATTTTAAAGATTTTGAGACTACCTTACAATCATCACTACGAGATACAAGCCTTGTGCGCTCTGTGCATGAAAAATCAAACACTCCAAGCACGTTTTTCGTGCTCTTCATATTCCATGACACTCTGTCGGAAAGTTTAAGCATGAGCAACAAAAATTGAAGGTTGAGGGAATAAGTGCACAGATTCAAATCACACAAAAAAAAAATCAGATTGTGTAAGGAACATCACATACTTTCCAAGTATTTACATCCCAAACCTGTTACTATTCCCTCATAATCAGTACTAGCTATATGGTTTTTCGTAAACTTGTTCCAGTTCAAGCAGCTAAGCTTTGAACTTGTAGGCTTTCCCGTGACGCCTGATCAAAATTCCTTTACAATTAGAAGTTGTGGTGTGCATATATGTTATTTTTATTGTTTTGTTGTTAAAATAGCAGGAAATGTTTCATTGATAGAGATGGAAATCCTTCTGAGATGTCCGGTTGATACTCTTAGTTCAATGCTAATGAGTGCGAAAGAATGGCTGGAGCTGTTCCGTTGATAAACATGGGAATGGTACGTATGTGCTTTCCTTGCGATCGACAACAGCAAATTTATCTTTACCAAGAGAATCAATTTTCTGTCATTGATTTTATTTATTATGTGGTGGATACTTTGCTTGTCTAGCTAACAGGTTACTATTTGATTGACACTTTACTTGACTAGCTACCAGGGAACTGTTAGATTGGATTGGAGTTGAGTCTAAATCAGTATGTGGCTCACCAAACAACGGCTAGGACTCTTGTCCATTTTAATTTAAGTCCAATCCAGTCCAGTGAGACTAATAGAAGATACACCTTAGAGAAGACAAGAATTCAATATTTTTATGACCAAGAGCAAAGAATCTGAAAAGACTTTCTCGCACTGGAATAATCTTTTTATATATGCTTTGTGCAGTTCATCACAAGTCATCTTGATCCTTCTATTCTCACACATATAGCGGCCACTAAAATATCAACAAACATTACTTGATAGACATGGATCCTTCCTTGTATGAGGCAGCAAGATCAGGTGACGTTGGTTTCTTGAGAAAAATTAAAGATGCTGACGTACCAGATGATCTTCTCCATCAGAAAACGCCTATGGACAATAATATACTTCACATTGCGGCTGAGTTCAAGCACATAGACTTCTTTATCTCCACCATGATTCCTGTTTGAAGGTAATACATAGATATTTGAAGGTCAGTAACATTCTCTTGGATGAGAACATGAACCCAGAAATTTCAGATTTTGGATTGGCATGTATCGTTCAAGGCACGCAGAGTCTCACAAGGTTGTGGGAACAACGTAAGCATCATCTCTTTCTTTTCCAGTTCTCAGAAATCTTCTTTAAAAGTTAAATCCTTGGACACACCGTCACTCATATTGTTAATATTACTGAATAAATGGCCTAGGCGGGCGCTAGGCGGGGGGACTAGGTGGGGGCTAGGCTGTCTAGGCATTCTAGGCGGGGGCTAGGCGGTCTAGGCGGGGGCTAGGCGGTCACTAGGCGGGCTAGGCTGGCTAGGTGGGAGCTACGCAGTCTAGGTGGGTGCTAGGCGGTCTAGGCGGTCTAGGCGGACGCTAGGCGGTCTAGGCGGCGCTGCGCCTAGAAAAAAAGAATTCGCCATTTTGGAATCTCTAAGGTCAGGGACGAGATCACGATGGTGCTATGAGCGAGAGACAGAGAGATGAGGATTGAAGAAGAAGTTTGAGCGAGACAGAGGGGGCTGGAAGACGGCTCTTGTTAGAGTTAGGGTTTGAGAAGGAAAATTGCATTTATACGTTGATGAAAAAAAACAAAAGAAGAGATGGGCCCCCGATTACTCCTCTAGGCGTTAGACCCTTGTGTGCAGCCCGCCTACTGCCTAGTTTCGAACATTGGGATTGATATGTTGGTAAATCAAGTTGTACCAGCACTTCAATATACAACCCTGCAATTTTAACCGACTCCTCTTCCCTTCTGTTTTTGTTTATATTTAACTGAAAATTAGTTTCGAACATTGGGGTATGTTTGCCGTTACAGACCCCTTTTTGAGTCTAAGAACAGGCATTGATGGAAAGGGTCGTATGTTTGTTCCTCTCTTGTGTTGAAAACGGTAATGCCTGTGATCCTCTGAACTCCAAGTTGAGTAGCAATGAGGTTCTGCACTAGCAAGGGGCCAAGCAATTACTCGCACAGATGAAAATACCAGAGGCAAATTCTTTTAAACTAATAATCTCAATGCTGCAATTGGAGATGACCAGTTTTGGAGATGATCACTTCAACAAAAATGTTTAAACCGAGTCTATATATGCTGTTGTAATTATATTCTCCTCAACCCTCAACAAAACCTGTGCATGGATTTTAAATTCGTAAATCAATTAGATAAGCAATTGAGATGTTAACATTATGAATTTAATTAGAAATGAGTTCAAATGTGTAATTCGTGGTTTCTAACTTTTTCTGTCATCAACTAAACTTATATAATCCATCTGAGCTGATCTCAAAGTTCACTGAGCTTACGAGGTCTGTTAGAAGAAGAAGAAGAACATTGAGGCCAATTAAAGCAATAGAGAAATGAAACAAAACCAGCAGATCCCATCCAATCTGTCAGTCCCATGAGGATCTGCTAAATGCCGGTGTTCTTGGTTTGAAGGTAAACTATTCAAGAAGTGAAAGTGGCACGCGTTTTAATAGAATAGTACAAATGACATGAAGATGAATTTCTGTTTAGAGATTTTGCAGGATGAATAGTAAAGAGAATACTACACCAGCAGATCCCATCCAATCTGTCAGTCCCATGAAATCAGCTGATCCCATTACATCAGCCTTAGAAGCCTCCTAACCACAAGCACGGCATTCATCAGCCAGAATTATTAATTGTCAATTCCTCTGTAATATATGTAATTGATTGGACTTACCTTATATCACTAAGTTTCTGTAAATAGACTTGAGAAAGTCTAACCCATGTACCAATATTATTACTGCAGATAATACAGAGAACGAATCATCTTGATTCTGGCAATTGTTCTTAATCTCTCTGTTCTCATCCCTCTCTCTTCCTCTTGAGTTCATTCTCTTATAAAAAGGACATTATATAATCCTCATCTGACAAATTTTTCCTTGTCTGCTTTTGTGGTCTTTAATGTGTCCATCTGGGATCAGTGACTTTCTTATGACAAATGCCAGTCATATTAAGGTTTGTTTCATGAGATTTGGTCTTCCCACTGTCATAGAAATATCTGATTTAGCTTGCAAAATAAATTAAGAATGGAATCAATGACTTCATTGAATTGCTGCTTATCCAACTCCATCTGTACTAATTTAATCAGCATAATCAATTATTCATTCGTGATGGCTGAAGACTTGCATGATCATTTGGCTTCCTGATATGCAATGTTGTTTGCACAACTCTAATGTCTTTTCAAACATCTGTATATTGTTTTCAATTATCTCTTCCTTACGAGGGACTGTCTGTACTGGCAAAATACAGAAGGCCTTCACTTGTACATGCAGAAAAATAACTAGATCTTGAAAGCGACTTGGGAGTTGAAGGTGGTACGTTCTTATTCGACGTATCTCAAGACCTGGCCACCTTCACGGTAAGATATTATTGACTTTTGAATGCATGTCACTTGCTGAATGCTGAATCCATATTGCAAAATTTTCCCCTAGAATTGCTATAAGGAAACATCCCTGAATGTATTTTTACATGAAAACTGTTTTCCCTCTTCTTCCAAACCAGGGAAGTGGCTGGCAGCTATTAGGGATCTCTTGACCTTGACAAAGGACACAACGATTGGTGCCCCAGCAGAAGGAGCTCATCTTCACAGTGTTCACTTGTCTGACTCAAGCTCTTCATTAGATCTTATTAACGAAGTCTTTTATACCTACGTGGTTTTTGTGGGGTCTTATGACTCTAACAGATACAAATGGCCATTCACTTTTAACTTTCCACCTATTCAGCTCTATCTGCAAACTGCAACTTTCGAGTGAAAGCAAGTTTTGTACATAATTGCAGGATGCAAAAGGTGGTGGTGACAGTGTAACTTTGGAGACAGGCCCCCACTACTTAGCATTCACAGCAGAAGAGATTCGGGATGGAGATACGTGTTCTCCACCCATCCATGACGCTCCCAACAAGGAAAAATTGTGAGAGGCTTTGTTGGTATGCAATCATTCTATGTTTGCCTGTATATATGATGGGATAGCTATCCACCATCAAATTGGTTCTATTTTGGTTTCAATGTTTTGTTCAGGGCGGACATGTAGACATGCTAAGCTCTGATTATTTACCAACTATGCCGGAACTCAAGCTTCTTGATGATGGGGACTTTTTGAGGGCTTGGGGTGGCATATCATCTTTGCAGGTTGGCATATTTTTCCTTGCAAATGTTATGGTCTGTATGGCATGGTCATATGGCCAGAAATATGGAGTGACTTTAAAACAGCTAGATTTATGGTGGAGCGAAAGGTCCGCCAGGCTTGCCAGACAAGAATTGAAGATGATGTCATCATCAGTTTTTCCTCTGTTTTATATATTTTCATGCAGACATGAATCTCATTGTGCTGATGAATTGAATTCTAAATTGGCAGAGGGCAATTGCAATTGGGAACCATGCAGATATGGTAGTGTGGGATCCATATGTGGAGTTTGACCTTGATGATGGACACCCTGTCTACCTCAAGCATTCTGTATGTCTTCCTTTGTATCCTCTGTTCACATGTTTTGAGTGTAACTTTGCTTGTTTCTTGATAGCATTCTTAAGACCCTGCATGTCATTCAATTCTATATTAAACCTTTTTTTTGAATTCTCTGTTATGACCGACAAGTTTTTGACTGTGTTACCTTTCTGTGTACAGGGGATTTCAGCCTCACTGGGAACAAAGCTATCTGGAAGAGTTTCAGCTACTTTTGTAAGAGGAAACCTTGTTTCAAAGAGGGGCAGCATGCGGCGTTCTGATTCTGGCAAAATAATTAAGAACTTGGATTGACAAGGGAAATCCCACAAACAGTCTCCCTCTATATACACTTTGTGATCTCATCCATGGGCAGTGGCGGAGCCACTCCTAGACCTGAAGTGGCCCTGCCCCCCCATATTTTTATCACTCCTCCATTATATTATATATAATATATAATTCGTAATAAACAACTTAAAATTTAAGTTAAAATTTCCTCTAAAATAAATTAGACATGACTCCATAAAAAATATTTAGCTCTAAACATGTAAGTATTGAATACTTAGGTGTTTTATATACTTGTATTTTCTACTTTGGCCCCTTCAATTTTACAATTCTAGCTCCGCCTTGGTCCATGTGTGGCTGTGTCATCTCTAGGCTTTTGATGTCCATGGTTTGATGGAGTAGGAGGGGTGGTGGAGGAGGAACCTGGAGCGGTAGCTGAGATTGGAGGAGTAGGAGACGGAGGAGGACACGTGGGAGTGGTAAAGGAGGCGAGGGACTTGGTTGGCTCGATTGGGTCGTCAAAGATGTCCTCGCCAACGATGAGATCAGACGGGTCGAGGAGGAGGGGAATGAGATCCCACGGCTATACTATTTCTTTTATATATATAAAAAATTTAGAAAAACCCGAGTATAGCTGCCCGGCTATACTGTTTCTTTAAAAATTGTGAAAAACCGAGTATAGCCGTGGCTATACTATTTCTTTAAAAAAATTAGAAAAACCAAGTATCGCCCATCGGCTATACTATTTCTTTAAACCACATATAGCCGGGCGGCTATAATATTTCTTTAAAAAAAAGGGGAAAACCGAGAATAGCTTTTTCTAAGAAATTAAAATAGGAGTATAGCCGGGCTATTAAAATAAAAAAATAAAAAGAGGGGGGGGGGGGGGGGTTTTTTTATTTGAATTTATTTATTGAAAAGGCTCTACTATTTCTTTTTAATAAAAAATTGGAACAAACCGAGTATAGCCACCTACCTATACCAAATTAATATAGAAATTCTACCCCTCGTACTAGAAATTATACAGTAGTGCCTACATCTGGCCAATAGCTGTACTGATTTTTGGGACCACTGAATTACTCAATGTATTATGTTGATCTTTAGATTCCTCAGAAGTATGTTCCATAGAGCCTTTCATCTCAGGTTTTATACGTAGTGAAAGGTTTTCTCGCCTGATGAGCTATCTAATTGTGATGCAGAATTAGCTCAAATGGTTTGCTTGCCGCCGCCTGGTTTGTGGTTTGTGCTACAAGGTTCTTCTCTCTTCCTCTTTCACTTAGATACTTTGTGTACCTAGTAAGCAACGTTCTCAGTCTCATTCTCTCCTCTTTTTGCCTTTTTCCAAAATTGTTGTAGGTTTCCTTACTTCATGTAATCTTGTGATGATATATCGACCTAGCGCAAGTTTGCCAAAATTTGATAACAATGTAAAAGGAGAGAGAGGCTGTAGTTGCATCGAACTTCATTCAAAGAAGCAATGCATGACCCCAAAATAATGTGTCATCTAAACTAACATGAAATATAGAATATGTACACCTGATCTTTTGAGTTGATGGTCATGCATCAATTCATTTTTTTTTTGAAAAAATGTGTTTATGCGATTTCGAAGGTCCAAAGATGCAGGGTGATCAAAACCAAAAGCAAAAACTGAAAATACTCACTCACAAAGTGCCACCTTTCAAGGAAAATGGTTGCATCTCCAATTTTCAGCATGCTGTTCTTGTCCATATTTCTCTTGCACAAGTTGATTTCATTTCATTCTACTGCTGCAACTCACATTTTAACTCCATCCAAACATATCTTGCAAAATGAAACTTTAACCTCTCTACCAACCAAAATTTTGAATTCAGGCAAACAATACATTGGAATATGGTATAAGAATAACTACATACATAGAACAATCGAATTGTATAGGTGGCCAACAGAGAGAGGCCACTTGCCAATACAAACCCCTTTTTTAGTCTAAGAAGGGCATTGATGGAAATTTGAGGCTTGTGGATGGAAAACAGAACACTGTCTGGTCAACCAGTGTCACCACCTCATTGAATAATTTGGAAGCAGTGCTTTTAGACACCGGAAACTTCATTTTGAGAGATCATATATCTGGAGGAATCTTTTGGGAAAGCTTTGATTATCCTTGTGATACTTTCTTACCTGAAATGATGATAGGATTGAACACCAAAACTGGAGAGAGACGCTTCTTGGATTCGTGGAAATCTGCAAATGATCCATCATCCGGAACATTTGTAATTGGAGTTACTGCTGAGTTGCCACCACAAGTTTTTCTTTGGAATGGGTCAAATCCATACTGGAGAAGTGGCCAATGAAATGGATTGAAGTTCATAGGGGTACCAGAAATAGGTGCATTGTACTCTAAATGGATTTAATCCTCATGCAAGATAATCAACAGGGGACGAATATCTTACTTTCAAAGTGTACGTACAGCTACGATTCTAATATATACCGCAATGCAGTTGCTATAGATAAAGGATTATACTTAAAAGCAACAAATGTTCGCTTTCATGTCAATGTCAAGAACACTAGCTAGTTTCCTTTCCTGCCTTGTGCACCAAACTTTTACTTGCTTGTTATACAGAGATATAGAGGACAGCATAGTTATTCTTCAATGAACCTTCCTTGAGCACCAAAAAAGCTGAAAGGACACGCATCATTTTAAATAGTCCGCTTAAATTACAGATGAGGTAGGTGGTAATTACTGTGAGCGCAGCCAAAATATGGGGCATCTAATATTTAAGTATTGTTAGCCAAACCTTAACTCAAGCGTACACCACAATTATTGGCATTGCTAAAACATACTAAACAATTCGACAACCAATATGTAACGTCAAAAGTACACAAGGAAGGACATATCAATATTTCTCTGAATCCATTAATTTTTTCTTGCAAAATTAACATATTTATTTTCTCCCAGCTGAAATACGATAACTGAGTTATTGATACTGCACCCATAACGCATCAATTTAGCATCCTGTATATGCAAACTTGCATATAACTGCATAACATACAAGAGTATATCACGTATTCTGGTAGCCTAAACCAACCAGCCTTAAGTCAAGCATACAAAAAACTTAGTAGCATAGTTAACAACATCTCGACTATACCCACTAGGAATAGTCACTTGCAAATAGTGAGTATATCATTTTACCCCTTAGGGGGTGTTAGTGGAAATAACTCTTTAATAAATAATAGAAGAAACAGAATATAGTGTGCAGCATAACACTTCTTTGCTTTTCCAAAAGGAAACGGGTACTGCATTACATTTCAGATCACCTAAGCATAATACAAGACTCTTGGTTTAAGATTTTAAAGATTTTGAGACTACCTTACAATCATCACTACGAGATACAAGCCTTGTGCTCTCTGTGCATGAAAAATCAAACACTCCAAGCACGTTTTTCATGTTCTTCATATTCCATGACACTCTGTCGGAAAGTTTAAGCATGAGCAACAAAAATTGAAGGTTGAGGGAATAAGTGCACAGATTCAAATCACACACAAAAAATCAGAATGTGTAAGGAACATCACATACTTTCCGAGTATTTACATCCCAAACCTGTTACTATTCCCTCATAATCAGTACTACCTATATGGTTTTTCGTAAACTTGTTCCAGTTCAAGCAGCTAAGCTTTGAACTTGTAGGCTTTCCCGTGATGCCTGATCAAAATTCCTTTACAATTAGAAGTTGTGGTGCATATATGTTATTTTTATTGTTTTGTTGTTAAAATAGCAGGAACTGTTTCATTGATAGAGATGGAAATCCTTCTGAGATGTCCGGTTGATACTCTTAGTTCAATGCTAATGAGTGCGAAAGAATGGCTGGAGCTGTTCCGTTGATAAACATGGGAATGTTACGTATGTGCTTTCCTTGCGATCGACAACAGCAAATTTATCTTTACCAAGAGAATCAATTTTCTGTCATTGATTTTATTTATTATGTGGTGGATACTTTGCTTGTCTAGCTAACAGGTTACTATTTGATTGATACTTTACTTGACTAGCTACCAGGGAACTGTTAGATTGGATTGGAGTTGAGTCTAAATCAGTATGTGGCTCACCAAACAACGGCTAGGACTCTTGTCCATTTTAATTGAAGTCCAATCCAGTCCAGTGAGACTAATAGAAGATACACCCTAGAGAAGACAAGAATTCAATATTTTTATGACCAAGAGCAAAGAATCTGAAAAGACTTTCTCGCACTGGAATAATCTTTTTATATATGCTTTGTGCAGTTCATCACAAGTCATCTTGATCCTTCTATTCTCACACTTAGAGATGCTTACATATAGCGGCCACTAAAATATCAACAAACATTACTTGATAGACATGGATCCTTCCTTGTATGAGGCAGCAAGATCAGGTGACGTTGGTTTCTTGAGAAAAATTAAAGATGCTGACGTACCAGATGATCTTCTCCATCAGAAAACGCCTATGGACAATAATATACTTCACATTGCGGCTGAGTTCAAGCACATAGACTTCTTTATCTCCACCATGATTCCTGTTTGAAGGTAATACATAGATATTTGAAGGTCAGTAACATTCTCTTGGATGAGAACATGAACCCAGAAATTTCAGATTTTGGATTGGCATGTATCGTTCAAGGCACGCAGAGTCTCACAAGGTTGTGGGAACAATGTAAGCATCATCTCTTTCTTTTCCAGTTCTCAGAAATCTTCTTTAAAAGTTAAATCCTTGGACACACTGTCACTCATATTGTTAATATTACTGAATAAATGTCCTAGGCGGGCGCTAGGCGGGGGGGCTAGGCTGTCTAGGCAGTCTAGGCGGTCTAGGCGGGGGCTAGGCGGTCACTAGGCGGGCTAGGCTGGCTAGGTGGGAGCTACGCAGTCTAGGTGGGGGCTAGGCGGTCTAGGTGGAAGCTATGCAGTCTAGGCGGGTGCTAGGCGCTCTAGGCGGACGCTAGGCGGTCTAGGCGGCGCTGCGCCTAGAAAAAAAAATTCGCCATTTTGGAATCTCTAAGGTCAGGGACGAGATCACGATGGTGCTATGAGCGAGAGACAGAGAGATGAGGATTGAAGAAGAAGTTTGAGCGAGAGAGAGGGGGCTGGAAGACGGCTCTTGTTAGAGTTAGGGTTTGAGAAGGAAAATTGCATTTATACGTTGATGAAAAAAAACAAAAGAAGAGATGGGCCCCCGATTACTCCTCTAGGCGTTAGACCCTTGTGTGCAGCCCGCCTACTGCCTAGTTTCGAACATTGGGATTGATATGTTGGTAAATCAAGTTGTACCAGCACTTCAATATACAACCCTGCAATTTTAACCGACTCCTCTTCCCTTCTGTTTTTGTTTATATTTAACTGAAAATTAGTTTCGAACATTGGGGTATGTTTGCCGTTACAGACCCCTTTTTGAGTCTAAGAACGGGCATTGATGGAAAGGGTCGTATGTTTGATCCTCTGAACTCCAAGTTGAGTAGCAATGAGGTTCTGCATTAGCAAGGGGCCAAGCAATTACTCGCACAGATGAAAATACCAGAGGCAAATTCTTTTAAACTAATAATCTCAATGCTGCAATTGGAGATGACCAGTTTTGGAGATGATCACTTCAACAAAAATGTTTAAACCGATTCTATATATGCTGTTGTAATTATATTCTCCTCAACCCTCGACAAAACCTGTGCATGGATTTTAAATTCATAAATCAATTAGATAAGCAATTGAGATGTTAACATTATGAATTTAATTAGAAATGAGTTCAAATGTGTAATTCGTGGTTTCTAAATTTTTCTGTCATCAACTAAACTTATATAATCCATCTGAGCTGATCTCAAAGTTCACTGAGCTTACGAGGTCTGTTAGAAGAAGAAGAAGAACATTGAGGCCAATTAAAGCAATAGAGAAATGAAACAAAACCGCCCAAATAAATTAGCCCAATAAGAAATGCTTACTTGAGATTAGATTTTTTCATTACATTTATTCTGTGACTAGTTCTATGAACTAAAGACTGACAGGGTCATTTATGGAGCAGGCATGTGCAAACAATAGTTTCGAATTGGACAATTGTCCGTTGTACATTTTAGAAACCACATTACAGCTCTACATTATTGTTTTGGCACCAATTGGTTGATTTTGTTTCATTTATGAAATGTGTAAATGAGCAGTTGAGGTAAAGGAGGGGAAGATTGCCTCCATTGTGAAAGAAGAAGAAAAGAATGGAAAAGCCAAGTTGGAGAAGCTGTTGTCATGCCTGGCTTGATTGATGTGTAAGATACCACAATAAATTTTCTCACTCTGTCTTTTTCTATATAGTCACAAAGGTTTCCATTGGAATTTAAATGCCTTGGTTTTTATTTTGCAGGCATGCACATCTTGATGATCCTGGAAGAGCTGAATGGAAAGGATTTCCATCAGGGTGGGATCATCACATTGGTTGACATGCCTCAAAATAGTGATCCATTAAGGCCGCATTGAGCAGAATTTAGATCGATGTTGGTATCCTCTTAAAAACTATATATATATATATATGTGTGTGTGTGTTTGGGGATGCCACTATACTAGAAATTTTGAGAACTACTGGTTTTTACATACAAACTGTTGGCAGGTTTCTGGGGAGGTCTTGTTCCTGAAAACCGCATTCAATGGGTCTGCTCTTGAGGATCTGTTAAATGCCGGTGTTCTTGGTTTGAAGGTAAACTATTCAAGAAGTGAAAGTGGCACACGTTTTAATAGAATAGTACAAATGCCATGAAGATGAATTTCTGTTTAGAGATTTTGCAGGATGAATAGGACATTATATAATCCTCATCTGACAAATTTTTCCTTGTCTGTTTTTGTAGTCTTTAATGTGTCCATCTGGGATCAATGGCTTTCTTATGACAAATGCCAGTCATATTAAGGTTTGTTTCATGAGATTCAGTCTTCCCACTGTCATAGAAATATCTGATTTAGCTTGCAAAATAAATTAAGAATGGAATCAATGACTTCATTGAATTGCTGCTTATCCAACTCTATCTGTACTAATTTAATCAGCATAATCAATTATTCATTCGTGATGGCTGAAGACTTGCATGATCATTTGGCTTCCTGAGATGCAATGTTGTTTGCATAACTCTAATGTCTTTTCAAACATCTGTATATTGTTTTCAATTATCTCTTCCTTACGAGGGACTGTCTGTACTGGCAAAATACAGAAGGCCTTTACTTGTACATGCAGAGAAACAACTAGATCTCGAAAGCGACTTGGGAGTTGAAGGTGGTACGTTCTTATTCGACGTATCTCAAGACCTGGCCACCTTCATGGTAAGATATTATTGACTTTTGAATGCATGTGACTTGCTGAATGCTGAATCCATATTGCAAAATTTTCCCCTAGAATTGCTATGAGGAAACATCCCTGAATGTATTTTTACATTAAACCTGTTTTTCCTCTGCTTCCAAACCAGGGAAGTAGCTGGCAGCTATTAGGGATCTGTTGACCTTGACAAAGGACACAAGGATATTGGTGCCCCAGCAGAAGGAGCTCATCTTCACAGTGTTCACTTGTCTGACTCAAGCTCTTCATTGGAACTCGGGCATCCTTGACAGGGTGTTACCATAGACCCTTAGCTGGGTAGTCTGCTCGCGTAGAACTTGTCACAGGCATACGTGTCTTGATGATTTGGTTGTATGTGTTGGTAGAGTTAGTCCCCCGGTTGGACGGCTCGTTCCCTAGCCACATGGTCAATTGAGGATTCTTCCATGTGGATCAGTCAAACAATCCCCGGTTGTATTGTTTTCCCCGGTACATGATGTACACTATCATATGTACCTCCCCTTGAATACTAATACTTGGAAACAGTGAACATAGATACTTGGATACATGGAAATGGATAACTAGTAGTCTACGCGCGTAGGACTTGTCACAGGTGCATGAGTATTGAGGATTCTGTTGTGCGTGCTCATTAGCCTAGTCCCTAGGTTGGACGGCTCATCCCTGGCCATATGGTTGTTGAGGATTCCTCCATGTGGTCTAGTCAAACGATTCTCGAATTGGATTGTTTTTCCTGATACATGATGATGGTGAGAGGAGAGTGTATTTATACATATATATATGTGTGTGTGTGTGTGTGTGTGTGTGTGTGTGTGTGTATGTATATGTATATGTATATGTGGACTCGTTTATGAGTTGAGACTCGTGAGATTGTGCTTCGTGAGTACTCTGCACAGATATGAATGTTTAAGTCATGATTTGGAAAGTGTAATGCGGCAACATACGCCTTGGATAGGGTATGGTTGCGAGGATGAACTGACATAAGGGAAGGAATTTTTAATGTATTCAGTATGTGTTTTGTCATATTTTAAGTTGTAGATGAATCTGAAATTTATCGTTGGTTTTGCTTTAAATGATCGTATATCACCTAAAATCGTGATTTGTCAATATAAGAACTACGTGTGGCTTGATCCCTCATCCAAGGATACGTAGGTCTCACCTAGGTGCAACCGCGAAATAAACTTTATTTAAAAGGATTGATCAATTTGGAGTATGTGAATGGATTTTGTTGTGGTTATTGGATTTGAATCCTATTGTTTATTATTGTTTGGTTCAATTTTGAGTATGTTGGTACGCCTGAAGCTCGATTTAAACTTGAGCGAGATTAAACACTTGTTTATTTCTCAGTTATCACTTGAATGGATTTTAATAAATAGTGTATGTGGTTCAGACATGTCTGAGATCCATTTCGAATTAAATGATTGATTTTAGGTAACGGGCCCGAGGCCCTTAGAATTGCTGGTGTTAGTTCATAGTTGGTAGTTGTTGCATGCTGAAAATTGGTGGATAGTATATTATTGCCTTTCTATAGGTTGAAAATTTGAGAAGTTATTTTATATTGATTACAGTGGTATTCATAAAATTATTTGAATTCATTAAGAGCATTGCTAGTTGTTCAGTCTTGAATTATTCGAAGGATAGAAGCCTACTCCGTAAACTGTGTGTTTTGCATTGTGTGTGCTGGCAGTTGGTTTCTTAAACTATGGTTTTACAAGTGAAAGAATTTGGTAAATGGCCATTTTCAAGGGTAACTCTGCTGAAAGTCTCGTGCCCGTTTTCCTTTTTTTCTTTTTTTTGGAAAATAGGATAAAGTTTTAGTAAGTGGGCCTAGCATCGGTGTGATGTCAGAATTTCAACATGATTCATCTTAGATTCCGAGGAATTTGGGGCGAGTCCTGTCATGTGAGGTGTGACCGTAACACCAAGTACTTCAAATTTCTGCTAAGTAACTATGGGAGATATGTGACGATTCAATCTTGTGACATGATTCAAGATAGATTAAATTTATAAATTTAAATAAATAAATAAAAGAAGATAATATTCAACATACATGGTGAACTTTCTTACAAAGCTCTGGCTGAGGGAAAAAAAAACCAACAACTATAACCACCACTTTCTCCGCTATTCCTAATGCCTCCCCCCTCATCGGTTCCAAGATAATTCTCAATAATATTTTTGTCACTGAGAAATGCTGCCTCCGCAGGCGTGCTGATGAGACAACTCATCAATGCAGCATAAGTGGTTATGTGCTTTAAGCAATGGGAGTAGCATTGTTCAAATGCAACAAAGTTGAGGAAAATATCTGTGCGTAGATCATCTAGAGTTATGTTCGGGATTTCAAGCACCCCGTTGCAGAATCTGATATCCAAAGAAGCTGTTTGCCTCCCTTACCTTGAACTTAATTCCAGCCAAATGAAGCTTTTTGGCGGATGGGATAAATTGAACCAGCGGAGAGGTGTTTCCCTTCCTCATGATCTTCAACTTAATTCACCCAACGAACTTTTTTAGCTAACCGAGGCCTTCCACAGAACCGGATGCCGTCCTTTTTCTTCTCCTTTTTTTAGCTCTCCATGGCAACCTAGATCATGAAATATTGGTTCTAAAATATATTTCACGATATCCTCCTGGGAACTGAATTGAAGTTGTTGAAACGACTCTGTAAATCTTCTGAGCCGGAAATCCTCCTCTGTCTCATTGACGAGTTTCTCAATTATATGATCACCTTCTCCAACTTTACCAAGAAGTACTTGAATGGGGTTTCTTGGATCACTGGCACATCGTGCTTTGAACCAAATAATTGACAACCCCAAGTAAAATTCAGCATACCGGGACCTCTTGATTTCTTCTATCTCTTCTTTACCTGACGTCTTCTGCATATGTAGACTTTTTAGATCCCACTTCTTAGCTTCGCTGTGAAAGAAGCGATCCAAAAGGAATGGATGCGTACTACACAGCTTTATAAATCTTCTGAGCCTAAAATTTTCCTCGCACTCCTCGGAGAGTCTCTCAAGTATGACATCTTTGACATCTTTGCTTGTCACCTTCCCTGAGCGATCAAACATTTCTTCAATCGTTTCTTGTTGCTCATTGGAATCCAGTTGCCTGAACAAAAGAATGGACTCACAGAAGCGTCTCTCACTGACGAATTTGCTTTTAAACTCCGTGAATAAATTAATTCGTGTACCGACCAGAGCTTTATTAAACAGCTTTGTGAATGTTTTCCTTCTCAAATCTTCCTCTGTTTCCCCTGCGAGTCTTTCGACATTAACATCTCTGGCAGCAAGTTTGTTAGAGATTTGTTCAATCTCGTCTTGTTGATCATTGGGGGATAGTAGGCTGAACCAGAAACTTGAGAGCTGCGAGAGTAATTCAGCAGCACTGGCAGAATCTTGGGGCTGAAGTAGCACCCCGTGCGGAAGATATCTTCGTTTGTGTAGCAGCTTCTGTTCAGCTTTGTCAAGGAAGTGGACTTGTACACCAAAGTCAGCCACTTTCTTACATAGCTCTGTGAATCTTCTGAGTTTGAAATCTGCCTCACTTTCGTCCGCGAGCTTCTCAACCATAACCCCACTAACTCCATCACAGAGTTGGTCAATCAGCTGCCATTGATCATAGAAGCTTTGTCCCTTGAACCATATAATTGAGAAACCTAAGAAAAAGTTAGCAAAACGGGACTGCGAATCCGAACAAACTTCAGGAGTATCGGATGTCTGTTGTGTATGTTTTGGTTTCTTGACATATTCTTCCCTGCAGGTGACAACATAGTCAGTATAATCCTTACAAAGCTGTGTAAATCTTTTGAGTCTGAAATCCTCGTTGGTTTCCTCGTCAGGTTTAACATGAACAATTTCTTCAATCAGTTGATTTTGATCATTGGCGTCTAGTTGAGTACTGAACCAAGAGATCAACTCGCCAATTTGCCTCTCGCGCTTGAACTTCTTTATAATAGTTGACAGGAAATGGTTCTGGTGAGGGAAGGGAAGTTTCTTGAATAGCTCTGTGAATGTTCTGAGTCTGAAATCCTCTTCACTTTCCTCGGGGATTCGCTGAACTACAACTTCTTCAACTACTTTATCATAGATTTTTTTCGTCTTCTCATGTTGATCAGTGGCAGAGAGTTGGCTGAACCCAAAGATTGAAAGACTTACGAGTAGTTCAGCAACATCAGCAGCATCAGTAGTACTGGTATTGGGCTCGGGGGCTGGTTTTGGGAACACGAACATTGATAGTCGATGCAGAGAAACGCTTGCGAATTTTGATTTCGTAGAACTTAAGCCTAAAAGAAATACAAAAATTAAGCAACAAAAGTGGCAAGTCAAGCATAATTTGAAGTTCTTTTCAGGTATAATCATAAAGAGTGACCTATAATTCGGATGAGAGATTGTTAAATCTTTTACGTTTTGTTAAAAACTTGATGAATTCAGTCCAAACGGTGCTCAAAGTCCATGTTTATAGCTAGCTTATACAAGCAGTGAAGTGTTAACTTCCAGTTGAAATAAAAGTACTTTCTCACCTACAATAGTTGTTGGTTAAAGAAAAAGAAAATTAACAAGTGCAAGAGGTTTATAAGACGTACCCGAGTTCTGTTGATCATTCAGCCTTGAATTTGATTCTGAAGAGTGGTTCAGCCCTCAGTTGATTCTGCTTGTATTGTGTAGACTACTTGTATTTATAGAAGAACTTGAGGATTGCAGGCACAAAAAACTACAGGCACCTTACAAATAGTAAAAACAAAATTTGATGTATAATATCCATCGTAGATTATCTGCAAACTAGCTTTGTCTTTTTCTTTGTTTTTCATGGAATTGACATGAAAATTCCCTGAACTTTTTTATTCTTTCACATAGACGACGGTTTTTGAGCGTCCAAATGCTTAACGGGCGATGATTTTGGAGCACACTAGACGACGGTGATCCAATCGGCAACCATTAATTACTTAACCTTGGGGAAATCGTGACATGAATTATTCAATCGGCGACCATGACAAATAGAAGAGGAAAAATTAAGTCCAATGAAGTCGTCTGGACTCTGGATATTGTTTGTCGCTGCTGCAATTGTAATGAGAGCATGGTCTCTTCCTCCACTTAGCTAGCTTGGTTGTGAGTTCATTGTAGCTCCAAAATAAAGAAGAGAGGATTTGCTAGTCAGTAAAGTTGCATTACACTAAAGAATTAACATTCAATAAGAAGACAAGGGTAAACCTCTATAATTAATTAGCAGCAGATTGAAATGGGTAAAGTTGAACGGAAAAAAAATTGACCCCTATGAAGGCAACCTTCCTTGAAATTTCATGGAACATCATCTTTAAAATCTACACTCAGATTTTCCCTGCTTAATATTTCATCCTACGGATTTAGATTGATCACTAGCCTTTTGTTTTGTTTTTTTTTATAAAAAATTCAATGAGATTTGAGATTGACATGGAAATCCTGGTGATTAGTTTAACTTACCTAACTAATTTCAAAATTAACTTTATATTTTACGGTTAGAGTTATAGAGTGAAAAGCTTATACATCTAAAAACTCAATAACTTACCGGTAAATTATAGAGTAAAAAGCTTAAAATTTACTTTAATTACTAGGTTTCGTATTAATTGGGGAACGCTTTTGGGCCTAAAAGTAAGTAGCTCATATATATCTTCAGACCAAAATGAAATACCACCTCTTATCCCTTTTGGGCCCAATGGTGAGCTGAAGTATATTCCTCCAGCTCAGTCCTCAAACTAAATTAACTACGATGTAATTTGGGGTTTTAGTTAATTTTAGCTTAATTAAAGTAATCCATTATGTTTATAATGCACTCTCTGTTAATGATCTATATGAGGAGGGAAAATATGCTCATTTAAATTAATTTAAAACGATGCATGGAGTAATGGACAAAATATTCAACAAAGTTCTGGTACTTATAGAAGACGTTTTAAATTTAAAACTATTAATTTGGGTGATTAAGGCATGGACAAGTCTATAAAACACGCAATTATATTATATGTTAAAAGTTAATGAAGTGACAAAAACAACTAGAGTTTTCAGTCAATAGGGAAGTTATTATAATAATAATAAGTACATTAATTTCCAAATTCCTAGTCAAGCACACTAAGCCACTACATAGAGGGAAAGACAACGATTTACATTAGCTTGTCACTATCTACAAAATTCTAATTAAGTTGATAATTAAATTCACATGTACAGGTTCATCCATTCCATGCCATGAATGTAATTGTTCTGGGGCATGTAAAAAACATCATCGTATTCCTCCACCCCAAACTCCCCTAAAAATGGAGGATCAATGGCGTCCATAGAGAGTGAGGAGCTCGGACTGTTGCTCGAGCCGCCATGGTCTACGCGCTCTGAGAGCCGTTGAATCTCCTTCTCAGCCTCCGAGAGTTGCTCCTTGAGCTTCGACATCTGCAACAATGGTACCAAATGTTATATTATGGGACTATACATATATATACATATATATATACATATCAAGGTGTGTGTTAAGGGCTACATGATATCTCACGTGAGTGATCACGTGATGTTCCTTCCCCGAGCGAGTCTTGGCAAGGCCCCCCAACGGGGCCATCACCACCAACCACCTTAAAACACATTGTACGGACATCCCTTGAGGACTGGAACACAAGTACCTTTTGTTGTCTGATTCGGTGGCAGCAAGCTACTGTTTGTCATTTTTTTCCTCACCCCTTATGTGTGTTTCTGTGGCCAAACCCAACAAGGTGGCATGGCTTTCTTCGAGCCAAGAGCTCATGCACGTTCCTATGTGTGCCTATGTGGTGGGTCACCTTGTCCTTTTCTCTCTTTTTTTCTCTCCTTTTCGAAGGTTAAGAGTACTTGGACATAATTAAAAAGCCATTAATATCAGCTTGAGTGTGATATTTTCTTCTAAAATTAATGAATTAAACTATACCTAGGGACCCCATGATATTTTTAAGAAATGAAATAATTAAATTTTAAAAAAATAAATAAATAAAGAATGCACATCGACCCTAAACAAGAAATGATCTACTTTTAACCCACCCTTGGTTTCCAAAAAAACCTGAAGAAAATTTTGAAGAAACTTACAGTTTTAATCCTATCTACGCTTGAGTTTTTATATATATATTTTCCTCGATTTTCCTTGGAAACTAAACTAAACCCAACAAAGTCAAAGATGTAAAATTCACATAAACCAAATGACATGTGTAGACAGAGAGAGAGCTATGAACCTCGGATTCAAGCTTGCGATTCTCAGAAACAGTGCTGTCATGTTCTTTCTTCAAGTTGGAGTATTCTTCTTCCAACTTCTTGTTCTTCCAACGAGCCCTTCGGTTCTGGAACCAGACAGCAACCTGTCGAGGATCAAGACCTAGCTCAGAAGCAAGCCGGTCCTTCTTCTCAGACTCCAATTTGTGTTCGTTGCCAAAATTGAGCTCAAGAAGATTCACTTGTTCTGCAGTCAGCTTCCTCTTCTTGAGCCCAGCACCACCAACCTCTCCACTTTTGCTCTTCTTACGACGTCGTTTAGGCTTTGACGCTCCTAAACACAGCAGAAAAAAAGTTGGTTAAGTAAAATGTGAGAATAGGAAAACAATGGAAAAAAAAATTAATGTTTGTGTGCTTTTGAAGGTTGTACCTTGCTGGGGTACAATTTGGGTGTAGACATCGGAAGGGTACAAGTGAGAAATGAGTAGCATATGATCGTCTTCTTCAACAACTTGGTGGTTGGTCTTGGTTGTCATGCTTTCCTAGCTAATTCCTATAGCTATAGCTATCTCTCTCTCTCTGTCACTCTCTGCAACTTTCTTTTTCTCTGCCTCTCTCACTTTCTTTCAGGAAGCAGATGCGTGGAAGTTGAATGGCTTGGGAGACAACGCATGGAGATTATTTATAAGGGAAAAGTTTTCTCTGTGTTCTTCCTTCCAACCCTTTTGTTTTTCCCAAAAGAATGATGTTACAATAATGTCCTTAACTCTGTGGAAAATTTTGGATGTGCCATTTGGTTTATTTTTATATACATAGACTAATTAGAAAGCATAAACGTACGAAGGCTAACATGGGAAAATGTACTAGTGACGATTACTTAATCTAGTGTGTAGTTTCAAATATAGAGTTTAAAAAATGCTAGAGAAAAAGAACAACATGATCCATAAAAACTTGGCTCTATATTCACCCTACAAATGAGAAGATGTTCTAGATTTCCATGGCCATTATGATTGATGCAATAATATAATTAATACAAAAATAGAATACGATAACACTAAAAATGAAAGTATCATTCATTATATTTGAAAGATTAAGTCACGACATTTAAAACTATAGAGACTAAATGAAAAGTTTACTCAAGCTACATGTCTAAATTGAAATTTGGCCCTAAAACTAATACACCAAGTTTGTATAATACTGATTTGGATGTAACTCACCCACTGTCCTAGAGAAGCATGGTTGGGTTAGGCTTTCCCGATTTGGTGATTAACAACAAAACATATAAGGGTAATTATGGTATGAAGAAGAAGTTAAAAACCTCTCAACTACGCACAAACTTTGTAAATCCGGATGGGTTGGGATCCCAAACCTGACCACCTCGAAGTGAATAAACAATTGGTGTGGTTGGCCTATGGATTTGGATATGCAACTCACTTTTGTTGTCCAATTGGGTAGTATTTTCCTCTTTTCTATGTCAATTAGGCTAAGAGATTAGCCAAGCCACACCCATTTTAGCTTAGCTCTGGCTTTATACAATATACTAGGTCATGCGTGGCTCGAGATGGGTGAAAATGCAAGCATCTTGGAGTGTTTTGTGTTTGCTTAACAAGCATGTAACAACAATAGAAAAAGCTCAATTGGAGCCCCCTTCTTTTACCATAGAATCATATAGTATTAAGGGGAGTTCATAAAAAATTGAGGAGGTTGGAGGAAATTGAGGGCCACTGGGGATGTCGTCACTGTTGACGTTTTTTTCTTACCACTTTAAACACTCTTGACATATGACACATGATTCATTCTAAGATTTATGAGATTCTACACAAAAAATTTAAAATAAGGTTTTTCTTTTGTGTTTTAAAGTGCTTTGATTAGAACCCAAGTGATCTTATGCTTTGTTTTTTTTTCTAGCTCCCTCTCGAACATGATTCATGATATACTTAATAACCTAATAACCTAGCTGAGAAAGAAAGTTATTGAGTTCTTGTACCTAATAACCTAAGAAAGAAAGAAAGAAAGAGAGAGCTAACAAAAGAAGAGACAAACTAAAAAAAATTCAACGTTTCCTGCTCTCCCAATTGATCTCTCTTTTCAAGTTCACTGTCTTTCCCTCTGTGTTTGGAAAGATACTGAATTACAAATAGAAAGCAACAATATCTTCCCTATCGTCCGCACAACCACACAGCATAGCAGAGTCGCTTTCTCATCCAATCCTCCTCACTTTTTTTTTTATAATTTCTCTCCCCTAGGGTTTCGCACCTTTCCAGTGAAAAACCAGATGATGAAATGAAATGACTGGGGCATGGGAGCATACGTGGCATGTCTATCTAACTTGACCGAAGTTGCGGGAACATTCATGTATGAACAAGAAGTATGCACTCCCAGCCACTATATATGTCTGTCCTTGAAAAGGTTATTTGTTAAATTGGGGCGCAAAAGCAACATGTCAAGGATAAGCTAATAGGTCCCGCCCCAAAAAGCAAGTCCTCTCCATGATATTTTAAATGTTCGTCTTCTCACAGCATGTGTAAGGTAGATATTTAGGGTTAGACAAGACTATTTGTAAGCAAAATAAATAGCATAGAAAAAGAAGAAAATGTAGCATCCAAATCCATATGGATATACTTAGGGTTGCTGTTGTTGTTTTTTTTTTTTTTTTTTTTTTTTTTTTTATAAGGAGAACTTGATCCCATATCCAATTAGTGAGGGAATATCATGATCTCTCAAATCAGATAGCACAAGTAACAGAATCCCTGGCTTTAGCATTTAGCAGGATTGCATGCATATCATCATGGTACAAAAACCATGTGAGAACTGAAACAAATATATTCAATCACCAAAATTAAAATGTCTTTCCTATTCATTTCGACCATTAGATTCCCCCGTCACATCAGTCTCACACTTAAAATTAGATATTTAATTCGAATTGTCGCAATAATTTTACCTTTCAAAGATTTTATGCACGCGTAAATAACTGTCGGCAAACTCTTACGAACTTTACATGCCATTAGCGTTCTTCACAGAAAGAGGGAGCAAGAAGTGATTGATAGGCCAATTGAGCTTGGTCAAGATGACTGACAGGCAGTACCCCTTGAGCTTTAGCCGGCTCACCAGAGCCATTCTGGTTAATGAAGACTTTGGCTATGGCAGCTTTGAAAGTGTGTGAAAAGGATAGCTTGAAATGCGAAAGAGGGGAGCACATGGGGCAACAAGAACCTTGTACGCGTGTCAAAACCCCGCCAAGTATTTCCAAAGGGACCACAGATTCTATCCATCCACGCGCAAGCTTCTCATAGACAGACCAATTTCACAGTGACCTGCCTACCAATCAAGAATCAGGTGCCCACCTTAATAATATATACAACCAATCACCAGAAACACACAGACACGCTCTCTCTCTCTCTCTCTCTCTCTCTCTACGCTAGCCGCCATATTGTACCATTCACTTCTTACACATGAGTCATGACTCAACCAACCCCATTTTTTGCTTAATTAGCCGCAAGGTATTTGATATTTTTTTGACTTTTTCTTAATGTGTCATATTAGCCCTAATTGTGGAACCAATTAAGCTTTCTGCTGAATAAAGAAACAGAGTCCCGCCATGCCTTTTGTTACGACAAGATGATGCTTATCTTATTTTACCTCTTATGTATATGTTAATCTTATCCAATATATGTGCTCATAGAAAAACTTACCTAAAACGGTTTCATATACACTTTCTCTTTGTGTCTCTCTCGCCACCATGGATCCATAACACTTGGTAGGCTACATTCACCGAATGCAATATTGTCTAACGAAACATACGTCATACGTGTATGGAACGGGGAAGGTCTTCTTTTGTGGGTTTTCTATTTGGGTCAAAATTCAATCAATCAAAGAAAGAAAACTGGTTCAAGTAATTCCTACATTGGTGTAAGAATGAAGTAAAAAAGCATTCCAAGTTCATTTAAAGATGCAGACCCAGTAGTATGACACGTGTAAGGTTTTCTATAGAGAATTTGGACCCCATTTTAACGAATGGTGCAAAAGAGGGCTGTCAGTAAAAGTTGGAGGGGTTGGTTTGCCAAAGTCAAGAAATGTCATTGATTGGGTTTGGTGTCTGTGAACACTGTGCATGCACGCATGTGTTGTTGCTATATGGTTTTTAGGGTTAGATTTTTGTGGCTAATTTATTCGGTTGGTAGTCTTTGAAGCAAGAAAAGAAATACGAAGAAAGATTTGGCAAAGATAAGCTCTTTGAGTTTACTACGGTTAATTTGGATTAAAGTAAACAAATGGTAATAAACGGATAAGGATGAAACAAGTGACAAGCAAGCAAGAGAGAGAGAGGGAGAGAGAGAGAGAGGGAGCAGGATTCTGCTAAGCTGGCATGCGCATGGCGTGGAAGGGATTCCTTTTGTAAGCTTTTGAGTTGTTTATGGGGTTTTAATTAAATAATAATCAAGTAATCTCTAAATAAATCAACGAGACTAAACTAATGGGTGTCATGTTTATCCCGACATTTCCCACCTTTGTTTCCCATCTTCCAACTCCGAGTTAGATGATAAACAGCTAATGGTAGTGTACTAAGATATTTTTCCAGCCATTATTAATTAGCCACAATCAAATGTTTATGCCTTTGTTTAAGGGAAAGCTTAACATCCAAATCGCATCTGGAACCATCTTTCACATATGTCTGATCACACCACTTTCATCCATTTTATGCCCTTCAGAAAAAAAGAAAAAAAAGAAAAGGAATATGCACTGCACTGGTCCCGCCTGAATTCCACAGGCTAATCAGATCTTATGGATCTAATTTATTTATTTATATTTGTACAAACATGAACATTGGCCTTTTGAACCCTTTAGTGTGGCAATAACGTTACATGTTTGTGAAAAGGAAGATTATGGATCTTTTTAAGATTAATTGACTTAATTACATCAACTAATACACTAGCTTAATCAAGTAGTTAAAGTTGCACTAGGGTTTACAGAATGCATTGGCATTATTTTCCACCAATCATTTTCACATGAAAGAGACACCGTAGAATTCTGTCCACTATGCATGATGGATGCTTTGCTAGGCTAGCTAGGCCCCCACTTACCTAAGCCCCTTAGCCATTATTAATTTCTACTAAAGCCAAATTTTCATATATAAATATATATATAGGCCCTACAAAATGTCTATAACCATAAAGTATAAAGCAGGTGCTTAATTGGATAGGATGTTTGCGATTAGTGTGTCATCAAGATTTCCAAGGTCTCTTCTCAATGAAGTCAAGTTTGTTTGTGTTGTATGTGCCACACACAGTGCCCTTCCATGTTTCCCTCTTCCCATACTAAGAGCATCATGCCCTCCTATCTCCTCTAACTTTGTGCCCTAATTTGATGAATGCCTGCCAAATTCTAAACCCTACGCATATGGTTAATTGCAACATTGATTTCAACAACCCTTGAATTACGCCTTAATTTAAGCCATTTTTAGGTGGATTATGACCTAAGTGCATATTATTATATAGTAATTAAGCTCTAAAATCATGGTTTAGAGAGCACCACATCC